CAATGGTCACGTCTTAAACAACAAATCATCACAAAGCCAGACGGCTTAGAACCGCTCCTCTGGGAGTGAACACTGCATCGTCACAACACAAAGTGTGCTGTGACTTGTTTCCTCGCACCTCTTACGTCTCTCACATCTTGCTGTCACGAGAGGGAAGGTGGATATGAATAGAAGCAGAGAATATTCTTTTCGTCTCGGGCAACGGAGCCTTCCTTCTTACAATCGGAAGGGTGCGTACGTGTCTCCGTGGCTCTACAGCCTGTGCCAAGGCTATGAATAGAACATAAATTAGAAATTCCATAAAGGTTGAGGACTACCAGGAGAGATGTGCAGAGATGCGTGTACCACTATGTACAAATAAATTAGTTCCTTCTCAAATCACCTGTCAAAGTTTCGGCTTTACTCCTTCTTCGCCGTCTCCTCTTCCCTGTGCCTCGTTGGCATTGTCTACTTGTGACCGGCTTTGATTTTGGCCGAGACAGATGCTGCCGAGTTCGTTCGCTAACCATTTCCCAATCGAGATGACCATCTGCATAACGGGGATACAATAGTATAATCTGTATTGCAATGTTGGTTCCATCCTACAACCTGTTCCTATTGTTTCCTTCCCGTTGTTATTATTCCACTTATCATGATGTGAGGTGACGTGGGCTCAGCTGCTGAGCTACGTGTTGGCCAACATATTGATTTCGATGGTGGCTCTAATTTGGTTTTAAAAACAAATTGAATATATACATATCTATATATATTGTCCTGCCAACGTATCAACAAATCCCTGCCTCCAGCCTACGATACTGTGTATTCTGCATGGTCGGACACCTAGCTTCCTTCACGGAGCCTTACGCACGAAAGCCGTTCTCGTGGAGAGAAAGGGGTAAGGGGGGTAGGGGTTAAGAGGGTAGGAAGCATCACCCCCCAGTGCCGCGTAATGTTGGATTACGTTTGGGTTTTGTCTCCAGCTCCGCCGGACCGTACATCTTCGATTTTCCACTTCCTCCAGTCTTTCCTGCAGAATCAGAATCAGAAAAACCGTAGTTCACGTACCCAAAACCTGTCGTGTCCATAGACAGGGGTTAAGGCCGGGAACGAAAGCGAAGGGATAACGGGGGTCATGGATGACGAGGAAAAAAACGCGTTCCTTGACACAGCAGGACCACGACAGGCAGAAGCATATCACAGGACGCGACGTACAGGACATAAAGCACAACACATTGGACAAGCCCTATAGTGCTCCATATGATTTCGGGAGAGGACGTACGACGTATGCTATGCCTGTTGGCACTTGGGCGGTGCTTCCCATCGGTTCATGGTGGCAAAAAGGAGAATAGCGTGCAAACCAGCTGTGAGGACCTTGGTCATACCCCAATCTGCCTCTGTTGGTGCTCGCAGTTTGGGATCCTATTTTTGTGCTCTTGCTGCCTGTCTTGTGCTTCGTCCTGTTGCCTTTTTTGTCCATGGTTTTGTGTGTTGTGGCATTGTTCTTGTTGTCACATCGTGTCACTCTTGTCAGTTTGTCACTTTTGTCACTTTTGTCACTTTTGTCACTTTGTGCTCTGGCATTGTCATTTGTGTCGCCTATCACCTGAATTTCTGTCACGGCCTGGCCACAACTCGGCCGGTTGGGACTTTGGCATTTTTTCACAGTTAGACTGACAACAAGAGACACAAGACGAGCACTATCAAATACATTAAGGGCGACCAGTTTTCCGGAGACGTGCACAGAAAAAAGGGCCGAAAAAGGGCTTGCAGCGACGCTGCAGAGCTTGCAGACAGTTTCTCTTGTACTTCACGTCTGCTTTACTCCAACTCCCTTATTTTGTGTCGTTTCTTTCCATCTTCCGTACTGAACAAGGACTTACAGAGCACTTGGTCCCCGTTTGTATGATGCCAGGCACCTATCACATGCGAGATTTGAACTCTGGAAAAGGCGACAGCAGGGATGCCCTCGTGCCGGATGTACATGAAGTTCCACTGCACTATGTACATAGCTGTGCCTTGACCCAATGGGGAAATAGGTCTTCCCTTGAAACTAGAGACCAACTGTATCAGACAGTAGTGTCTTATTTTCTACACACTAACTGAATATCACTGTCGGGATCTTCCATGTGGAGCGTGTCGAGAACAGGCTGTCCATTGGACTGTCCATAGCCGTAGAAACCTGACCTCGCGAAGAACAAAAAAGAAATTGAGTACGGAAGACACATGGACAGACCAACGACTTTGGGTCGCGGCAGACCGCCCGCCGTGTCAAGTGATTGTCTAATGCATGCTCCGTCTTCTCAACGAGTGTGCACCAACTCGACGCCACCCTCTCTCTCAGCGGCTGTCTATGTCATGTTCTCTCTTTGTTCGTCTCTCCGTTTCTCTTCATCTGTTTGGTAGCCGGGCACCAGACGCGGCTGCGTCCCCACACCCCCTTCGGCAATTCGAAGAAGTCTTGCAGCATGGTTGCAGCGCAGACGAAAAACACAACAGCCAAGGAGGATACCAGGAGGAGGAAACAAACGCATTAGTTACAGGTAAATCGAAAGAAGACAGGAAGAAGCTTCGGAGAAGAAGCACGGAAGCAGAAGAAGCCGTCCAAGGTGGAGTGGAACAGAAAAGAAGGGCAGCGAGCATCCGTAGCATTCATTACACGGGACAAAATCAAAACCAAATCACAAAAAGTACAACCAAAAGCCAGTGAAAAGAAAACAAAGAAAGACACGCCCCTCCCTAATCCCTGCAGCTCGCCTCTGCCTTCTTCACCGAGTAAGTAATCTATCAACTTTGGTCTTGTCTCCTTTTATTTTGCCATCCTGAAGACGCCAATATCCCCTTCTGCCAACCTCGTTCCATCTGTTAGACTGACGCCCCTAAACGCACCTCATGGTCTGAGCTTGTAGGCAATTTTGTTTTGTTTTGTTTTTATTTTGTTTTGTTTTGAAACACACCAAACATATACTTTACACAGGTAAACCCCAAGCAGACCTCTGTGTACACGGAAAAATTGCCGTTGTTATTGGTGTCCATGTCTTATTCTTGTCACCTGGCCCCCTTTCGCTTCATTTCCCCCTTTATCCTCTATTCTGCAAGTTCACGATGTACACATCTAGCCCAGGTTTTTTGTGTTCCGTCTCACTGTCAAGCACCTCCCTGTGCGCCCTTTCTTTCCCCTTCTCCCATCTACATCCTCTCCACGTCTCCTTTGTTGTTCTTCCCAATTGCCTTGTATGCTGTACACGTCGCTCGTCGTCTCTGCCATCTGCCTATCTTCGTTCTTTTTCTCTCCTGGCACATCGTCTGCTTGTTCTAGGCTGCTTCTCTTCTTATGTTTCTGAGGTGCTGGACTTGTGAGCAGTTGCTTCCCATCCTATCTAGCCCGATCTACCCCCTACAGGTCCCGTACGTGGCTTGTGTTCATAAAAGTTGTGTGCTTCGTTGCTCACAATTCACCGAGCCGTTGGTGATGTCCAGTTCGTGTTGTCTTTGGGTGTGTTTGTGTATTTGTTTGTTTGCGTGTTTGCGTGCAAAACGTTTGTCCTTGTAGAACAGACAAACGACGAACCGGGCGCAAAAGTAGAAATCAACAGAAAGCAGAAGCTTACACAACACAACACAGCACAAAAGGAGACAGGCCTGCCGACATGCAAACGTCCAGACATCCAGAAGCAAGACCCAGGCACGGCGTCCATCACAAGGGGCAGTGGACAGGACTTTTTTCTAAAAAAAAAAAAAAAAAAAAAAAAAAAAAAAACTAAAAAACCCGCACAACTATCTAAATTATATCAGGGGACTGGTAAATCATACGCTCATGCCAGACAAGCCTACCTCTTCCTGCGCGGCTGGAATTAGATACGAAAACAAACACAATGCAAAGACGAGCATTGTGACGATTGATCTCTAGTCGGGAATCCCGGACCAGGGAAATGCCACAAAAAAAAAAAATGGGCTCAGCCTGTCGAATTCGCTTGCTCGGTCATTGATACAGGATTTGAAGCGAAGCAAGATCCCCAGAAGCCCCCATCAACAAAGCAGACTCAGAAGACAGTCATGACAGATTAAGTGGGCAAAAAGAGTCATGGGGCGCAGCAGCCCAAGTTTGCAAAGAGTCACAGCTATGTAAGCATACAGTGTAAATTCGCACAGTGCGTAAACCCAACACTGTAGTAGCCGTTGCCTAAATGGGCCGCTGCGATCAACGCTCATTCGTCTCGCTAAGGGAAGGAACGAACAGACGACATCAAACGCCTCCGGCAGCAGGGCAGGAGCCAGAACATGTAGATAACCGCTCTTTCCTGTCACTCCTCTTTCTTTCCCGTTTGCATTGTATCCTCTCATTGCCTCTCATTACCTCTCATCAACTCTCACCACCTCACAATTTTCACCAGCTTTCACCAGGTTTCCTCAACCTCACGCAACACACCAGGCCAGTGCCCACACGGCTGCTCGATCCCCCGCCAAGAGCACATACACGCGCACACGATCGGCCGGCACCTGTCCTTCTGGTCACCATCAGCGATTGACGCCTGTCCACTATCCTCGAAAGGGGAAACATAACAAAAAAGGTAACCAACGGGTGAGACATTGAGAAACAGGGAGCAGGAAATAAGGGAATATGAGAGACTTTTACGGACACACCCCCAACTGACGACCAGCACCGAGCAGGACGAAAACCAGCGGCGATTCACAGAGAAGACAGCAACCCCCCCCGTGCGGACCAGCCTCGCGTTTCAAGCAAACAGCGTCTCTGCTGGCAGCCGCGGGCTTTTTCGTTTCGTGCATTTTGTCCGCTCTCCAGCACCCCAAGTCCTCTCCGCTCAGTGGGCCTGCGTCTGCACCTGGTCCTTGCCTGCACGCTTCGACACATCGCGGCGTGTCTCGGATCGTTTTGCGTTCTGCCTGGACTGGTCTCACAACACGCCCCCTCCTCTCATTTCTTTCTCTCTCTCTCTCTCTCTCTCTCTCTCTCTCTCTCTCCTCTCCTCTGCTGTCTTCCTTTCTCCCACGCCTTCGCCGCCATGCCCAAGAAACGGCATTGGGGCATGTACTCAAAGCCGCAGTCCACTGCGCCGCACTCTTTGGAGAGCTCCGGACTCCAGAGCAACGTCCATCATGGTCAGTCCAATTGCGTCTCGCTGTTGCATGCTTGCCCTCATCCGCTTTTCTTGTTTGTAATATTTATTCTCGTTTTTTTTGTTATATTGGCAAGCGGTCTTTCTCTGCGTCCTCTGCCTCACACACCCCATGGCCCACCCCCTCTGTTTTGTTCCTTTGTTTTCTTGTCCTCCCACCCATCTCGAGCATGGGCTTCATCACTCTGACCCTTTCTCACCAACCCCGTCGTACGCCTGCACGCTGCCTTCTGTCTTTTGCCCGTGCCTTTACTTCTTTCCCTTGTGACCCGTTGCCAGATTGTTTTGTACGCCCAGAAATTCGTCCGCCACCTCCGCCTTTGTTTTGATTTTTTTTGTCTGGCAACCATCATTCACAGCGCATACTGTACCATGTCTCTTCTCACTGGCTCTCCTCTCCCTTGTCCTACCTGGCTTTGTACGCCCGATGCTCTTCTTGCTCTTCTTGCTCTTCCCACCCAGCTGGCCCCGTCCGCGTTGGTTTGGTCCACTTCCTTAATTGTCTCCTTGTTGATCTATTATGGCCTGGCCCTGTTATTGACTATTGACGTCCTTCTTCCTCTGCTGCCGTGCAACCAGAGGAACCACAGTCCCGCAATGTAAATGACCTGCTCGCAAACCTGCGAAGAACCACTCTGTCGCCCAGCGGAGGCGGTAGCAGCAACAATAGCGGCAGTGGAGGCCACGGCTCAACCGCGGGCGCCTCGCTGTCGTCGTCGATCCCTGTCGTGACGCCTAGTGTGCCACCAGAAGTCGCGCAGATTCTGCTGCCCAGCCCACCCAATGGAGGCCGAGGGGGGCTAGACGCAGGCATTACCGTGGGACCCAGTCCCAGAGGTGCTGCTGGCGGTCCAAACGGACTGGGCGCCGTCGGTGGTGGTGGTGGCCGTGGTCGTCGCCGAGGGCCAGCTGGCCCGGCGCCTCCACCGTCTTGGCTGGCCCAGTCCAGGCACAATCCACGGCGCATCCTGCGGCCGTCTGACCGTAATGGCCATTCTGCCAGCGATGGTGGTGGTAATGGCAACAACCGGCCAGTAGGCGCCCAAAGGCGGCGCTATGCATCAGGCATGGCCTTTGGACACCACGCAGGGGAGGCCATGCCGGGTATCCCCCATCCTGTGCGCGGCAGTCTGGTGGACGTGGTTCTGCACCGCATCGTGCTGGAGTGGACCGCCCAGAAACAGTACAACCGACATCAGTTGATCTACTTGCAGGGACCGCTGCGCGCGGCCTTGGTCTCCTATTTGGGCCAGCTGAGCGAAGAGGGCAATGGCAAGGGTGCCACGATCAAGGATCTCCGTGCTCTCCTGCTTCATCCTACACCTCCGTCCTCGACCTCTGCAAACGGTAGTAGCGGCAGTCCTCAGCCAGGCGGGTACGCGGCCGGCGACAGTGATCCCGGAGGAAGCGACAGTGATGGTGATAATGAGGAGATGCCGCCTTTGCCCAGCCCAAGCACGCTCAACGAAGATTTCCGGCACCTCGACCTGACGTGGTCAATCGGTAACTCCATCTCTGTCCGTGAAGTCAACGAGCTTCTCTTTCCTAGCCGCAGCACCGCAACACATGGCCGGCTACGCGACGCGGGCCACAAACAGCAACAGGATGATGCCGAACTGCTCGAGTCCTGGGACGCGCCTGGCATTGTGTCGCTGCCCCGGCCGCTGCTGCCGAACTTGACGCACTTGTCACTGGCCCTGATGCCTGACCGCACCCCCCAGTCCGTGTCCTGGCGCCAGCTCCTGTCCTTTGCGGCGCATCTTCCCATGCTCACCCATCTGAGCCTCGCCTACTGGCCCGAGCCCACGCTCACGCCCAACGCCAAGCTGGCGACCGTCGACTCGCCGCTCGGCCGCCGGTTCCAGTACGGCGCCACCGGCGCCTACAGCCACTCCATCGACAACGACTGGGCCGAGGCGGTGCTGCTCCTGCGCAAGCTGAGCAAGGCGCTGTACGGCCTGGAGTACCTGGACTTGACGGGCTGCGCGTCGTGGCTGCCCGCGCTCATGTACAAGGTGGACAACGGACAGGTCGACTGGGTGGGCAACTGGGGCAAGCTGACGACGCTCGTGCTCGACTATGGCGTGAGCAACGAGTACGACCGACTGTCCGAGGCCATCCTCGAGGCCCACCGTCCACCGACGCCGCCTGAGCCGGAGGCACCGGGCGCGCCGGCGGCCATGCTCCAGCGCTTGGTGGCACCGCAGCAACCACAGCTGCCGCTTGGCGAGCTGGCCCGGCGGGTGAACGCCGCGAGTGAGGCACGCCTGATTGAAGAGAAGATCCGGACGCAACGAGCGGGTCGGGGCCGATTTATCACCGTTGTGTACGATAGGCAGCCAGAAGCGACAAGATAGACGTAGATGCTCAAAGAACAGAAAGTAGCGGGATGATCTCCTTTGACTGGCACGCTACTAGCGCCCGTGCCAAGAACGAGCCGAGTCGGCCGGAGCAGCCTCGTGACAAGATGGATGTTGATACGATGACGACGGTACAGCAAATTGAGGCTCGGACTGCGCCACGTTTTATTTTTTCGCCTTTTTCGGCAGGTAGAGGCGCTCGCTTGGCTACCTGGCTCTGTTGCTTGGCTCCTTGGGTCTTGGCTCGTCCGGAAACCCGGGGGGCCAAGTGTGGTTTCAATGTCTCACCCGTTGCGATCGGCGCCTTCGGACGGAATGTTGAACGAGACATGTAGAATCCGACTGAGGCAACATTCCAGCCATGGTGGCCCCTCTCACTCACGGCGTGTTTGCAAGACGGATCGGTGCCCTGCCACCCGAAAACATGCAATCTGCCACTCGAGAGAGCCAGAGACGGCCGGCTTCGCGGGGATGAAAAGGTGCACCGGCGCCGCTGTTGGCCATCATGTCTTGTTCCGGCCAACTGTTTCCCATCCAGCGCCTTCGCCATCGACCAAGTCCTTGCGCCTCTCTTGATTTGCTGTTCTATTCTCGTTCCTTTGCATTTCCCTCCATGTGCATCACGAATTTTCCCTCCCTCCCCACCACCATCGCAAACATCCCAGGTACCTGCTCTCGTAGATCCCCTCTGACTCCGGACGTGCAAGTGTCTCTCCCAAGCCTCCTCATTTTTGTCCTGTTGGCTTATTCCGTTCTCAGTCGTTTCTCTTGGCTTTTTCTTTAATATCACCACTCACCTTTTTCTGTCATTGACTCCCTTTCCCTTTTACTTTCCTTTTGCTTCCTTTCTCTTTCCTCCCTCCTCCCCTTCCCCCTCGACTTCGAACTCCTTCGCAACAAAATAGACTCATTTGGTTTGTTCAATATTGACGTGAGGGTGGCACTAACGATACAATCTCGGCAATACGATATTTATTTCCTTCATTTATTTCAAACTTACTTTCTGGCGCTGGTAAGGGCCTTTTTATTTATTACATTTTTATTTCATTTACGCTCAGCACTCCCCCTCTCGAGGGACGACATCCGCCACCGACTCCACCATGGCGCTCTTGTTCCTCTTCTCGACGGTGTGCACGATCATCGGCTTCGTGCTCACTGTTCTCGGCCTGTTTGCCGGCAACACACCCGGTTTTATGGAGGAGTTTTCTGTCATCATGGTGAGTTGGCCTTGTCTTGACCGATTTATATCATTGTGGAGCAACGGAGCTGACATCGCAGCTCAACACATCCGCGTTGGGACGAAATTATGTGCCGTCACTCAACCAACCGGCCACGCGTGATTTGTCTCACGTTGTCGTTCTAGCCGACGAGGACGCCAGTGTGGCGACGAGCGAGGTGGTCGTGGAGGTGGCACCGAGTCCAGCGAAGGCGACAACTATCACCAACGGCGACAAACCCAAGACGTACTCCATCCAGGACGAAAGGGCGGCCGAAGCCGAGGCAAAGGCGGAAAAGGCGGCAAAGGCCATGGCCGCCCGTAAGCTTGCCCCACGCAAACTGACCCTGTCGGCAGCCGAGGGCGTTCTGGCCGGTATGCCGGCCGACTCGGCCGCCGACGATATGGCGGCTGTGCTCGGCGTCAGCGAATTTTACTCGCTGCATGTCATGAACGTCTGCGAGGGCACCTTTGCGCCCAATGCCACGGCCGACGGCGCGTGGCGCAACGTGTCCTCCTGCACGGTCCAGCTCAACGCCCACCAGCTCAACATCTCCAACCTCATTGACAACGAGCTCAACGACAACTTTGTCGACGGCGGCAGCCTCGCGCGCCTCGGCGGCTCGAGCAGCCTGCAGTCCGCGCTCAACCGCATCCCCACACTGGGCATTGTGCTGGCCGTCTTCTACATCGTGGCGGCCTGCTGCGCCGGTCTGGGGCTCCTGCTTACGGCCGCCTCCGTCGTCACGCGCGTCACGCACAGCCGCGAGACGGTGCTGGCCAACCTGGCTGCCGCGTCCGGTGCCGCGCTGGCGCTGCTGATTGCCGGTCTGGTGTCGGCGGTGGCGGCCAAGTCGACGGTGGACTCCATCAACCGGCTGGGCAAGGACACGATCGGCATGGAGGCGTGCCAGGGCTACAAGTTTGAGGCGCTGACATGGGCGGCGTTTGGCCTGATGACGGTGGCAGCACTGTTCTGGCTGCACGAGCTGCAAGCGGACGCCAAGAAGGCGGCGGCGGCGGCAGCAGCCAAGAAGAAGGCGGCGGCAGCTGCGGCACCCAAGAAGTGAGGAGGTTCACGATACTGGGTACATCGTACGTCGTACTCGCAAATCTTCATAAAAAAAAATGGACACCGCCTTCCTCACCGACTGGAATTGGATGGTGAGGACGGATGTGGACAGGTGGAGCTGAAACTGGGGCCAGTTTTGGCGGTGGACAGCACATCACGTCGATGCACCCCCGCTCCTGGTCGCTCCTGCCCGCGCTTGGACAGCTGCACAGCTTGCACTTGCCTGTGCTGGCGCCAGCTCCACCAACCTCCCTGTATCGCGGAAGGAACTGCCACCTTATTAGCCACTAATTATTGGTTATCGGGCTTCTGGGCGCGTCAGGGCGGCCAGGTCTGGCCAGTCTTGTACTCGGATTTATTCAGCTGTTTGTAACCTTTTATCCCTTGTTGCTACTTCCATGGCAGCTTTTTCTTCAACATTAGATTCAGCCTTGTCTTTGTTTTGCCTCTTTTGGAGAGCACAGCACTCCCGTAATAATGAACACCATCGTTCCTGCCACAATTGATACGAAGTCCGCTCTTTCCGATTCATAATGCTCCTTGACCGCTCCTGCCATAAGACATGCAGTCTGCCAGTTTGGCACGTGTATGGGGGTATTACGTCGTTGTCCCCTGCCCCTTCCTGATAAGGTTAACAACGGTCTAGACCAAAACCAGGTCCGGCTAAAGCAAGCACCTCGGCGAGGCAGGCGCGATTCTGCTGGACAGTGGAAACACACGGCCACTAGCAGGGAGCAGCACCGTAGGGGTCCATCTGAAGTGCATGCAGTTCATGCAGTTCATGCAGTCGATCAATTCGCGGAGGCGCTCAGCTCGCTCATCTCGCTCAGCTTAGCCTGCATGTGCTGTTTTGGGGTCGTGCTGTGCTTATTGGAAGCAGTGACAACCTCAGCTTGCCGCCGAATAAATACACTTTGCGCTTTGCACTTTCTCTTTTCAGCTACCGCCAGAAAGTCGCGCGTTCGCTCTTGCTCGATGGGGATTGATTGTAGGACATAATTGTGGAGCACGTGTACGCAAAGTGTCAGTCGTCCCTGCTCTATCAAGATCCAAGCTTGCCTGCCTGCCAAGCTTGCTACTGCAGCCTTCCCTCTACCTCCTCCCTTTTCCCCTCTTCGTGACCTCAACCTTTTTACATTGCTTGTGGATGATCGGCGAGTACTCGACCTTTATCGAGGGATCCCAGTCTCGTTATCTTGTCTTCTTTTATTCTCGCATCTGCCTCTCCTTCGTTCGATTCCTTCTTTGTCCGTTACCCTCTCCAATTCCCCTGTTCTGCTGTCCAGCGGACTTGTGGTGGAATAGCGGCTGTTGGTCTTATGTGTATTTTTGTTTTTTGTCACATCTTTATGATCAACGGTGCTTTCTACTCCCTTGTTGTCTCCTTTCTCGTCTTTTCCCCTCCTTTCTCTCTCACTCTCTATTGTACATCCTGTCGTCCTCCATTCTCCGCCCAACCGCTGCCATGTCGTCCAACAACGACGGCAACAATGGCGGCAACGGCGGCCCCGGCGTCCTCCTCTTCCGTGACGACCCGAACGCCAGCAACCCGTTCCTAAATGAAGCGGATATCCACGAGGACGACAATGTCTTGGAACTGGGTGAGCGCGCCGTCCTGCACATCTGGTCGGGCTTTCTCGACTTTGCGCTGCAGGGCAACATCCTCGAGATTGCCTTTGGCCTCATCATCGCCTCGTCCTTTACCGCCATTGTCAATTCCTTTGTCTCGGACATTCTGCTGCCGCCGCTCTCGGTGCTGCTGCCGCTCAACAAGAACCTGGACGAGAAGTTTGCCGTGCTCAAGCCGGGCCCCAACTACGAGCGCGAGAACGGCTACAACACGCTGCAGTTTGCCCAGGACGACGGCGCCGTGGTCATGGCCTACGGCATCTTTGTGAACCGCGTCATCAACTTTTTGGGCGTCGGCGTCTCGTTGTATGCCCTGGCCAGCGCGTACCAGTACTTCTCGCACGACCCAATCATCAAGCACACGGTCAAGTGCAAGTACTGTCGCAAGAGGATCAGTGAGAAGGTGAGTGGCCTTGACTGGCGATTGTTACCGTGACCAAAGTATGTGAGACACGCTCATTTTTCTAACCATACAGTCACTCCGTTGCGTCAATTGCACGAGTTGGCTCGATGGCCGCGAAGAACGCCAGTCCGGCCTGTAGCCCGTGTGGTAACATCTCGCGCCCACAGCTTGGCGTGTGTCCCAAAACCGCCACCCGTTTAATTGTGTGACGATACATTCGTCCCACGTTCACACGACGTTGTGAACATTTTGTTGCTTTCCAGATAATATGCGATGTTTTATCCGAATTCTCATTTACGCCATACCTTTTGGCCTCTGCATAGCACGCGACTGTTTCTTTTGTCTTTCGTCTTCTGCCCTACTTTTCGATGCTCACGAATTTGGCATGCATTGTCACGCATTCTTACGCATATTTCCTTTGTTTGATCTCATTTCTCTAACCGTCCGCGCATTACCTGCATGTTTCCTTACCGTTTTCTCGAACCATACTACCCAACGAATATTATTTGGATACTACAACTGAAGTCAAGAAAGCGCTGCTGTGGCCTCTACTTTTGTCTGGCGGGCGTCGCCGTTTTTGGCCGTCGTTGCAGCGAGGCGTTTGTCCCTTCAAAGTGAGATTATGTATGACACACCCATATTTCGCTACTAAATAAAAATCTAGACCTAGCCTCTTTGCCCCTCTGCCGCCGACCGTCGACGATTACTTCGGAGATCGCGCCTAATGACCAAGTCCTCGTCGATCCCATCTATTCCACGATACACCTCGAGCTTGGTGATATGCATGGACGTAGTCCAGGCCGCAGGGGATGCAATCGGTCCACGGTCTGTTGTATACGGACCCGCGGGAATCTCAATGTAATGTCCAGCATCAGTCGCATCAGCAGCCTCAGCCGCCGAGAACAGTGTTGCCACCCCAGACGCAAAGTTGAGGGTGAGCCCCGAACGTGATCCGAAGCAGATGGTGTCCGCCACGTCGTCGGTCGTAACCAGATCCGTGAATCTGGTCTTGCTCTCCTTATTCTTCGGTGGCTGGTATTGGAGAACACGCGCACGAGGCGCAATTTCCATCAACAAGTGCTTGTCATCGACAAAAAATTGCATACCTGTCTGGCCTCTGCGGGCGGAAGTCCAGAGCGGCGACGACGTAAACACAGCAAAGATGGCAGGCTGTCGGCTTGCGTCGGTCGTGCGCCCATACACTATGACGAGCATGGGGACGTAGTGTGATGTAAGAGCGGCCATCACACCGTCGCCGGACATACCACCGGTCTCGGCGGTGTCCTCGGATGAGTATACTAGTGTGTTGCTGCGGCGCTCTTGGCGAGTATAGCCGCACGATGGAAACGGGTACAGGAAGTCGAGCGCCTGCAAGACGAGTGGGGGTGGTGGGCGCTCCGGAGTCTGGTCTCGGCCGCAGCGGTCGTGGTTCAGGCCTTTCAGGTCTTGCGGCACCGAGAACACCGAAAAGAGGCTGCGCCACAGCAGGTCCATCTCCCTGTCAAACGATCGCCTTTCATTATGATGGAAACGGTCGACTGGTTGTAGACACTGGCGCTTTCGTTAGTGAAAGAAGAACGTTGACGTTTCATCGTGGTGTTGTCTTGTGGCCAAAGGAACACACCAGTCTAAGCCACAGGGCTTCATATTGCTTATACGAGACGACTGCGTCACCACCACGTTCTTCGTCGTGGAGACCCGCCGCCGCGAGAATTTGTTTTGCCACAGCGAAGTGCGTCGCACGGTCGATTTCGGTGGTGGTCGCCAAGCCGAGGCCGCGGTTCTCGTCGAGTCGCCCTGTCCACCTGGCTGCCTCGAGGTCCGGTTTGTCCACTTGCAGCGTGGCACCGAGTAGACACACCAAGTCATGGTACGGTATACCAAAGTCGGCTTTGAAAACGGGCTCGCACTCCTCGTCCGTCACCAGCTTCCGAACGTGAGGTAGAATTTCCGGCAGTTTTGGTCCGCGCATAGCGTAGTCAAGAGGCAGCTGCGTGGAGGCCACCAACGCGACCTGTGTCAGCACGGTGGGGGCCTCCTCGTCGGCGTTGTCGACGTCGTCAACGCTGTGGTGCTGTGGCCTCGATCGACCCAGTTTCAGTTTCACCGCCATACTCGCAAACCCGTACCAGATGGACGATCCGGTCACCGAATACATCGGCCGGGCGTAGTGCACATTGTCTGCAGCATCGGTCGCCAGCATCGCGACCGCCTGGACCCAGTCATGCAGGTTCAACTGCTGTTCCTCGGCGGGACACGTATCGATGCTGGCTGTGAAGGGATAGCGGGCGCTGTAGCAAAACGTTCGCCATAAAATAGGAGCCACGCCCGAATCATCGCTGCCCAGACGGCTTGCTATAAACGCAGCGAACCGGTCGTCCGTCCACACTTTGACTTTGCGGCCCGTCCTGGCCTCCACCATCTTTACGGCGAACTCATCGAATAAGGCGTACAATGGCCCCCGATCCTGTAGGCACCATCGGCGCCAGCGGCTCACCGCCTTGTCAAGCTCCGTGATAATGGCGTCCTTGTTGTAAAAGGTGCTGACCAGGGCGGACCGCAAGTCCGACTGCATGCGGGCGCGCGTCAGGCGTGCATAGTACCGGTCGACCCGAAAGTCCAAGTGGTGGAAATAGTACTGGGGGTTGAATGGCGAGAGCAGCACGTAAAATGTCTCGATGGGGTGGCCGAGCGCGTGCCAGAGACTGAGGACGAAGATGCCAAGGGGGAACAACACGTATCCCTGTATGTCATCCCACAACGCCATGGCCATTATTGTGGTGAGTAGAGGTAGATGCTAAGAGAAGGAACTCGCCCCGGTTGTTGTCAATGAAATCCTGAGAGAAGTTTGGTGTGGCATGTAGAGCGGTGTGGCACATATTCGGCAGAAACTGGGACTTAAAACCTGTGCCGCTGGGTAAATCAACAGGATACTGTCGGTTAGCTGAGGGCAGCTCCAGCCGGTATTGCGAGCCTTTTTGGACGACTCACCGTTAGTCTCGTATCATTTTAAGACTTTTCAAAGTCAGGATTGGCTACAAAATGAGTACAAAATACACAAAATGTTTGATATCAGAATGCAGAGATAGTTGGTCCCTACAAAAACAATTGCGCGCTTATGGCGAATCCGATCTCTCCCTCTCTATGACTTCCGATGCCGACGCAAATCCTTCTGCTTTCATATTAAACCTCCGCGCTACCGGAAAGCGTGTGAATCTGGACCGTACGGTTCGCAATACACGAGCGTCCTGGTCATACAATCCGCCTGCAACCCAACAAAGTAAGTTCCACCTCATACACGCCCACCGACCCCAGCCTTGTGGAATTCTGAAATTATGCATGGCAGCGTATTCAAAACACCAAGGATACCAGCCAGCATAGTCCCAGTCGACAAGCCAGAGCTTACCAGACGGATGAAGGATAATGTTTCGAGGCGCAAGGTCATGATGCGTAAACACCAGCGCGTGGATTGGTGAGAGATGTTGTTTTGGGAGTTGACGATGCTCAGCTTCGCTTTTTTTAATCTCGCCGCGTAAAGACATGAATTCCATCCAGAAGCTGATAAATGCATTAATGTTGTCTTTGGTTGCTCTTGGCGGTAGACGGAAACGATCTTCGAGCCAAAATGACCGGCAGAGACCAGTGGCGAGCGAGCCAGCTGTGAGGGACGTAACGGACCGCAGCTTTTGAACGAAGCCACGAAGCTGAAAGGCTAGGGAGATGGTTTGCAACCAGCTTATGGAGGGCCAAAGTTCCTCCAAAGTTTGGCCCTCGATGCGATCCATAATGCACCAGGTGGAACGGCCGACAACGACAGTTCGCCGCCCTCGAGGGGTCCGGACGCCGATATTGTCGGCAAGCTCCATGGCGGCGATGGCATCCTGGTCAGAGGGTTCAGAGTACCGCTTTGCGAGGTAGGCATCGGACAATAGAATAATCCCACTGTGACCTTTCAGGGTAGGCGATTCGCGTATAAAACATGCTAGCTCTGCGTCCGAATACTGCTCGAGCAGATGGTCTCGGAAAGCATCCATGTTCGTTATCGATAAGTGGAGACTGATTAATTGTAGTTCTAACAAAGAAGAAAATGTTTCCGCCAGATATTTCCTTAGAGACGTTGTGTCTAACTAAGCTCACCGCCTTTTAAAGCCGACTATAACAGAGCCCAGGTGGATGTAGCACCAAGGTTCTCATTGGATTCTTGGACGTTTTTTATATAAAACTAACATCAACTATAACTAGGTTTATTTTCAAGCTATAAAACAACGTAACTATACAACGACAGAATAAGCCAGCTTTGTCGCTTTCTGGATTAGGTATCTTACCTCTGTGCTTTTGTCCGACGGTCTGTGGCTAACGAAAAGTTCCTCGCTTAACTTCCCTAGGCTCGTTTCCGTTGGGATTGATGTAGTAGTTCGACACCGCTGCCCAGGTTGAATCACCACTTCCCTCTCCCACAACATCGCGAAAGTCAGCACGCTGTCCGGTGCCAGTATTGGTATCGGCTGAGACTTTGTCTTGAAATGCATTTGAATCAAAGTCAGTCCATTTACATTCCATAAAAACACAAGCTGAGAACCGACGGCACATAAACAACTCTCGCATCTCATCTCACACACGCCACATTGTGCTACACACGTTGCTCTCAACATGACCGGCAAGCTGCGGACCACGGACTAAAGTTCTTTCGTCCGCTTTTGCACAAGGTAGCAAACCTACATTCGATTTTCAACATATCAAAATTACTTCCTGTAGCATATACCACAACCTAGGACAACGTATCAATATACTGCTCGATTGTCCAACACCCAACACAAACACCACCACCTATGTCCAACGCCCGGGCGCTGCAAAGAAACTGTCTTCAAAGCTAATGACGCGGTCACGGTCCATAAACTGCTGGTCCAGCAACAAATGCGAAATCGCCGTCAGGTCGTCGGTGTGGCCTGTGTGGCCCGTCGGTACTGACACCACCGAGGCCGCCGCGTACGCCGACGCCGAATTGTCGGCCATGGCGTGTGCTTGGGCCGCGTGTTGGTGATATGTCATCACAGGCGACAGCTGGTCGAGCGGCTGCATGGGCCACGTCGAGGCCGGGTTGGGCTGGTTCATTGTGTGCATGGACGGATGCACCGCTGCCATTTGTTGCTGTGGATGGGTCGGGGCAGGTGCTGGCACCGGCGTAGGGGCCAAAGGAATCGCCGGAGGAGCCGGCTCGGGGACAGGTTCAGACACGGACGGGACGTCTGGCTCAAACTCGGTGTACCCCAGCACGTCCACCACAAACGACGGACTGGCCAGACACTGCCGATACAAGTCCTTGAGGTGCTGCGCGTAGTGGCCGGCAAGACTGGTGCTCTTTTTGGACGCGTCCTGGTCGAGTCGGCTGTTGCTGCTGCTGCCCAACCACCGTCGGTCCATGTCCTCCAGACTCCGCAGCAGCGAGAAGAACTCGGGCAGCACGTCGACGTCGGTGGCGTCCCCGGTGGCAGCCCCGTTGGTCATTCCGCTGCTGGATACCTCTCGCCCCACCTCGCTGCGCCCGTGCAACAAGAGCACCCGTGCGCTGATGTACACGCAAAAGGCAAACTGGCTCGCCACGGGCCGGTGCTTGGGCGTGAACCGCAGGTACTTGCTGGTGATGGCGGCCGTCTCAATGGCCGCATTCTGGCACGTCTCGGCGCTGCACACGCTCGGCAGCTTCACCTTGACCATGCTCGTCCACTGCGCCCACCAGGCCGCGTCCGGGTACGCGATGCGCTGGTGCAGCAGGAGGGTCGACGTGTTGTGCGTGATGTGCGCCAGCGTCAGGTTCGGGTCCATGTTGACGCGCGCGGGCTGCCGCGACACGTTGGAGTCGCGCCACCGCTGCGGCAGGTACATTTTCCAGTGCACCAGCTGCAGGTCCAGCTCCTTGAAGCGCGTCAGCCAGCGGCTGACGTCCGGCCGGCTGCCAAAGTCGACGCTCTGGCGCAAGAACGTCGACACGACGCGGCTCAGCGACTCGGCCGCCTCGATGCAGTACGCGAGCGCGCCGACGTTGGTGTTGTGTCCGTGGACGTGCGTCGACGCGGGCGACCGCACGGGCGGGTCCGCCGGGTCCCGCTCCCGGTCCCGATCCAGGTCCCGATCCCGCACCTCCCGGTCACGTGCCCGGTCAACGTCACCCGTGGATGGGCCGCCACCACTGCTAGGCGGCGCGCCGTACATGTACGGAGTCAGCACGGGTTCGTCTTTGTGGAAGAAAAAGCCGTCGGCTGGCAGGCGGCGGTGCACATCGGCGGCCGCGAGGCCCGTGGTCCAGCCCGTGCCCACGGAGCAGAAGCGGTCCAGCAACAAGACACACCAAAACACGCGTCGGCGCTCCTCCTCTTCGATCCAGTTGGAGGGGGGACTGAGCAGGGACATGGGGTGCAGCAGGGTATGATTTTGTTTTTGCTGTTGTCCTTGTTGCTGCTGCTGCTGTTTGTGGCCGCCGCCTCTTTTGGTGCCGTTCGTACGAGTGACATGGCTGCTGTTTTCGTCGTCCTCGGCCTCCGTGTTCAGTCCCAGGTAGTCGACGGTGCGCGTCAGCGAGGCCACAATGGACCAGGCACGCGCCGTCCGGCCGGATCCAATGTCGTGGAAGGCCAGGATGATCAGCGCCTGCAGGTTCTCGACCGTCAGGGCGTCCATGGCCGTCAACAGCACGTGGCTGCGCGAGCGGGCGGCCAGTCGGAGCAGAGCGTCCGTGTCGATGATGCCGTTCTCCGCGCCCTCCGCGCCTTCCACGTCCTCCGCGCTCTCCACGCCCTCCTGGACGTACCGCGCCGCCGCGACGACCATGGCGTGCAGCAGACAGGTCAGCTGCGGCCGCTGCGCCGGGTCGTGCATGCGCCGCCGGAACTGCGTCTCGTGCAGCACAGGGATCCACGGCTGCACGGCCACAAAGTAGGCGTTGACGACGGCCTGCAGCGTCGCAGGCGGCGGCAAGCCGGGGGATGCGGCCGGGTCTTGGGCCAGGTCCTGGAGCGGACGCGCCAGGTCAATGTCTGGGTTGCCGCAGCTGTCGACCATGCGCTGGCGTTTGCGCGGGCGGTGGCTGTGCCCGTGACTGTCAAGACCGCTCTGGCCGTAGCCGTTGGCCGTCCTGGCCGTCATGGCCGTCATGGGCGACGAGGCCGTCGAGGACGGCGAGGCGATGTGCAAGGCGCCATGTGCGCGCGGTTGTGTTGCAGCAGCGGTAGATGTTCCGGTTGCAGTTGCCGGTGCAACTTGTGCTGCTGCTGCGTTGAGTTTTTGCAGTTCCTGGGCCAGCAACGCCAAGATGCCAACGACGGTTGTGTTTGCATGTCCGTTTGCATTGGACTCCGGCACAGGGCTGATGGTCTGCCTTCCTGCCAGTGCATTCTCCAGCACCTCGATGCGCTGGCTCAACGCCTCAATGGCGCCTGGTCGCAGTCCTGGTTTGGCCTTTTTTGTGTCGTAGGCGCACGCTACATCCAGTCGCTGGCAGTGGGCACAGCTCGGCAGATCACGCGAGCATTTCAGCTTGCGCCGGCGACAACCCAGACAGGACGTTTCAGCTCCTGTTTCGGTAGTAGTCGTTGTTGGTGGTGGCTGATCTGCCGGTGTCTCGGGGCGTGTCTCGGAAGATTCGTCGGCGGTGCCATCGGGGTGTCTTTCGGGGCCATCTTGGGCCTCATGAGAGGCTGTCTGTGCAGTCGGGCTCATCGTGATTGTCGGGCCAGCAGCGACAGGGCCGGTGAGAAGAAAAGAGGAGAGAAAAGTGAAATGAAATAGAAGGACAGCAATGGACACACAAGTTCAGAGTACGACGTAAATCCCGTCCCGTCGTGTGACTTTGCACCGAACACTCCATCATTTTATCATTTCTGCCTCTACAACCGAGTTCTGGTTCGCCGATAGCCCCCGCACGAGATGGGAGACATGGGTCTGCTCCATTTTTGGCATGTCGTTTCCACGAATAATAAGACGAGCAACGACTAACAGGGATCGAGTATAAATGCGGAGACATCGGCTAAATGGGCAAAGGCCGGGCGACAGTCGCCGAAGAAGCAAAACTCGTCGACGCCCCAAAAACAAGCCATCTCTGGCCTTCGATTCATCACAGAAGGCTTGAACGGCAACACGGATATCCCCCGATCCGGAGGCCCGGAGGTAGCGTCCGTAAAGCTTTCACGTACACATTTGACCTACTTCCTGTCAGGGTTATTAGCTGTAGAGTACAAATAGTAATTATTATTGTGAGTAATCTCAGTAATCGGTCGAAATTAATAGGTTACAGCAAAACGAGAAACGAGAAACAGAAAAAAAAGAAAAGAAAAATAAGCAGTACTTAAACTTGACGGGTTAGTTAAACAATACAGGTAAACAGTAGTCGTCTCAGTCACGTATGACCGACGTAATGGAATTCCACTTAAAGGGATGATTCTACTAGGCCTGCGCACCGTCATTCGTATGGGAAAAACAGTGGGCAGTACCTTTCTCAAATTCCCGCGGCGCGGCTTGAGGCTCCCCTAGAGCGATTAACGAGAAACAACGAGAAAAAAACGAGAAACAGAGAGAAAATAAAAGAAAAGAAAACAAGTAGGAATAAGACCTCACGAGTTAAAAAAACGGAACAGGTAAACAGTAGTCGTCTCAGCCACGCATGACCGACGTAATGGAATTCCACTTAAAGGGATGATTTCACTAGGCCTGCGCACCGTCATTCGCATGGAAAATACTAGACAGTGCCTTTCTCAAATTCCCGCGGCGCGGTTTGAGGCTCCCCTAGAGCGATTGGCGCTTGCCGGTTTTATATTGGTAGTTGTCGTTGGTAGTCCCGGTGGAGTTTGTGATGGTCAAGCTGATGGCCATGTTCGAGTGAAGGGAGGCGTTGAGGACCTGGCAATCACGTCTGTGCCACACGGTTCGCCACAGCTGTTTCGTAAAGTGCTTGAGCTGTCTGGATTGCAGCTGGCCCTCATGGCAATGCAAAACGGACGGCCAGGGCGTGCCAGCCGGCTGGCCGTGGAAATCGCGGAAAAGCTGCCACAGGTCCTCGGTTGGCCCCTCATTGTCAATGGAGAGACTGCGTATGTTAGAAATGTGCGCACGAGGAGGAGGGCATTGGGACTATGAACTCACGGATCGAACTGATGCTGATCGCCAATTTCTTTGACGCGACGGATCCAGCCGTCTTGGGCACCGTCTGGCAGAACAAAGGTGGGCAATGTGCTCATGACGCCGGCTTGCGGACAGAACTTGAGCAGTCGAATGCCCCGGTGTTGATGCGGCGGCGGGTGCGGGCAGTCCCAGCGAGACGCCATATTTCTTGTTACAGAGCTCCCCGTGGGGATGTTGGCAATGACTTCTGCGTGGAAAAGAGCCCACAGGTAGCACCGGAACGGACTGAAGCCCGTGTAGATGGCCGCAAGTGCACGGTATGCGGGGGCCATCTGATTCGGCGTCACCATGGGGAGCAGAACACTTGGCGTCACGTTGGAGAGCGTGATTCGCGCAGCAATGTCGTTGTGCGCGTATGCTCGTTCCGTGTTTACGGCCGGCGCCGTGGTGCCGTGGTAGACAGGGAGGGAGGCACCTGTCGGGCTCCAGTTGCGGTCTTGGCGAATAGGGGCCACGGCTGCGTCTTCCATCGCTCTCGTCACAGGATTTGCCATCCATGCTGCCTTGATGTTTGGGCCGACGAGATCAATGTCAATGATGGGGCAGGTAGAGAGCACGGGTGGATCGAACAGCGTGGCCGTAGTGGTCGGAGTGGCCGCCGTCGCGGAAGAACTCGTCCCTGCTTGGCCGGCTGCAGGGATGCTCGCGGCAGCCGACGGCGGCACGACGATGCTGGCGTGCCCAGGACGCGGTGTCATCTCGGCATCGGCAGCCTGCTCGGCCGCGGCAGCCATGGCGCAGGCAATGCGCTGAGCCCACGTCTTTGGTGTCTCCGTTGCAAAGAAGACGTCGCTCAGGCTGCCCTCTGTCTCTCCGGACACCATGTCAAACTGGAACGCCGCGTCCGACAGGTGAGCGAGGAACGAGGTGCTGTAAAACGGCTTCAGCTGGTACACGAGATCCGACGTGCCCGTCACGGTCCCATCGAGGGGGACAGAAGCCGCCCGCACCATGTCGTCGATGGAAATAAGCATGGCATTCTCGATCGTGATCGCCAGGTCGGGATCCTTGGGAGCCAAATGGTCTGCAAAGTCTGCGCTCACAAGGGGCCCGACAAAGGACCTCGTGAAATGGAAGCGTTCAGCATACGGCGACGACATGGTATCAGTGTGATAATGGGAGCAGTAAGGTGTAGAAAGAAGAAGAGAAATGGATGTTCTGTGGGCAGAGACAGAAATGGGGAGATGGGAGAGAAAGTAAAAGGGAATCCTGTGCAAAAGTGAAAGGAAAAAAATTCAGTTGACGCTGACTATTGAGCTGTTGCCTAATATGGCTTTCTTGTGCAACCGAGAAAAATGTCGACGCGTTTGTGTGTTGTGGTGACTAACATCCGTCACATGATACAGCCGTCAACTACAGTCCAGGGCCTTCCAGGGCTATGCCCTTCAGACTCGCATTCTCTGAATCTTGTTGTATTCGCCTTGGATCAAGCAACGTACGAATTCCAGCGTATTTGCTTCCTGGATAGGTTCAATTGTTCCATTGTCCTTCACATCGCAGCTTACCTATATCACCATCACAATGGCGGAGTACGTCGTATGGAGCTGCTTTTGCCCCAAGCCACCAAGCTGTGGCACAGCCTTAAAAGCCCATTGGCCAAGAGCTGGACCCACAAAGGTCGCATTGCTGGACTTATCTAATGACAGAGGAGAAAAGCCGAGATTGTCACCTGACCTGTCAGACAGGTAGTCAGCTGACTATCGACTGGGTCTAAAATCTGGTGATATTATTGGCCATTAGGTGATTGTTGTTATTGTTGTTCTATCTGCATGACTAACGTTACCCAATACCATCTCGCCACTACAAAAGATTGCTATATGACTGTATAAGACAAGGTACATGCTCCCTCCTAGACAGCCTCGACTTCGTTGTGCTGGACGGTGCGCTTGGCGGCCGACGCCGTGCTCGCATCGGCGTTTTCGACGTTTTCGGCGTCTTCGGCATGTTCCACTTCGCCGTCGACCGTCATGCCCATTTTGCGCATGGCATTGGTCCCCGTGAGCGCGTCCGGCCCGTCAAAGATCTGGCCGACGTCCTCGAGCGCGTAGCCGCGGGTCTCGGGGAAGAAAAAGTAGATGGTGGCGAGGTTGAAGGCGATGACGCAGCACCAGACAATGTAGTAGCGCCAGCCGAGGTTGGTCATGCCGATGGGGTTGACGAAGCTGTTGAAGATGCCGGCGATGTTGCCGGTGAGCTGGTAGAGCATGGCGCCCTTGGCGCGCAGCGTAAAGGGGAGGATCTCCATGATGTAGGTGGGCGCGGCGGGCGACTGCACGTGGTAAAAGGCGGAGAAGACGAGGATCATGGTGATGACGCCGGCGGCGAGGCCGTGATCCTCAAAGTTGCGCTGCTGGTTGAGGGCCGAGCAGATGGTCCAGATGACGTAGGACAGCAGCATGCCGGCCATGCCGAGCAGAAACAAGAAGCGGCGGCCGAGGCGGTCGACGAGGCCGGCAAAGACGAGGGCGGTCAGGAACGACCAGATGGACAGGCAGCCGTTGATGATGAGCTGCGTCTTGCTGTCGGTGATGCCGATGGAGTTGAGAACGCGGGTCAAGTAGTACGAGGTCAGATTGTTGCCCGACCACTGGAGCATGGCCGGGATCCAGGCGGCGAGGAAGAAGCGGTGGCGCATGCCGGGGGTGCGAAAGAAGGCGGCCCAGCGCGCCTGCTTCTGCTCCTTTTCCATCTCGAGCGTGGCGACGACCTCGGCCATCTCGAAGCGCACGAGCGGCGCGTCGGCGTCGCCGTGGCCGTGGAACTTGGCGAAAAAGGCCCGCGCCTCGTCCTGGCGGTTGTTGTAGATGAGCCAGCGCGGCGACTCGGGCGCGAACCAGACGAGGGCCATCTGGACGACGGACACGGAGCACTGCAGCAGGCTCGGCAGGCGCCACGACCAGGCGCTGTCGATGCGGAAGGTGCCGTAGGTGATCCAGGCGGCCACGAGCGAGCCGAGCGGCCACGAGACCATGTACATGCTGACGAGCACGCCGCGGTGCGTCGGGTACGCGCACTCGGTCAGCAGCGGCGGCGCGGCCGTCGAGACCATGCAGAGGCCCGCGCCGACAATGAAGCGGCCGGCGACGAACATGCCAAAGTTCTGCGCGGCGCCCTGCAGCACCGAGCCGAGGATGATGACGGCCGAGCCGCCGAAGATGGGCCAGCGCCGGCCGAAGCGCTCGCAGAGCTGCGACGACCACAGCACCGCAATCAGGGTGCCGCCCGTGGTGCCGGCGGTCATGGCGCCGAGGCGCGTGCCGTTGGGGTGGTCGAAGAAGGCGGCCCAGTGGGTGAGCGACTGCATGCCGTTGATCATGCTCGAGTCGAACCCGGAGGCCGTCTGCGTCAGCAGCGCCGACAGCAGCAAAAAGTTGAGGTGCAGCAGCCGCGTGTCGCGCCACCACGGCTTGCGGTCCTTGGGGATCAGGTCGGCGAGGTTGACGCCAGCACCGGCGGACGCGTCCGTAAAGGCGCCCATGGTGGAGGTGTGTGAAGATGGAGACGAAGCAAAATAAATTGGGAACAAAGTAGAGATGATGGATGCAGGCAAAGTTCAAACGCCGTGTCGGTCGTGGCCAGACGGACGCAGGGCCTTGTTTATATCTTGGCCGTGCGACTGGGCCCGGCAAATACGCGGCATGGCTGCGTTGCATCTTGTTGAGTCAAAGAATGGCTGACCTAGACAGGGACGAAGGAAAGACGTCGTGTGGCCTGTCCCTGGTGACCTGGGCCCCAGATTCGCTGCAGTTGTCTCCATAATTTTACCTTTCCCAATCTTCCTTTTTCCTTTTGCCGTTGGCCCTTGTTCCTGTTCCCCGCACGATAGTGCACGGCAACGCACGCTACGCGGGCATCGGGCTGTGTCTGGGCCCATTTGGGCGACGGGGCCGACGACCTGCGAGCGTGCATTCGCCCGGTTTGTCGTTGGTATCGGACAAGCGGCCAAACACGGTGCGTGGCCGGTAACTATGGTCATTCACGCCTTTCGCGGCTTGGCTTTGGGCGTCGGTTTGCATTTCAAAATTAAATCACTGCAAACATTAAATCGATGGCCATGCAGTCGTCACAAGTTACTGGATGACTACAATACTTCATTGAATAATTCTTGTGCTCATCGGCAGGGTCGAATTCAGTCTGTATCCTCATTGCCTATTCTCATGTCTAGTGTTGTCTTCGCCGTCAGTCCTCTGTAATCTAGTCTATCACTGTCATCCGACGACTCCTTCGCTCGTAATCCGCTATGCCAATCCCATCCGCAGCAGCTGGTTGCCAAACTCGAGCAAATAGTAGTCGGCATACACCAGCCCGTGGTTCCAGTACCGGTGGTGGTCCCGCGCATTGGCATTGGCTGTTGCGTGCTTCAGGATTGCGGCAAACGACTGGCCGGCGTGTGTGTCCTTGACGACGGCCAACGCCGTTGACTCTGCCTTTTCTCTTTTCTCCTCCTCCACAAACTCGGCCGTCTCGGGCGCCAGCGACAGCGCCAGCGTGTCCTTGACAATGTCCAGCGCCGCCTGCAGGAACCGGTCGGCCTCGTGCGTCTGGCCGCGCGCCCGCAGCGCCTGCGACAGCACCAGCATGCCGTTGGCGGCAATCACGCCGGCCGACGAGTCGCGCAGCGGGCCCGTGTCGGCCACGGCGTGGGGGTCGACGGGCGCGTCAAAGTCCCAGAGGGGGACAAGGCGACCGCATTTGCGGCCGTGACCATGGCCGCCGATGTCGACCTCGACCTCGACACACGCCGGCGATGCGGCGAGACGGTGCAAAAAGTAGTTTGCGAGGCCCGCGGCGGCGCGCGCAAACTGCGGCTGTCCCGTGCGCACAAACGTGCGCGCAAAGCCCAGGATGCCCCAGGCCTGGCCGCGCGCCCACGTCGAGTCGCGCGCGTAGCCCTGCGCCGTGCGCAGCTCCTTGACCGCGCCCGTCGCCGGCGAGAAGTTGGCCACGTGGAACGTGCTGTACATGGGCCGGCCGTCGTCCGGTGACGTGTTCGGCGCCTCGTCCCGCAGAATGCTGCCCAGGACCGTGTTGGCGTGCGCCGTGGCCGCGGCGGCGAGCGTGTCGTCGCCCTCCAGGGCCGCCACGTGGTACAGCAGGTCCAGGTTGACCATGGAGTCGACAATCACGAGGAAGTCGTCGGCCAGCGAGTCGACGAGCACGCCGTCCTGGTCCAGCCGGTCCCACGACCGGATCGCGCCCACCGTCGCGTGGAAGCGCCCGTGCAGCGCGTACGCCGCCTGGACCACGGCCGCCCGGGCCGCGGGCGTGTGGTACTGCTCAAAGCACGCCCGCTGCGACAGCATCACGATAAACGCCATGTCGTGCGTGTCGGTGCGGCCCGCCATGCTGCGGATCGGCCCGTCCCACGACTGCGCCGTCGTCTCGAGCGTCGTCTGCACGCGGCGGCGCAGCGCCGCCGACAGGCGCAGTGCGACCGCCTGCGGGAACTTGTTGAACCGCTCCAGCAGCAGGTAGATGCTGCCCGGGAAGAACCCGCACGTCCAAAAGTCCGCCTCGCGCAGCGCATACTGGCCGGCCCCGGGCCCCGTCACCGGCACGTACTCGGGATACCGCGTCGGCGGGTCGTTGTCGACGAGCGCCTCGACGGCTGTCCGCGTGATCTTGGCCATGGTGTTCTCGGCAAAGAGGCCGCTGAGGCGTTCCGCAAGGGGCGGAGCCATGGACAGGCCCGTCGGTGTCGATGCTGCGACCGGCTTGACGCTGGGCCGGTCCATAATGTCTGGTGTGCCGTCGACGGAGCTGTCAGAGGTATTGTCGCTGTGCGCACCGCCGGCACCCTCGGAGCTGGTTGTCGATGCGGAGCTGGGCATGTTGAGGAGTGTTGATTGGTGGACGTGGAACGGCGGGGAGGCCAGTGGAAGATGGGATGCTGGTGTGGTAAGGCGCGTCTGTGTTCTTTCGATTTTGATACTATTATCTTGTCGAATGATCTTTTTCTTTCTTTTGTTTGCGCTTGCTTTCATCGGACGTCGAGCTTTATTACTTTGTCCTCCTCACAGCCAGTTTTCTTTATTCCATCGTCCGTTCGCTGTGTCTCTCGTCCACTCGATGCTGGCGGGTTCTCCAACTTTTTGTTCGTTGCAGAGCCGCCCGAATCCCGGCCGTGACTTTGTCCGGTGCCCGTGTTATGGAGCGTAATCCGGCAAATGGAGCTAGACGTTAAACGACGTTCTTGGCCACTTTGGCAGTGCGGAGTATCGTGGATTGGGTGCTCCGTACGCTGGGCTTTTAGCCGGTTGAACCAGATGTCGAGTACAACAACATACAGTGTTTTGTGTTCGTGAATGGGTCTATGCTACTTTTATGGGTCGGAGATACAACAGCCTTGATCGCCACAAGTCTATTCGTGGTGTCTCGGGCTTGGAAACCTTGACCGAAGGTGCCTTTCGCCGAGTTCTTGACAACGCATCTGACACGTTCATCGCAGTCATGCCGTGTATGTATGGTGCCGTCAAACAAGACGAACGACGCGAGCTCGGTTCGTGGCGCATATCAACAACGCTCGTTTCTTGTGCATGAGGTGTATGAGTCTTTCGACAAAGATGAGAAAACCAGGTTGACGTCAACATTCACGTCGTTTTGCTACGCTGTATTTCCACGGCTATGAAAGACAAGCTCTGGATGGGTTTTTAAAAATTCTTCCTCCGAGGCAAGAAGCATATGTCCCCACTTCTGCCTTTGTTGAATCCTCCCGAGAATCAGTTCACACAACTTCTCCTCGCCAAACTTTTCTTTATATTCCTCATCGGTATAGCCTCTTGGTGTGGTCTCCGTAATATTGAATGGGTAGCTTTTGAGGAAGCCTAGGATTGTATTGTTGAGTGGCATCGAAATACTACCTTTAGATTAGCAAAGTCAATCAAAAAGGAAAAAGGGAGATGACTTACAGCTCGGCCCCGCCCCATCGATACATGGACGTAGACACCTCTGGGGAATCAGGTTTGCCGTTGTCTATCAAGATGTAAACTCGGTCGTTGGCGGAACAAAATTGACCAGAAGATCGGATACGGTCTTGGTCTTTGTCAAAAGGACGGTTCCACTTGCGGGTACAAATTATATTCGCCAAGGTGATCCGTCGTTTCTCAGGCTCGCCGGGGATGGTCCGAGAACGACATTGTACAACAATGCGCATCGCCATGCTGGTGCTTGATGCTGTGTCGAAAGAGAAAACAAGAAACTAAAACGATCATTTTATGCGGGGTATGGGGTTCGCTGGCCGGTGACTTTTTTTGGCCAGTAAGGAGATACGCCTGCTCCCACCACGCGCAGACTACTCCCGCAGCACAATACATGGCTCGGCTGATGCCTTGCCAAAGGCCACTCTCGGCTTGTTGTTCCACCGCTCCGTAATGTCTACCCGCTCAGAGTCGTCCGTGCCGGCCTGGATGGCAAACACCTTGGTCACCAGCACCAGCTCTGTGCCCGCCGCCAGCTCGCCCGCTGTCGCATCGACAACATCGTGGTACGCAGCCGGCATCAGGCTGCGCTGGTACGCCAGGCTCGTGTTGGAATCGGGCTTGAGCGGCGCACACCGCGCCTGGACCGTAGCGCTGCCCGCATCACCAGCGCAGCGTAGAATCGGCGCGTCTATGGCGACGCCCAGTGCGCCTGCGTAGGACAGAATCAGCACGGAGGGTGCATCGTCGCCCAGCACCACCTCTTCGCTTTCCCCCAGGACCAGCTTCGCCGGCTTCTCCGCGGCCGGACCGAGATTGGCGCCGTCGCCTCGCGCGCTCTTTCTCCGTCCTGGCCCGGCAAAGCCGCCCTCCACGGCATGCAGCATCGGGATCGCCTTGTTCACGCGGATGCGGTGCACACGCACGTGCCAGTCCGGCCATGCATCTGTCGGCGGGACGAGGGTCGTGTCCACCTGCACCGCCCGGTCGGCGCCCCAGGGATACCACCGCACCGCAGCCCATCCGTCGTCGGTGAACGTGGCCGCCTCGCAGTGCTTCCACTTGACCACCCACGTCTCGCGCCCGTCCCGGCTCAGCGCCAGGCTGTTGTCTGGCGCCATCTGCTGGATCAGCGGGCCCGTCGGCACGGAAAAGGGAAACGCCGACGAGTAGGCAAACTTGCAGTACTTGGCCTGCGTCGCCTTCATCGGCCAGGCCACATACTGCGCCGGCGACAGCATAAAGTGGTGGCGGCCGGCCGGGTGGTTGCACAGGATCTGCTGCGGCGTGGGCACCAGACGCACGCCGGGCTGGTCCGACGAGAACGCTGGATACGGCTCTTCCTCCGCCGCCCAGAAGGCGTCGTCGTCGCGCAGCGCCACCGCAATCAGCGTCTTGAGGCACCAGTAGACCGACTGCGGCGAGTTGTAGTCCTCGGCCATGTACATGTTGGGGTACTGCCAGCCGATGGTCATCGTGCCGTCGACACCGAACACGTCGTCCGAGTGCGCCGCCCACCACCGCAGGTGCCGCAGCAGGAAGCCCTTGACGGCCCCCGGCGTGTGCAGCGGCGCCGGCATATCCTCGACCTGCGCCACGGCCAGGGCCGCAAAGAAGCCGCCGCACGCAAAGCGGTACGTCAGCGACCGCCCAAAGGGAATCGCCGCGCCGTCCGCGTCAAAGTACCGCCAAAACGACGCGCCAAATTGCCGTGCCATGCTGCGGTACCGCTCGGCCCGCGCCGGGTCGAGGTGCGCGCCGCCGTATCGGGTGTACAGCAGCTGGCTGAACTGGATGGCAAAGCTGCCCGAATAGTAGTCCACCTGCCGGCCCATGCTTGTGTCGCGACTGCCGTGCACGCGCGCCTCTTCGCGCTCGGCGGCCTGCTGCGCCTCCGTCTGCCACGATCCGTCGCTCGACCAGCCGTCGCCAATGTAGTAGGAATCAAGCTTCGCCAGGTCCTCGTTCATCTGGTCAACAAGCACTTGGTTGTAGGCGTGCTGGCCGCCCCCGACCGCCTGGCCGTCCGTTAAGCGCAGCACCGTCAGGTTGGCCATCACGCGGAACCACAGCCAGTTGGTCGGCGGCATCTCCTTTCCGCTCATCTGCCGCAGCCACCGCACAATGTTGGCCTGCACCCGCGGCGGCTGCGCGTAAAACAGCCGGTTCGGCGCCGCCAGCAGCGCGTACGACACAATCTCCGACTCGACCATGCGCTGGTCCATATCGCTGATGTCGCCCCAGTACTCGGGGTGCTCGGGGTCGGTGCCAACGGCAATGCCCTCGATCCAGGGGGCTAGCACGTCATCGCTTTCGTCGCTGTCGCCGCCTTCCAAGAGAGCGCCAACGGCCCACAGCGGCCGTGCAAAGCCCTCGAGCTGCGCCGCCGCCTCGTCAAAGTGCGCGCCCGTCGCCACGGGGATGCGCACGCGTCCGCGGCCCGGCGAGAAACATGTCTGCTGCAGCGGTCGGAGCAATGCAAGCGTTGCCCGCACGACGTCGGCACGTGTACGCAGCGGGTTGTCGGAGAACCCAGGAAGAGGGGGCATGATTGATGGTGCGCGGCGGTGTTACTTGGCAATTGTTCGGTTCGTTTGGATGTGCTTTTCTAGATCGCGTTGTCGAAGCCGTACATTCTTTGTTCTATTTGTTTTGGATTTGGTTTCACCCCCTTTTTTTCCAAGGCCCTCTTTGCAGCTTCCCTTTTTGATTGCAGTTGCTCCTCGTTGAAAGCTCTCCCCAAACAGTTGGGCTTTGTTCATCGTACCTTCCTGAGCTTCCCCTCACGAGACTCCTTCCCGCAGCGGGAATCGGTGCAGGTCCCGGGGCCCGCTCCCGGCCGCACCTTCCTTTGGCCTCGCTTGGGCCATATCAAGTTAGTCAAGGCACATGACTTACACCTCTTATTGTCCAATTCAACAGCAGCATCGACCATCGCAAGATCAGATAGACCGATTGGTTCACGTGCGAGCATGTCCGTAGATTTGCGTCGTGGACACTGCTTTCTCACGTGCCATATCCACCTCCCACAAATTGAAGGAAACTGTTCCAAAATATATAATATAATATAAACAAAAAGACACAAAGGCTGGTGCACTGGGCAGCTCCGTATGTTAACTAACGTACATACATTATTAGATTTGAAAGCGTATTAATTGAATGGCCTGGACCGAACTAGGCGTGCCAACGGAGACTTTGATGGAATCTTGCGACTACCTGTTTCTGTATTTTCTATTTTATTTTCTATTTTTTCCCGCTTGCTTTCAAAGTGTTTCCGCTCGCTGAGATGGAATATGCCATAACATGCCGCATGTTTTCACCCCTGCAAACACAAAGAGTCGCAGCTGCAGGTCGTAAACGGTGGGGCGGCTGCCCCCACTCTACTATTTTCACGTGCGCCAACTGGATGACATCACTGGGTCAAAGGCCACGCCAAGCACGCGCCTGAATATGCGCTGTGTCGACAGGAAGGCACGAGTGCCCTGACCTGCCTGCCTGCCTCGAAGACAATCACGGCAAATGTCAAATAGGGCACGAAGGCAACCACGACCAACCGCTTGGGAAGCGATACACAGGGACAAGCACACCTTGAACGAACGGGAAGGAACAACCTATGTAGATCTCCTATGTCGGCGTCGGGTCGCATCCGAAATGTACGACGTATACCACCATAACTACTGAAAGGCAAATAGCACAGGTTCACAGTACCTGCCGTTACAGGGCGAGAGTGCTACAAGAAACAAAAGCACACAAATAATTACTGCCTTTTCCTAACTCCCGCCTGGATGGCACCTTTCTGCCATTTACTAAGCCGGCTTCTGCCAATTTAGTTCTTTTTGTACGAAATACAGGTGTAGTCAGACGATCTGGTCTCGCCGCATCGAATGCGTCACCGGCGCGTCCCACAGGGCGAAAAAGCACCTGTCCAAATGCTCCAGACGGAGAGGCCTGGCCACTATCGCCGTAATACCGCCAGATCGCACCTTCCTGTGCGGGCAGTGGCAACAACCGTAAGATTCCCAATGAGGAAAGCTCCACTGCGCCAATACGCCCCTTCCCCCTAACTACCCCCAAACTCCTCAGCGCCTTCCCCAGTCAATGTTCCAAGGCAGAAAACGACGATAAGGTTCACTTGGCTTCGCCTTCCGTTTTATTCAGATTTTTCTTCACTTCTTCGCTCCCCCTTTCCGACCACTTTTACACGCTCAATAAGAAAACAATCTCCCTTTCGACGTCTTGATACCGATCGCTGTGCCGCTCGACTATCGATACCCCCCGAAACGACGCACTCACGCCCAACGGATTCCTGGATGGGTCGCCTCGGCCACATCCCGTTCGGCAACCTGGCCGATAGCATGCCTTCGCCTTAATTTAGACAAACGCGTTTTCCTTCCTTCAACTTTCATAGACAGGAATACTGCCTGGTCTGCTCTTTGTCTCTCCTGTTCTCCCCTGGGCTGCGTCACGATGTCGTCTCGCACGGCCGCTTCGCCCTCCCGGCCATCGCGGCCATCGGCCACGCCGTCTGCGGCCACAGCTTCAGCTTCAGCCGTCCAACAGCAACCGACCAATACAGGAGCACCAGCAGCACCAGCAGCAACAGGAGCCCCAGGAACATCTGCAGGGGCTGGCCCCCCGCGTAAACGCCACAAGCACCGCGGCGGCAAGAAGAAGCAGCGTCGCAAGTCGTTTGCCGTCGTCCAGCCGCACGGCCTCGGCGACGACGAGGGCGCACACGACAACGTCGAGGCCGATCCTCTCAAGGACACGACTCTGGCCGGCGCCTCGCGCGACGAGTTCTTTGACATCCACCACAACCACCGCGCCCGCAGCCTCAGCACCACCAGCCTCGAGAGCGAGAGCCTGCTCGACCACCGCGACCAGCAGCCTTTTTTGCGCGCCCGCCGGCCCTCGATTGCCGTCACGCCCAGTCTCAGCCAGTCGGTACGGCTACAGGCCGACCTTGACAATGACGACAACAACGACGATGCCAACGAGACGGCGCCGCTGCTCGCGCAGTCGCACCACCAGGAGCAGCGCATGCCGAGCTCTGGCAGCGGCGGCGGCGGCGGCGGCGGAGGTGGAGGTGGCGGCGGCGGCATTGGGTCCGACTTTCCGTCGGCTGCCGCTTCCCGCGCTGCGGCTTTCAGCGGCTACGGTGCCACCACGGGCTCTTCGAACGACGGGCCCCGTCCGCCGAGCCGACACGGGTCCAACCACTCCGGCCGCCACAACAAGTTCCTCAACCCCTTCAGCCCCTTTCCCAACGCCGAGCGGTACAGCAGCGTCAACTACCCACCGTCTGTCCCCGGCAGTCCGCCTCTGCGTCCGACGGACCGCCTGCTCGACCACAACAACAACATTAGCTTTGGCGACCAGATGCTGCGCGATGAGCTGCGCGCGCCTTCGTCACCGGTGGGCCTGCGCCGGTCCGAGACCTCGTCCAGCAAGAACAATCTGAACGACATGCTCGCCGATCGCGAGCGAGACCGTGAACGGGACCGCGACTGGGACCGCGACCGGGACCGTGATCACGATCGCTCCCATGATCAACGGGGACGTCAGCCATCCAAGGCGGCCGGTGGCGACGGCGACCATGGCAGCACCCACAACGGACACAGCAACAAGGGCTCGATGGGTGGCGCTGGCGCTGGTGTTGGCGGTGGTGGCGGTGAGAATGACGTGTGCTTCCCGCAGAGGCACCTCTCCGAGATGGCCGAGGACGAAGAAGACTACCACCGCGACGACGACGACGACGTCGACCGTGAGCGTGATGCCGCGGCGTGGCGTGCGCGCACGAACCGCCGCCGCCGGGGCAAGTGGCCTGACCTGGCCATCCTCGACGAGTGGAGCCGATTCGAAAAGGAGGGCCGCAGCGAGGGCCGCCGCGCCAAGAAGATCAAGGAGCCGCAGCTCGTCAACGGCCGCCTGCGGCCCGTCCACAAGGGCTGGCACCGCGCCGAAGAGGACGCGCCCTACCGCTTCACCTACTTCAACGAAGAGTTCCAGAGCACCATCCACAGCCAGTCCATCTCCGAGCTCGTGCAGCCCGGCGGCAGCTTCCGCGAGCTCTTCATTCCAGACCCGCCCCTGCTGTCCGACTCCGACTCGGACGATGACGACGACGCGGACTTTGTCCCCGGCCACGAAAGGAGTGACGGCAGCGCGCTGGATGGCACGATGGTTCCCGGCTACGAGGAGCCTGACATCGCCAGCGCCGCTGCCGACCTCAACCTCAGCCGTGACCCGCTCTATGTGGCCGAAGCCCTGTCCAACGCCGGCGACAGCGTTCAGCGCCCCGGCACGCGCTCGGGAGGCACTGCGAGCCCAGAAAAGGGCGGCAGCGGTGCCGCATCACAGGGACTGCGCCCGCCGCAGTCCTCGGCGACCATGGAGCGCACACCCACGCAATTGTCGGATGACTTTGGCCGCCCAACACCACTCTCTCCCCCCCGCGTGATGTCTCCACCCCAGGTCACCAGCCCCGACCAGCGGCCCCTGCGGACCATGTCACCTGGGCCGGCTCCCTTGGCACTGACACCGCAGCGGCAGGCAGAGCGCGAGAACCTGCGGGCCGCCGTCACTGCCGCTGCCGCCGTGGCAGCCACCGACGCTGCCAACGCCGCTGCCGCGGCGACGTCTGTGGCCACCAATGAGCACGGCCGCTCGTCGTCCCGGCAGTCGGGGACGGGCAACGATACGGCCGTTGGGCAAGCTCCGGGCGCCGTCACGAAACTGCCCCGGCAGCCCCGGCAGCCCCGCTACGGCGAGCGGCCGGTGTGGTGGCTCGATGTGCTGAGCCCGACCGAGGCCGAGATGAAGATTCTGAGCAAGGCGTTTGGCATCCACCCGCTGACGGCCGAGGACATTGTCATGCAGGAGGCGCGCGAAAAGGTCGAGCTGTTCCACAACTACTACTTTGTGAGCTACCGCTCGTTCGACCAGGACCCCAGCAGCGAGACGTTCCTGGACCCCGTCAACATGTACGTGGTCGTGTTCCGCGAGGGCGTCCTCAGCTTCCACTTCTCCATGACACCGCACCCGGCCAACGTGCGCCGGCGCATCCGCCAGCTCAGCGACTACATGATCCTGTCGTCCGACTGGATCTCGTATGCCATCATCGACGACATCACGGACGTCTTTGTGCCGCTGATCCAAAAGATTGAGGAGGAGGTCGACGACATTGACGACGCCATCCTGCAGATGCACTCGTCGGCGGCGGGCCATGTGCTGGCGGCCAACCGCGAGAAGAGCGAGACGGCCACCGGCACCGCCAGTGGCAGTGGCAGTGGCGGTGGCGGTAGCGGTGGCAACGCGGCGGCGACGGCCGAGGCCGACACCAACATGCTGCTGCAGGTGGGCGACTGCCGCAAGCGCGTCATGAGCCTGTACCGGCTGCTGGGCACCAAGGCCGACGTCATCAAGGGCTTTGCCAAGCGCTGCAACGAGCACTGGGAGATTGCGCCGCGCAGCGAGATCGGCCTGTACCTGGGCGACATCCAGGACCACATTGTCACCATGACGTCCAACCTGAGCCACTACGAGAAGATTCTCTCCCGCTCCCACGGCAACTACCTCGCCCAGATCAACATCCGCATGAACGAGCGCCAGGAGAAGACGGCCGACGTGCTCGGCAAGCTGACGGTGCTGGGCACGATCGTGCTGCCGATGAACATCATCACGGGCCTCTGGGGCATGAACGTCTGGGTGCCCGGCCAGGACGGCGAGGGCGATCTGCGCTACTTTATGGTGATTACGGCGGGCCTACTCGCCTTTGGCATGGCCTGCTACTGGATCGCAAAGCGCGTCTACAAGATTGTGTGACTGCATGGGAGCGACGAGCAATCCGATGCCGACGTGGATTTTGCATAGTTTTTCTTTTGTTGATGGGCGGTGCACTGGGGCGGGGAGCAGACAAAAAGCATACAAACGGCGTTTACATTTGCTTCGGGGTGTGGTAGAGTCGTACATATACCATATAATACACATGATGAGTCTATCGTGCGTGACTTGAAACATTCTTGTTTAAAATATTGTCTCAGCATAATGTGTAAGGGTATATTTTTAGTACGAGGACAGCAATAATAACTTCCTTCGATATGCGTTCATATTATTTTCTTTCACAATACTCAGCACACACGAATGAGAATGTACGAGTTGGTATTTCAATAAAATCACCCGCCAGTATTTTGAGCCGACAAGAACGCCTTGACCGTAGATGGAAGTACAACACTTTAAACAAACAGCAAAACACCAGATCCGATATGTCGTGACCAAATAACCGCAAAAGACACAGGAAGGACAACAAACACAACAACAGCAACAGATTACCGCGCACCGCCACCATACTGCATCCGCAGGGCCATCAACTGCGTCCGTTCTGCCTCGGGCAGCTGGTCAATGACGGCCTGCGGCAGCTCCAGCACCTGCTTGATCAGCTCATCCTGTCCTGGCGCGGCCGGGGCAGCCGCGGGCGGTGCGGCCACGGGTGGTGCCAGCTCGGGTTGGTAGGCGGCGTATGCGGCGGGCGGTGGTGGCGGTGGCGGTGGCGCCTGTTGCTGTGGGACGACGGGCACCGCCGGCGTCGCCTCGACGACGGCCTGGATGGCCTCGGGCGACACCAGGTCCATGAGCAGCAGCGCCTGGAACACGGCGTACGCCAGCTGCGGCGCCTGGGCCAGCAGCTCGGTGGCGCGCGCGGGCTCGTTGGTCGCCAGCGTCTTCATCTGCGTGAGCACGTCGAGCAGCTGCGTCGGCGGCAGCGTCCGCAGAACGCGCGAGATCTCGTCGGTGGCGCTCGCGCCGGGCGGGATGTCTTTGCCGGGCGGCAGGGGCGGCAGCGACGAACTGCCGTTGGACGAACCGGTTGCGGCCATTGGCGTGCTCGCCGCCGGCCCGTTGCTGCTGGTGCCGGTGCCGGGTCCCCCGTAGGTGTTGCTGCCGCCCATGGACGCCGGCATGTCCTCGTCGTGGCCTTCGTTGGAGAAATCGACGCGCAGCTTGCGGCCCATGACCTCGTAGTCGTTGAGGTTGCGTACCGCGGAGGCGGCCGAGTCGGGGTCGGGGTACTCGGCGAAGCCAAAGCCCTTGGGCTTTCCGTTTTCGCGGTCGTAGACGAGACGGAAGCTGACGACGCGGCCGGCGCTGCTGAAGATGTCGGAGATCTGCTCTTCGGAGAGACCTGCCGTCGGGTTAGTCAGGGTCGGGGCAGACTGCGTCCACACACTTGATTTGACCTACCGTATGGGATGTTACCCACAAAGACAATCTTGGAGGGCTGTCGCGACATGTCGGCGAGTGTGCAGGCGGATGTGGAGGGCGTAGGGAACGCAAAGCCGCTGGTTGGAAGGCCTTGACGAGGCGAGACGACGGAAGCTCGTGGCGCTCTGGACTGGATTTCGATCGGTCCAGACACGAGAAACAGCTCCGCTATGTTGGTGCGGTGTCAAGGAAGATGCCGAGTTGTCGTCGTGAAGAAACCGTGTCGCCGTTGAGTTGCAATTGCGCGACAGAGGCAGGTCGAGGTGGTCGAGGTTCTCGGTAGACGTTGAAAGGGCTGTGACTTTCTTCTTGGTGGAGAGCTGTATGCATATCGCCTAGCTCGAGATGCACGTGTATGGTCATGTGACATTAAGTTTGAGGTATTGTGGGCAACGAATGCGAACAGCTCTGCCACGGTCTAGAAATTTATGTAAAAATTTGCGAAACATCTTTCGAATTGTGGGAGGTAAAGGTGAGCTTCATTTTGTCATCAATTGTCTTTTCATCGACACAGAGCAGACCCGTTTGTCTGTCCACCATACAGCCAGACGTCTTCAGGCAGGCGAGTAGTCGTTTGTGGTGGGGCACGCCACCTAAAACAGGCCAATCAGGCGTCGTAGCTGGGGCCGGCGTGCCGTAGAAAGGTCAGCAAAAAAGGCAAAAAGCGAAGCAGAGCTGCGGAGCACACAAAAGAGAGGCAGACAACCACCACATTTTTGACGTTTGGCCTATCGACATCCGATTTACGATTGACGGTCGATTCGACGCACGATCTCAGCCTCGAGATCCGAAAACAACCGACAGACCAAGCTGTACGCTTGCCGACGACTCGTCCTCTCTTATTCAAACGACCTGCCTTTTCCCTTCTACCACTCCCCGTCATCTCCCTCTCCCGCAACATGTCCGGCCGTGGCCCCATGGACGACTACGTCCGCCGGCTGCAGCAGATGGCGCTGAACAGCAGCCGTCGCGGCGGCGGCGGCGGCGGCGGACCCGGCCCGCGGATCGGCGGTCTCGTGTCGTCGCTGCTCGTGATGGGCGGCGGCATCTGGGTGTTCCAGAACGGGCTGTTCAACGTGGACGGCGGGCACCGGGCCATCAAGTACCGGCGGCTCAGCGGCGTGTCCAAGGAGATTTACGGCGAGGGCACGCACTTTATGATTCCGTGGTTCGAGTCGCCGATTGTGTACGACGTGCGGGCGCGGCCGCGCAACGTGTCGTCGCTGACGGGCACCAAGGACCTGCAGATGGTCAACATTACGTGCCGCGTGCTGTCGCGGCCGGACGTGCCGGCGCTGCCGCAGATCTACCGCACGCTGGGCACCGACTACGACGAGCGCGTGCTGCCGTCGATTGTCAACGAGGTCCTCAAGAGCGTGGTCGCGCAGTTCAACGCCAGCCAGCTGATTACGCAGCGCGAGATGGTGGCCCGGCTGGTGCGCGAGAACCTGTCGCGGCGCGCGGCCCGCTTCAACCTGCTGCTCGACGACGTGTCCCTGACGCACCTGGCGTTCTCGCCCGAGTTCACGGCCGCCGTCGAGGCCAAGCAGGTGGCCCAGCAGGACGCGCAGCGCGCGGCCTTTGTCGTCGACAAGGCGCGCCAGGAGAAGCAGGCCATGGTGGTCAAGGCGCAGGGCGAGGCGCGGTCGGCCGAGCTGATTGGCGATGCCATCAAGAAGAACAAGGCGTACGTGGAGCTCAAGAAGCTGGAGAACGCGCGGGCCATTGCGACGACGCTGCAGGACGCCGGCGGCAAGAACCGGCTGCTGCTGGACGCCGAGGGCCTGGGCCTGAACGTGTTTGAGAGCGGGGAGGAGTCGAAATAGGGTGAAAGGGGAGAACGACGTTGACAATGGAACTGTGTAAAGGCATGAACGAAGTCGGCGTTTTGGATGGGGGACAAGGGGAGGAGGACCGGGGAAACACGCAACATCCGGCATGGCACGGCAGCATGGTCATGGCATGTCGGGCACGAACAATCTCTCCTACGGCATCGTGCCATCCATCTCAAAAAGGGCATCTCCACTGTGTATTATCATATTCCTGTTTTTTTTATTTGTTTTGCTTTTTGCTTTTTGCTTTGTTAATGTTTCATAGCTGTAAAAAGGGACAAAATCATCTTGCATGAATGCATGAATACCGCCTGCTCGGACGGCACCCTGACATTGTGACGTCGTCCATCAACGGCTGTATCGTCGGTACCAATCATCTGGATCCTCGGGACACACAGTTGTCGCCTCATCTGATGTCACCTTGCAGCGTGCTCGCCTATCCCGTTCGTGCCTTCCTTTACTGCGTCAGGCTGCCTCTTTCCATGCTGCGAGACGCGGGAAACAACTGGGAGTTATGGAAAGCACGACTGCACTGCCCCACCGAGCGCCCTCTTTGCCCTTTTCGCCCTGGCGCCAGCCGCCTGGCGCCTGCCAGGCTGGTTGGGCTGCGCTAAATCGGACCTGACAAACAAAACCCCTCCCTCTTGTCCGCCAGGCAGCTTTGAATATCTGAGCATTTAAATGCACACCTAACGATCCACCATCACCCGCAGCGTCAACCTTGCCGCCCTTCCTTCGCAACAGCATTTTGCTTTCCGTTCCGTCCTCGACATTCCAGCGACCGTTCTCCAGCGTTCCTCTACCTGTCTAGCCTTTCACTTGGACAGCTGCCACCGGGTCCGGTCATTTTCATATATCTCCAAGGTCCCTCCTCGAGCAACACCACCGTCTGCAAACACGCAAACACGCAAAACCGTAACAGACAGCAGCCGCCATGTTGATCAAGTACGTGTCGATCCCTCTTGCTTCCGCGTCTGCTTTGCCTGCTCGTCCCACTAACAAACAATGACAGGGTCCGCACCCTCACGGGCAAGGAGATTGAGCTCGACATCGACCTCAACTACAAGGTCTCCGAAATCAAGGAAAAGGTCGAGGAGAAGGAGGGCATTCCGCCGGTCCAGCAGCGCCTCATCTTTGGCGGCAAGCAGATGGCCGACGACAAGACGGCCGCCGACTATGCGCTCGAGGGCGGTGCCACGCTGCATCTGGTGCTGGCCCTGCGCGGCGGCTGGTGGTAGAGAGGGCCAGGGTGAGGAGAGGAGGACGAGGGCAGACGGGATGACAGACATATAACGATACTTCCCACGGCAATGGCATCCAAGGCTCGACTCGCAAACTCGACCGAAATCGGTGGACAACGACCATAGCGGTTGCATATGCGGATGGGTTAGCAGAGGGTTGGCGCTCTGGGGGAAGATCAAGATTTGGCCGTTTCGCAGCCACGACGCCATTCTGTCTGCCTTCGTTTTGCTGATTTGTGTTCTTTGCAATGTTTTGTGTTTCCGCCTCATCTTTCGCATGGCGTTTTTTGTATGTTTTTTTATCTTGTTCATTATTCAGTTTACAGCCGGGATGGCTTTCCTTTTTCACTTCCATTGTACTCGCAAAGTAGACACGGCGGACCAGTATCGCGTTGTTGAAACAACACCTTGTACAGAACTCTCCCATGAATTGCGCTTATGAATTTCGAAATCGCTATGAATGCCCACTAGAAGAATGAAAAATACGGAACCCAAGTTTGACGCCTTGCAATAAATATCCCAACATATAATATGCCGTGCACGAAACACGATAAATATAAATAAAGCAACGAAAACGAAAAGGAGACGAGCCAGCCGTCTACCTCTTCTTCGGCCGCATAAAAATGTCCACGGCCTTCTTCCGTGGGACACTCCCAACGGCCTGGCTTCGTGGAGGCGAGCCGGCGGGAGCTGTCGGTGGCGGTGGTCTATAAGTTGTGGACGTGCTCGGTGCAGATGGCGGCCGTGTGGTGGTCTGTTTTGGAGGAGAGTCATACGACCGGCCATGGGATCGATCGCCACGTTTGTCGTCTCGATGGTCTGCAATGTGTAGCCAGTCTCGTTCCCTGCGGCTGTCCCGGCCGCCCACGCTTGTACGCGACGTCTTCGGTGTTGACATGGGTTCGTCGTCGGAGCCGAAGAGATCGTCGTCGCTGTCCCGGACATTGTTGCCGCTGCCGCTGCTGCCGCCCTCGAGATCCTCGACCGTCAGCCGCGCCCGTTTGCTCGGTTTGGTGACGACGCCAAACAGCTCGTCGTCGTCGTCGTGGTCATATGCCGGGCGCTTTTCTTTTGCCATTGTAGAAGTTGTTGTCGTCGCCGCCGCCGTAGCCCGAGGCTTCCTGGGCGCATGGATGACGGGGGCTGCGGGCCCGGCCGAGTAGAACGAGGCCGACGATGCAGCAGCCACACCGCCCCTCTTGAGGGCGAGCAGCCGTGCCTCGTTGGTGGCATTGCCCACGCCGAGTCCCGTGCCCGGCGCGCCAAGCTTGCCCTCCGTCTCGTAGTGCGTCTTGACCGACGAGGCGGCAGGGAACCTCTTGGGCGGCCGGATGATGCCCGAGCCGGGCTGGTGCGCGACGCGGTGGTCGTGCATCATGGCGGCCGGCGGCATGCGGATCTGGCTGCGCGCCACGGCCTGGTTGTCGGCCAGCCGGCTGCTGAGCTGCGACACCTTGCTCATCTCCTTGGCCTCGCGCCGCGCCCGCCGCAGCACGCTCTGCCCCGACGTCATCTTGGTGCGCGAGCCGCTGCCAAAGCTGAGGACCGCCTGGCCCCGGTCGGCCGCCCGGCCGGGCCCTCGCTTCTTGGCCATCACGCCGGGCATCTTGCGCAGGAGCGCGCGGCTGTTGACGAGCTGCGTGGCGTTGTCCTCCTTGGCTTTGCTGAAGCCGGCCAGGGTCTGCTTCAGGCGGTCTGCAGCGGCGGCCGTCTCGGCATCCAGGGCGGCCTTGGCCTTGTCGTACATCTCGATCCACGTCATGGTCTTGAGCTCCTCGTCCGTCAAATAGCCTTTGGTATCCCAGCCGGGCACTTTTTTTGTCAGCAGGCGGGCCCAGATGCCGCCCATCTCGAGCGGCTCGTCGGCGAGCTGCGGACAGTTTTTTTCCAGCTGGTGCAGCTGGTAGGGGCTGTCGATGTGGGCGAGCAATGGCACGGCGCTGGAAAAGGGCATGTCACCAATGTCGGTGACGGCTGCGATGTTGCGAACGGCGACGGAGAGGGCCATCCGTTTGAGCGTTCGCGGGCCGCGCTGCTTCCCGGATACTGGCAAGTTGGGCATGGCGGGTGTGTGAGCGTAGGGGACGGGACACGGGGACAGTTGAGACGAGAGTGAGCTTGACCTGTACGTGAAGACAAAGGTCAAGATGAAGGTAAAATGAAGACGAAGGTGAAGGTAAATATGAAGATGAGAGGTTTGACGATGCAAAGATCGTTGACGAATGCAATGTCGCCTGAGAAATGCAGGCGGGCAAACAAAAGGGAAACGCGTATGCTATTCATACAATGGCTTGCCCATGGTGGTGATGTGCAGCCGGCTCATCCCGTTGCTGCGTTGTTGTTGGATGGTTGACGGTGGATGGAGTGTCGTCAAAGGAATTCCGCAAAGGCCGACGTGATGGTCCATCATAGGCTCCCACTGTCACAAGGCTGCGCGTCCAGCCACTTCTGGGGGTCGTCCAAGCGCCAGGGGACAGCACAGCAACTACTGCGGCCCCACTGATTGCCCAGAGAGACGTGAAACATAGCCAACCAGCGCCTGCCATAGCGCCTGTTAGCACGTTTCCAGTGGTCACGGTTGCATCTCGCCTTGTGGTGACTTTTCCAATTGATTTTCTTTCTATTCCACTTCTCACATCTCCATTCTTTATCAACAAGCTCAACGACACGTCACAACCCACAAACCCGGTCCACTGGCAAACCTCGCCTACCACAGAACGACCGTATACACGGCACCGCCACGGAAACTGAAAGGCAGTCTGCGACAAAGGCGTTTGTTTGCAGCCGTTCTTTTGACTTCTTTTCGGAGATCCGCGACGGACGACGACTTTTGTTTGCGTTTCTCTCTCCAATACTCCGTCGATACGCCGATACGTCGATACCTCGATACATTCTGTACCCTCCCGACATGGCGTACCAGCTCCTCGACCCGCGCGAGGAGGAGGAGCTCTTCAAGGCGCGGCTGCTCAACGTCGAAGAGAAGCCGTTCAAGCGCATCACCAAGCGCCTGGCTCTGCTCAACCGGGTCGTTGCCGCTGCCGGGGTCCAAGAACAGACACCGCCACCAGAAGGCGAGGACGAGGGCGAGGGTGGGGTTCAGAGTGACGGGACGCCGCAGAACAAGAACGACAATGCCGCAGCCAACGAAACGCTGGCCGAAATCGCCCAGCTGCGCGAAGACATCACGCTCGACTTTGCCGCCTTTGACGCCAGCATTGCCCGTCTGCAGTTCTTGTCGGCCGCCAACGCCCGCGAGCGGCAGCGGTATGCGGACCACCGCGTGACAATCGAAGATACGTGCCGCGGCGTGCGCGACGAGACGCTGGTGGGGCTGCGCCGCCAGCTCGAGGCGGCGCGCGCCACGCTGGCCCAGCGGCAGGCGTTTGACGCGCTGGCGGACCGCATCACGTCGTCCAAGACGCTGTGGCCGCGGCCCGAGCAGCAGGCGACCATTGACAAGCTCGAGGACGAGTGCCGGCAGCTGCAGCGGGAGAGCGAGGCGTACGCGGTGACGTGGGGCGAGCGGAAGCAGCAGTTTGCGCGCATCATGGACGAGAGCATGCGGCTGCGGCGGCAGATCCGCGACGAGAAGGAGGAGGTGGAGCGGCGGGAGGGCATGGACGAGGAGGAAGAGGCCGCGGCGCAGACGGGTGCGGGCGGTACAGCCACTGCTGGTGGTGGTGGTGGTGCTGCTGCTGCTGCTGCGAGAGGAACGACGCCGGCAACCGGGACGACGCCGGCAACCGGGACGACGCCGGCACCCGGGGCGACGCCAGCAGCCGCCGCAGGGCCCGAGGCCGCCGACACGCCTGCGTCGACCGCCGGTGCCACGCTGCAAGTGCCCGAGGCGACCGCCAACGGTGCCAGCACGCCACGCAGCCCGGCCCCCGCTGCGGTGGACGCGGATGCCGAGGCGGAGCCGTACGACAGCCAAACGCTGCCGCCCGACACGGCAGCAACGCCTCTGCCCGCTGTGTCGGCAGCACCAACACCCACACCCACACCCACGCCCGAGCCGGCCGCGACACAAATGGACGAGGGCGACGACGTCGATATGGTCGAGGTCGACGAGGAAGACCGTGTCACGGCTACACACGACGGCGAGGCGACGCCGGCGAGCACAGAAAAGATGGATACGACGTGAGGCGTTTGTGTGGTTTGGTGGTTGACCATGTACTACGGCACGCGATGGCGTTGGAATTTGCACAGCTGCGTTTCTCGTTGGTAGGATTATGTCTTTCATAGAACAATGGCCTTGCACGGCGTCCGGTGGATATACATTATTTTTCTTTTCCCGCTCCCTCTCCTTGCCGTCTCCCCGCTTCTGTGTGAACCCGTTCCGTCTACGTCTAAATCTCCTTGGCTACGGCCGTCTGGCCCGTCCGCAGAACGGCCCGCGCCTTGTCGAGCTCGTCGTCCGCAGCGGCACCGTCGGTCTGTGCGTCGGCCGCATCGGCCTCGCGGATGGCAATCTGTTGTTCGAGCGTCGAGACGGCCTCGGCCGTGCGCTGTTTGAGCGGCGCAAAGACAGCCTTGGTCTCGTCGACGGCGCGGCTCTGAAGCATGCGTTAGAGAGTGGCCTTCGGGCGACGAGAGGACTTCACAATCGAGCACAGAACATACCTCCTGCTTCAGGACAAACTCGGCATTGCCGTCCAGAGTAGACGGGTCTTTGGCGGCCGCAATTTCGGCCGCCAGCTGCCGGACGCGTTCCTGCTGCTTGGCGAGCTCGGCGCGGTAGAAGGCCTCCTCTTTGACGAGGCGCTCGACGGCCTTTGTGGCGATGGCGAGATCAGACGGGGCCGGCATGGTAGTAGGCTGCGTAGCTGGCAATGGGTGGCTGTTGTTGACGGAAGCAAACGTATGTCGTCGATGGCCAGAGCAGTGGAGTGAGGTCAGACTTTGGAGAGCTCGACTTTATAGCGGGGTGGCGTCTAGCTTGAGCACTACGGAATAGGGGGCCTTCAGGGGGCTAAGTGGGACAACGCGGCTGCCTATGACGCCAATCGCATCACGTGGAAGGGACTACAACAAAGACCACCAACAATAAAGGAATGAGGCAGCAGAATAAATGACATGGCCAGGCAAATCTTGCTATCCGGTGGATGGAAATCTCGAGTTGACAAGGACGTAGTCATATGCTTATAGCTGTTCCACATTGCAAACTCCAAGACTGGATACGAATCCATGTGAGTTGAAGCACTGCATGACAGCGTTTTATTTCTTTTCTTTTTCTTTTTTTTTTTTTTAAAAAAAAAAAAACTAAATAAAAATCTAACCACACACCAATAAACGGCCAGATTGTGCAACACAAGAATCACAATAACACCTGAATGCAATATAAAGACCCTTGCTAATTTGATACAATATAAGAGGACGACAAAACCAACGAGGCAGACAACCCCCATCAGCGTCTTGTCCATCCTCGAGACCATATCCAAACAGGAGACGGATCGCTTCTAGTCTACCTATCCTAGACTAATAAACGCAAAAAAGCGAAAAGAGAGAACCAAAATAGAAAACATTGTGGTCTGGTATCAATCGGTCCCGCCTCTCTCTTCTTTTCTTTTCAAAAAAGAGACAAACAAAAAGGGGACCCTTTTACCAGGTGTTACCGGAATCAAAACTGCACGCCAATATAACGCCCTATTCCGAAAGGGCATAAACTAAACAAGGGGGAGAGGAAGGGAAACAGGGAAAAGCGTGAGCGCAAGACAAATACACAAGAAGATTAAACAATGCCCAAGAATACCCCAAGAGACAAAATAGGAAATGCAACAACAAAAGACGAGAAAAAGAAGTAAGAAACAAAACAAAAAACAAAAATATACATGCCTGTCGTGTCAAACGTGTACCCCAAACCGTCCATAGTCCCCCACCGTAGAATTGTGCATATGAGAGTCAAGAAAGGTGAGTAAGGCGAGTTGTCAAGGTGGGGAATACAATGCAGATGGATGGATGCGAGAGAGTAGGTAGGTGGCTGAGGGAGGTTGCGGTCGTCATGAGAGGAACAAGAGCAAAGAAAGACAAAACAACACGCGCGTACAACCGTACATATTATGCTTATGCCGCCACTGCAACGGGTGCACTGGCCATGCTCGGCACGTGGTTGCCCGCGCTCTGCTGCTGCTGCTCCTCCTCCTCCGCGTTGCCGCTTGCGTCCCGCTCGGCCCACGCACCCCACAGGGCGTGCTTGCTCTGCAGCTTGATGCTGCCGCCCAGCGTCTCGCTGGCCTGCTCAATCTTGATCGCGTCCTTGGTGGCCAGCACCAGGCACTCAAAGAACATGCGCGTCGCGTCCGCCTTTGTCGCCCGGCCCTCGGGCAGCACCTGCTGGAACACCGCCGACGACTTTTTCCGCTTGTCCGCGTCGTCCGCCGCGTCCTTGCCAAAGAAGTCGCGCAAAATGTGCACGGCGTGCTTGGTGCCGAGCGACACCGGCGGGCCCGCGGCCGCCGCGTGGTGGCTCACGTCGGCGCCGTGGTCGTCGCCGCCACCGGCACCCGCACCAAAAGTCATGTCGTCGTCGTCGTCGTCCGCACCGCCAAAGCCCGCAATCTCCAGGACGGTGCCATCGGGCGCAATCGACGGGCCGCCAAAGTGGTCGGCGCCGCCGTCAAAGCCCAGGTGGTCACCGTCGTCGCCCAGGTCGAGGCGCGGCGACTTGGAGTGCGTCGGGTCCTGGTCGCTGTCCATGTCGGCAATGCCGCTGTCGCGCTTGCGCTTCAGGTCGTGCACGGGGCCGTGGATCGACTCGTACGACAGCAGGCCGCGCAGCTCCGGCGCCCACGTCGCGCTGCGGCCGCCCAGCATGATGCTCGACACGAAGCCGTTGGTCTTGCGCATCTCCATCAGTGCCAGAACCTGCGGGTCGCGCGGCAAAAACGCCTGCGGCTTCAGGATGTTCTCGCGGTTGTTTTGCTGCTCGCGGATCACGTTGCCCGCCAGCATCGTCTCCGCGTCCGACTCCAGGACCTTGGTCTTCTTGACCCGCTGCGGCGCCCGGCGCGCCACCTGGTTCGGGCCGAGACCGTCGCCTGCGTCGTACAGGTCCACGCCATTGTGCCGCGAGTACTCGAGCTCGCCCTGGCGCACATCGTCGTCGTCGACGTCCGACAGCGGCGACTCCGAGATGCGGGCGCGGGACATGTCCACGAGGCCGCCGGGCAGCATCGACTGCTCGCCCAGGTTGAACTGCATGTCATCGTCATCCATGCGGATGTCGCCGTCATCGCCGGCAATGCGCACGCCGTCGGCAAACGTGTCGTCGGCGCCGTCCTTGCCGCCCCGGGGATCCAGGTCCAGGTCAAGCATGTCGTCCTCAAAGGGGGCCGGCGCGGGCGCGTCACGACCGACTTCGACGCTGTGGTCGGCGGGGCGCAGCGGGTCGTCAAAGTCGAGGCCAAAGTCCAGGTCGAGCTCCAGGTCGTCCTTGGCCGCAATGGCGAGATCGTCGTCCTCGTTGAAGTTGCCGCCGAGGAACTGGCTGTTGTTGAAGTCCTCCTGCAGGTTGATGTCGCGGGCGTTGCCACGGCCGCCACCGCCAGCGCGGCGGTTGCTGCTCGAGGGTGTCGCCGTCACTTCGTCGAGCTGCGCGAGGAAGAATTCCGGGTCCGGCCGCGGCAGCATGTCGAGGTTATCGTACTGTGTTATCCGGTCTGGCAGGAGAAGCGACTCGCGGTTGGAGCTTTGTTGGTTGGCGGGCAGGTCGTTGTTGCCACTTGACCGGAAGGCCTGGGATCGTTAGTGGGGTTCGACGACTGTCAAATTGAGGGGAACGACAGACAAAAAACCTACCATCTTGATCTTCATTAATGCTTCGTTGCAGTCGTCTAGTAAATAACGCGCCTTGCGGCTGTAGATACGGACAACGCCCAGAAGCAGCTGGCCACTGAGACGCAGCGCCATCGGCGCCTGGTTCGGCGTGATGATGGCCTCGACACTGTCCTGCAGGTTCGACTGCAGAATGTGCGTCTTGGAGAGCTTGCGCTCAATGTTGGCCGACAGCCAGACGCGGGCCAAAGGCCCCGTCTTGGAGAGCAGCGTCTCCGAATAGAACATGGTCGCGGCGGGCCGTGGACCAGAGAGAGGTGGGGGGTGCGATGGGAAGAGGCAATCGAGACAATGCCCGGGCGGGGAGGTTGGCCGCGATGCAGAAAACAACGCTCGCTCGCGTTACGCGGTCAGTCGTGATGCGATGCTATGGAGAGGGGATGGCAATGTAGATAGTAGATGATGGTATGGGGGGAGAGGGACGTGATGATCAAAGACAGTCCCGTGCACCGGTCCGTCTCGCAATAGAAAGCAACGGCGAACGCGACGTGTGTCGGGGTGGAGGAGAGTGGCGTGGGTGGAGAGAGGGAGGGAAAAGAAAGAAAGAAAAACGACGTAAACAACCCAGGCGCGTAGGGGGCCTTGTTATTTTTGTATTTTATTTTAGAGTGGACCGATCGCGTTCGAGTGCGAAGAAGGCGCCCAATCTGGACACTGTGTACGGGCGGTGTCGTCGAGGTCGTCGTGCGCGAGGCGAGAAGCAATGCAAATAGATGTCGAGGCGATGTCGACGCGGTGAAGCAAAAAAAGAGGGTGAAAGGCGAAGAAGTCGATGCAGGAGGGAGCGAGAGGAGGGAAGGACGGATGGGAAGCAGGGAAGGAAGGTGCACACCGGTTGGGTCTCGTTGTGACTTTTTTGCACGCGGCGATGGTGCAAAAGGGGAAAATGGGCAGCGACAGGGAAAGAACGGCGCGAGAGGGGGGGTGAGTGGCTACCGTCTGGTATTGGGAAGGAACGCACCACTCTGCATTCAGCGGCCGACCGACCCCCCTGGTTGTCCAGCCAGTCACAGTGCGGGCAAAAGCGGCAGCTGCGAAATTAATCCGGTGGCTGGGGTGCCCAGCCACATTCCGTGTCTCCGTGCCATAGAGAGTCACGTGACGTATTCTGTGGAGCGGTCTGGTGCTGCCGTGTTAGCCAATTAAAGCCAGGTAAATGCTGTAGGTATGTACTACGGCGTCAAGTCGTCAAAGTAGTCGACGTATCGTGTAAGAAACGATTCAAGGCGGACTGTATGCGAAACGTGGATGATATGGTGCACCCGCATGAAATGCACGTTCTTTGCGTTCAACAGTGCATTCTGCAAAGTTATGTGTATCTGTACACCCCATTGGCCCTTCTCAGGTACATCTCTGCCAGGTCTCAGTATGTTGCACAGGCAAGGCCCCGCTGTAAAACACCTGTCGCGTGCCGGAGCCGCTAAGTCTGCCCCAAAGATTAGCGCCCTCCAGCGCTATCCAGCGCTCTCCACTGGGCCACGGCGAACAAACGGCGACTCTCCAGGACGGGTCTGCGTGCACCCGCCTGTTTGGGAAAGAGCGGCAACACAGTGTGCAGTTTATGCGCGGGCAGAGGTACGAAAGTACCTGTAGCACTTGCCGCATACGTAATGAAGTAGACGTCCGTTTGGGAAACGGGAAGGGGCACTCTAGCCGCACCTGCATTTCCAACACGCAAGGGGCAGTCTGTGTTTAGCGGAAGGAGCGTTCAGCAGCTGTCATCACCAACACTCGCATCTGTCTCCTTTTCCAAATCTGTCCTGAAAACAGCCTCACGTTTTGTCCGTTTCGTCGTTTTGTCCGCTGCACGCTACGACTCGACCTCTTCGCGTCGCGCGTCTGCACTAGCATCCCAGATTCGCTACTTCGTACGCTTTTCCTGGGGCTCACTGCCAAACCCTGTCGAATCTATCTTTGTCTGCTGGTGTGGGCCCTCCCCATACCATTTCCCAATCAAGTCCACATCAGCGCATTGCACTCGTTCGCTTCTCTCCTGGGCGGCCCCTTTCCCTGCTAGCAAAGCCCCTTTTTCTCTCCGCACCTGCTATTCGCTGGCTGGAACCAGAGCTCTGCTGGCCTCTCGGCTATCGTTCTCCAGTTCTTCGTTCTTTGGTCAATTCTTTGCTCGTGCCAGTACGTCTCTCAAATCTACCCTTCACCAGACCCCGAATTCGCCATCGACCCTCGCTTTGTCCTTGTCAACCTTCTCGGCATCGAACTTGCCCCATCGCTTCTCGATTCGGCTCCCAATCGCATGTTCTACTTTTCTGCCAGTCGTACTACTTTCATCGTTTGGTCTTGTCCAGTCTAGGGTCAGATCTCTATCTCTCGGCCACACCACTCCTACCGATCCTTCAACGGGACCCCTCATCCCATCACACCATCGGACCATCATCACTGCAGCCCTAGACGTTCGTTCTCCGTCAATCGAGCGGTTGAGCGGATGACCCTCCGGTCTGGGTCCGCTTTGCTCTTCTCGCCCGCCTGATACGATCTGCTTTTTTGTCTTTGTCTGCCCTGCTGCTTCCCACGCCCCGAACCGTCATGGACCGGCTTACTGGCGGCGGCGCCAACGAATACCCCCTTCCCCTCTACAACGGCAAAGACGTGCCGCGCCTGTCGACGCCACAGCCCAGCGGCCGCGACGATTACCACGGCCGCCGGTCACGATCACCAAACCATGTCCGCACAACATCGGCCCAGAGCCGGAGCATAGCAGAAGAGTACGCATTTTTGACGCCGGCCGAGACGGCCCAGCGCCTCCAGACCTCACTCACCCACGGCCTGACGCCTGTTGAGGGCATGGCCCGCCTGCGCGACGGCGCCAACGAGATCCCCCACGACCCCCCAGAGCCGTTGTGGCTGCGCTTCCTCGGCCAGTTCAAGGAGCCCCTGATTATCCTGCTGCTGATCTCGGCCGGTGCGTCGGTGCTTGTCGGCAACACCAGTGACGCGATCAGCATTACGGTTGCCGTGACCATTGTCGTGACGGTCGGCTTCGTCCAGGAGTACCGCTCGGAAAAGTCCATTGAAGCCCTCAACCACCTCGTCCCCGACCACGCCCACCTCATCCGCACCGCGGCCAAAGACGCGACGCCCGGCGCGCGTCCCTCGCCCGTCGGCAACTGGCCCGGATCGAGCGCCGACGCCAATGGCGAGCCGCAGACGCCGTCCGACCCGCGCCTCCAGCTGTCCGACCTCGACACCGTCAGCGGCACCGTGACGCCGACCGAGGAGGTCATCCAGGCCACGTCGACCAAGGTCCTCGCACAGCAGCTGGTGCCCGGCGATTTGGTGCTGTTCACCACGGGCGACCGCATCCCGGCCGACATTCGCGTGACCAAGGCTGTCGACCTGACCATTGATGCGTCCAACCTGACGGGCGAGAACGAGCCCGTGCGCCTGACGTCCGACGTGCGCTCCCGCGTCAGCCTGCCCTTCTCGCCTGGCGTCCATCCCAAGTCACCCGGCAGCAGCCTTCCTCTGCCCTCGCCCATTGGTAACGGCCCCGGCCCCGGCGGCAGCCTCTCGGCCAGCGCCGACAGCCACCACAACGACAAGAACATTGCGTACATGGGCACGCTGGTCAAGTCGGGCCACGGCCAGGGCATCGTCTTTGCGACGGGCGGCAATACGCACTTTGGCACCATCTCGCTCAGCGTCTCGGGCACCGAGAGCCCGCGGTCGCCCCTGCAGCTGTCCATGGACGACCTGGGCGCCCAGCTCAGCAAGTTCTCGTTTGTCGTCATTGGTCTCATCTCGCTGATCGGCTGGCTGCAGGGCAAGGGCCTGCTCGACATCTTCACAATTTCCATTTCGCTCGCCGTGGCCGCCATTCCCGAGGGCCTGCCGATCATTGTCACGGTCACGCTGGCGCTGGGCGTGCACCGCATGGCCAGTCGCAATGCGATTGTGCGCAAGATGCCCAAGGTCGAGACGCTCGGGTCGGTCAATGTGGTGTGCACGGACAAGACGGGCACGCTGACGATGAACCACATGACGGTCACGAAGCTGTGGTACTTTGGCCGCGCGTCGCCCGTCGAGGTGGACGCCGAGGAGGACGTCGCAGAGGCCAAGCCGGATGCCGCGGCGACGCGCATCCTGCGCATCGGCAACATTGCCAACAACGCGCGGCTGTCGCGCCGCTACCGCGAGAACGGCGCGGGCGCGCGTGCCGTGCTGTCGTCGACGCTCAACCAGGAGGACGGCCCGCTCTCAGTCAGCCGCTGGGTGGGCCAGCCGACCGATGTGGCGGTCATGGACCTCGTGGACCGCTACAAGGAGCACGACGTGCGCGACGCCATTGGCCCGCGCGTGGTCGAGACGCCCTTCAGCTCGGAGCGCAAGTGGATGGGCGTGACCATTGGCAGCAACAACAGCGACGGCAGCGGCGGCGGCGGCGGCGGCAACAACAACAATACGAATAGCAACAAGAACGACAAGGAGTTTGCGTACATCAAGGGTGCGCTCGACCGCGTGCTGGAGGCCTGCGACACCTACGTGTCCGACGACGGTCGCGAGTTTGTTCTCGACGGCAAGCGCAAGCAGGAGGCGATCGAGGAGGCCGACAAGCTGGCGTCGCAGGGCCTGCGTGTGATTGCGTTTGCCAGCGGCCCCGTCAGCAAGTCGTCCAAGAGCCGGGCGGCGGCCGCGGCGGCCGACAAGGACAAGAGCGGCCACCACGTCGTCTTCAGCGATGAGCCGTACAAGGGCCTGACCTTTGCGGGCCTCGTGGGCATGAGCGATCCGCCGCGGCCGGGCGTGGGCCGGTCCATCCGCAAGCTGATGCGAGGCGGCGTCAAGGTGATTATGATTACGGGCGACGCGGAGACGACGGCGCTTGCCATCGGCCACCAGCTGGGCATGTCGATTGCCCGGCCGGTGGAGCACGCCGCGAACCAGGTGGCCGTGCACCCGGTGCTGCGCGGCGAGGACGTCGAGGCGCTCTCCGAACAGGACCTGGCGCAGGCGATTCAGCAGACGACCATCTTTGCACGGACGAACCCGGACCACAAGATGAAGATCATCCGGGCGCTGCAGGCGCGGGGCGACATTGTGGCGATGACGGGCGACGGCGTCAACGACGCGCCGGCGCTCAAGAAGGCGGACATTGGTATTGCCATGGGCCGCCACGGCACCGACGTGGCCAAGGAGGCGGCCGACATGATCCTGACCGACGACGACTTCTCGACGATTCTGCATGCGATCGAGGAGGGCAAGGGCATCTTCAACAACATCCAAAACTTCTTGACGTTCCAGCTGAGCACGAGCGCGGCGGGCCTGTCGCTGGTGCTGCTGTGCACCTGCCTCGGCTTCAAGTCGCCGCTCAACGCCATGCAGATTCTCTGGATCAGTAAGCCCGACACCCCGAGTGACCCAAGTACCTGACAACGAATTGTGACTAACACCAACAGACATCATCATGGATGGCCCGCCGGCGCAGTCGCTCGGCGTCGAGGCCGTGGACCGCGACGTCATGAAGCGCCCGCCGCGCAAGCGCAACGACCCCGTGCTGACGCGCGCGCTGATCCGCCGCGTGGCGCAGTCGGCGTTCATCATCATGGTCGGCACGATGCTCGTGTATAAGCACGAGATGGAGGACGGCGCCGTCGTCACGCGCCGCGACACCACCATGACCTTTACGTGCTTTGTGCTGTTTGACATGTTCAACGCGCTGACGTGCCGCTCCGAGTCCAAGTCGGTGCTGCGCGGCGAGGTCGGCCTGTTCACCAACGCGCTCTTCAACTGGGCGGTGTCGCTGAGCCTGGCGGGCCAGCTGCTGGTCATCTACTTTCCCTGGCTCCAGGAGGTCTTCCAGACGGAGGCGCTGGGCCTGGGCGACCTGTTCAAGCTGGTGCTCCTCTGCAGCACCGTCTTCTGGGCGGACGAGCTGCGCAAGTGGTACCGGTACGGGCGGCACAAGCGGTACGGCACGCCCTTTTCACAGGCTGTGTAATGTTGGGCGTATACGGTCTGCATACTATAACCAAGACCTAGAAAGTGGTGTTTTTTGGGGAGCATAAAACGACTGAAGTCTGGCATGTAGAAGGAAGACGGGACGTCGCACATATAATTACATTACGGGATAAAAAAAGCATTTGCTAGGAGTGTGGATGTTTGCCTTTTTTTTGTGTCTCTCTTTCTGGCTTCTTGTACCTTTTTTTCTTTGTATTTTTGTCTAATTCTTACCACTTTTGTATATCCATGGGCTACTTATAAGGAGTATCATGCTCTGCATTATGCAGCGTTCGCACTTGCCGTCTTCGAATCTTGGTGCTTGCCAAAGTTTTAAGCTTTGAAATTTAGCGCAAGTTGCTCCTTCCCAGTCGTTCCTTCTCAAGTCGTTCCTTCTCAAGCACGCTCCTTCTGTGTACAACGTATTTGCCAGCCTGTTCCTTCCGAGAGTAAATGAAAACTGCTGAGGAAAGAGGAAAGAAAGAGTATGGAAGAGTGCATCTCAAAATAAACAACGGAGGCTCACGAACTTGGAGTTTCTTGACAGCTAAACGACTATCCAATACCACAATGCCAGCACTCCCGCACATGCTACACAATACACCGAGCTAGCGAGCTGTAGCGCAGACAGCCCGTAACCCCTACCCACAACCGCAGCACCACCTCACAGCGCCACGTAATGGAATTCAAGGAGGGGCCACAGCCAAATAAATACATTCGAGACTGCAACAACTTCAAGACACGGCGGCCACAGCGACACCATATCCACGACCACGACGCCAACGGTCGGCAGGCGGCACTTCAAGCCCAATTCGACGATACGACACAATTCACAGCAGCTGGAACCGCCCCAACGCCGCCACAGCCCACTGCCCCGTCTCTCCTGATGGTGGCTGCACGAGGTGGACGATGAAGAACACGAGCCACGCCGGCGGCGGCAGCAGTGCCGGTGGCCGGAGTCGCAGCGGAAGCTCTGCGCACCAGAGACGGGTCAGCGTGTCGAAGCTGGCCCTGCGGAACGGCGATCATTCACGCACACAGCACAATGGAACGTCCTCGACAACACACTCCGCCTCCTCATTAACCTCCTCCCTCGAATCGGCCACGTCGGCGGCCGATGTCCGGTCTGCCCTCGCCGGCCTGCACACACGCGAAGACAGCCTCCGCCACTCCCTCCAGGGGCTGGTCGCCGCACACGCGGACCTCAGCCGCGACCTGATGCGCCTCGACAGTCTACGGGCCACGCTCGGCGCGCAGGTCATTGCCACGCGCGGCATCGCCACGACCATGCTCTCCGGCGCCGCCGACACGGCGGGCCGGCTGTCGTCGACGGTGCGCAACCTGGACCTGGAAAAGGAGCACGTCGAGGCCACGCTGCGGGTCGTCGAGCAGGTGGCCGAGCTCAAGGCGTGTGTGGCCGGCGTCGTTGGGTCGATGGGCGCGCCGCAGGACTGGGAGGCGGCGGCGGCGTACCTGGCCCGGGCGAGCCGCATCCCCGAGAGCATCGTGACGTCTGGCTTTGCCAACGCCGTCGTGCCCACGGTCGAGGTGCCCGACCCGCCGGCCGTGACGCTCGAAGAGGCGCGGGCCAGTCTGTGCGGGCTGTTCCTGCGAGAATTCGAGCGGGCCGCGCAGGATGGCGACGACGCTCGCGTGACGCGCTTCTTCAAGCTGTTCCCGCTGATTGGACGCACCGACGTCGGCCTCGATGTCTACGGGCGGTACGTGTGCCAGGGCGTGGCCGAGTCGGCGCGGAACGTATTCCGGGGCGAGACGCCCCAGCCAGCCGCCGCGCCGGCGGCTGCCAGCCGCCACGACGGCTTCTTCTTCGCCAACGCGCTGGCCAAGCTGTTTACGCACATCTCGCAGATTGTCGAGGGCCACGGCGCCTTGGTGGAGCGGCACTATGGCGGCGGCCAGATGATCAAGGTCATCAGCCGGCTGCAAAAGGAGGCGGACGTGCAGGGCGGCATTGTCGTGGACGCCTGGAGCGACGAGCGCGGCGTCGACCGCAAGCTGACTGACGTCAAGAGCTATCCGTTTTCGTTCTTGGTGCAGAGCTTTGGCATGAAGGGGGCGGGCGGCAGCAGCAGCAACAGCAACGCAGGCGGCGGCGGCGGCGGCGGCGATGGCTCGTCGCGCGTCAACTCGCCCGCCTTGGGCGTCGATAGCCCGCGCCGCAGCGAGGACGAGGGAGGCGTCAACATGCGCGAGATTGACGGCTTGCTGAATGAGATTGCGATTATGCTGAGTCGCTGGTCGCTCTACTCGCGGTTCCTGGCCAACAAGTGCCGCGACGACGAGGCAGAGGCAGCAGCGCAGGCCGAGGCAGACGCCAAGGATACGAAGAAGGAAAAGAGCGGCAAGGACGGCAAGGATGGCCAGGACAGCAAGGACAGCAGTACTGAAAGGGCCACGGCAGCCGCACCAGACGAACGGCCCCTGGTCATCCCCAGCGTCCTGGCCCAGTCCAACCTGCAGCGCAAGGTGGCGGCACGGCTCATCACACCCTACAGTCTGATGAGCACCTTCTTCTTCCGCCGCTCCGTCGAAAAGGCCTTCCAGCTCGAGGAGACGCCGGGCGACCTGTCGCTCAACATGGCCGACGCGCTCGACAACAACCCGCCGTACATAATCTCAGCCGTCGACGACGTCATGTACATTGTTAACGCCGTGATCCAAAAGTGCATGTCGACGCTGCAGCGCGACGTCGTCGTCGGCGTCATCCCGCCCGTGGGGCGCGTGCTGGGATCTGATTTTATCGGCATGATCCAGCGCAAGATGATCCACGAGGCGTACCCACGGCCCACGGCGTCGGGCGGCCTGCCGCCCGACGACCGCGTCATTGCCTTTATCCTGCTCATCAACTCGCTGGACATGGCCATGGAGTACCTGGCACGCATCGTGTCCACACGCATGGGCGTGCCGGTCGACGAAGCCTCCTCGTCGGCACCGGCCAACGCCAAAGAGAGCCAGCGCGCCCAGCGCATCCCCAGCGCCACGGCGCCCGCTGTCGTGGCGCACCTGCGCGACACGTTCTCGCCCTTTGACCACGACGTCTCGCTCGTGGCCGCCGCGCTCGCCAACCTGTTTACCAACTTTACGACCAAGGCGGTCGAGCTGCAAAACGAGGGCATCCAGGTGCTGTTTGCCAACCACATCAAGCCGCGCCTGCACACGATTGTGTCGGACGCGTTCCGCGACGTCGACTACAGCTTGGACGAGCAGGAGCTGGCGGACGTGGCCGAGGCCAACGATGCGGACCTCGATGTTGTCCTGGAGCACGTCAGCCGCCGCTTCGAGCACGGCTGGGACGGCCTGATGCGGCCGCTGGCGCGCATCATGACGCCCCGCACGTTTGCGCTCGCAGCCGACCTGGCGGCGCGGTACCTGGCTAAGGCCCTGGAGCGCCGTGTATGGACGTACGCGTCGGACCGTGGCGACCGAGGCGACCGAGGCGACCGAGGCGACCGGGCGGAACGCGGTGAAAAACGGCGCACGAGCGCGTACGGCGCCATCCGCCTCGAGCGCGACATCAACGGCATTGTCGGCGCCGTGGCGCGCGGCAGCAGTAACTATGGGGCGCGCGAGCTGTTTGCCAAGACGACGCAGATTTTGATGGTGGCCAACATGGAGGACGACGAGTGGGAGGAGCTGGGCGGCGTGGCAGGCGGCGCAGGCGAGGGCGAGGGCGAGGACGACGAGAACGACGACGGCATGGTCTGGCTGCTGAGCGAAGACGAGCGGCGGCGGGCACGCGGCATGGTGCGGCGGGTGGTGTAGGGGTCGAGAGGATCGGAGATGCGAAACAAGACCTTTATTTACAGCTTGAACGTGGCGTCGGGACATGTACGATGCTGGTAATGAACTCTGTTGCTAATAAAAACTCTATATGATGGCCCATGTGTGAAAAAATCGTCCAGTATTTTGCCAGTATTTTGCCAGTATTTTGCCAACCTAACAACGCCGTCTGAAAAAGGGAATCATACGATACGAGAACCAAATCAAAAGCCAAAAGTGCACGCCACCCGTCCGCCGCCTCAATATGACACGATCCGGTAGGCACCCGAGGTCTCGATGATGCCGTTTTCTGTGACAAAGTTTGTCACGAGCGTGGGGGGCTGTACTGTCAGTAAGAGGGCGTGGAAGGTTGAGGGGGTCGGCATGGAACCCAGGGGCAACGGAAGTCAAAAAAGAATAATACGAATATTTACTCACAGTCACATCGACCTGCTCATTGTAGGGCATGGGCGGCTTCGTGGTGACGGGCACGCCGGCGCGCGTGGGCACGGGCCGCGGGATGATGTCCTGCACGATGCCGATGCGGTTGAGGTGCTTGTTGTTGATGAGCAGCTTGTGGACAAACTTGTGCGTCTCGGCGAGGCAGTAGACGTTGCAGGCGGGGCGGGCGGCGGCGGCCAGGACGGCCAGCGGGTAGGTGCCGATGCGCGAGACCAGCTTGCCGTCGTGGGTGACGGCCTCGGCGCCGACAAAGACGGAGCGCACGCCGTGGGCCTCGATGGCATAGCCGACGCTGCCGTAGTCGACCTCGAAGACGGGGATGCGGTGCGCGCGCAGGCGGGCCATGGCGCGCTGCGCCTCGTCGCGGGAGCGCTCGTCGCAGACGTAGAGCACGGAGAAGGGGGCGGGCCCTTCTGCCCCGGCGGCCCCCAACGTCAGGCGCTCGGCCGCCTTCAAAAACAGGGCCAGGACCGCCCGCGAGCCGCCGGCCGTCAAGACGACGTCGCCCTCGCGCACCAGGCGGCAGCCGCGCTCGGCAATCTGGTCGCGGGCCTCCTTGGCGCGCTGCACAAAGAGCTGGCTGTTGTCGAGCAGGTGCTGGCGCAGCTTGTCGAAGCTGTCGAGGCCGGCCGTGACGGAGCGCGCGGCCGCGTCGTCGAGCGCCGGCTGGCGCATCGACATGCTCAGGAAATTGGTAAACAGGCTGGTGCCGGCCTCGAGCGGCAGCGCGTTGGGCACCGCGGCCAGCAGCCGCTTGACCTGGGCGCTGGCGATTTCGTACGTCTCCATGGCCGTCGACGACGTGGTCTGGCGCAGCACGTCGATGAGGGCCTCGATGGCGGCAATGGGCTTGGTGAGGTCCGCGTCCTCGGCGAGCAGGCGGTGGTACGTGGCGACGACATCGTAGGTGTCGCCAGGGCCGGCCTCTGGCTGGGATGCTGCGTTAGATGTCGATGCCGTTGCGGTTGTCGTCGTCGTCGTCGTCGTCGTCGTCGTCGACTTTTCTGTGTCGGCAGCTGGTGCCGGTGCGGCCGCGTCGGAGGCGGCCATTGTGCGGACACCGAAGCGGACGACGAAGAAGCGGATCGAGAATGGAGGGAGCGCGGCGGGATGGCGCACGGGCGGCAGCATACAGCGGTGGCTGTGGGTGGTTTGGATGCCGAAAAAGACGCAGATGCCGTTCAAATGGAAGTGAAGTCGAGATAGTGCGGTTGCCGCATCGGGAAGCTGCCGGCAAAGCAAGAACGAACTGGGTGAGTCAGTCTGCAGATGCGCCCTGCTGGGGAAGGTGCGATTGAGGGCATGCTTCGCATTCTGCCGCAGTTCACCGCCCAAATGTTAGAGGGGTAATGCCCTGTGGAGGGCCCCTTGTAGCAGGAGCTCCGCTGTGAGGGGCGACGGCAGCTGTAGCTCCGGCAGGTCCCCTGAAGCTCACTGCATCCCACCTTTACGACGTCGCATCCTCTGCGCCTCGCCGTCACTAAAACGTATTACGTCGCTGCAACCTTGGCAACCTCGACCAACAGGCAGCCGAGTGGGAATCCTGGGACGCAGCACGGTTCCTGGACTCGACAACCAATCTGTCCTCGCGTAGGAAGAGCGTTAGACCGGTCGCCGTCGGCCTCATCCAGCTGACCGCAAGTCAACATCGACATCAACATCACCAAAGTCGACTTTATCACCTCATCGGCGCCTTTTCTTTTCCCTTCACCGCCTGTATACCGCCTGTACACCGCACAACACACATCATGTCGGCCGTCGACCCAACCACCGGCCAGCCGCTGCCGGCCAACGCCATCCAGCGCGTCCTCTTCATCGGCCCCAAGGTCCACGTCTACCAGATCCCGCCGCTGACGTCGACCAAGGGCTACACGGCCGCCACCTGGACCGAGGACCCCAAGCGGCACATCTTTACCGCCCGGCTGCGGGTGCTGGAGACGGGGGTCGACCGAGAGGACGACGACGACAACAACGACGCGGATGCGGACGCGTCCGCGGAAGACGTCAAGGTCGACGTCATCCTCGAAGACCCGTCGAATGGCCAGCTGTTTGCGGCCGCGCCCTACACGGAGCCCGGCGTCGTCGAGCCCGCCCTCGACAGCTCGCGTTTCTTTGCCGTGCGCGTGCAGGACGGGCAGGGCCGCCGCGCCGTGCTGGGTATTGGCTTTGAGGAGCGGCCGGACGCCTTTGATTTTGGCGTCGCCCTGCAGGAAGCACGCAAGACCGTCCGCGGCTTCGCTGAGCAGGCCGGGGCCACGGCGGCCCGGCCGTCGGCGGCGGCGTCGGCAAACGGGGCTGCCGCCGGGGCTGCGTCTGGCGCGGCCGCGGACAAGAAGGACTACAGCCTCAAGGACGGCGAGACAATCACCATCAACCTCGGCGGGTCGAGCAAGTTTGGCCGCCGGAGCGAGACGACGGCCTCGTCATCCTCATCAGCAAGCGGCGGCCTCGGCGGCTTCTCTCTGCCACCACCGCCCTCGTCATCCTCGTCATCCTCGTCGCCCTTTTCGCTGCCCCCGCCGCCGCCGCCAAACCGCCGGACGGCCAACCGTCGGTCGGTCGGCGATCCGAGCGTGCTGGGTCTGGCGTCCCGGCCGCAGCCGGACGAGCAAAAGAAGTCGGCGGCCGAGCTGGGCTTTGACGACGGCCAGTTTGGCGAGTTTGCTTAGAGTGCGGAGGGCCGGAAAGAACGAGTTTTGTTTCTATCTGACTTTTGCACATGACAGAGGCCCTCGTGCCCTCGCCTAATCACACATCTTCTTTGCTTTCCTTTTCGTGTGTTTGGAGGTTTTCTGTTTTTCAAAACTATGTTTGGAAAGAAATGTTCTAAATGAATAGCGTGCCTTTTTTATGCAATTTCTACCCGTTTTACGTGATGATACACGCGGCAGCTGACAACAGAGAATGCACAACAGACAACTAATTATCAATTAGAAATTAACAGCACAAATCGAATAAACACCGACAACTCTTCATCTCTCCTCGTCAGGCCATGCCGACCAAACCGGCGGCAAACTCCTCCGCTTCTGCTTGTCCGGCGTCGGCCGGTCAGGACTGTGCGATCCACGGCGTGGACGTACCTCAGGCGGCAGAGAGGCCGTGTCCGAGACGTCCGCATCGCCGGCGTCGCTTTTATGGGTGCGGCTTTCGTTGCGTGCATCGCTGTCAGCGACGACATTGTCATCCCCGCCATCGCCATCGACAACAGCTGTGTCGTCATTCGCATTCTGCACGCCGATGTGATTCATCAGCGCTTGACTGTGCATTTGAGCAGCCGACGACGGTGACGACGGCGGAGACTCGGCCATTGGCGTGGCAGCCGAGTCAAGGCGAAGATCACCCTCGGACGGCGGAGCCATTGGCGAAACAAGCGACGTCGACCCAAACGAGAATGAACCGGGCTCAAAGACAGGCGCCAGCGGACTCATGGGCGACATGCAGGCATGACCACCGTGGCCGCCGCCCGTCACCGATGCAGGAGAGGACGACACCGGGTAGGCCGGCATGGCCGCATGGGTCCTGGGCGTCACAGGGCTGACCACGAAGGCGGGCGGCAGAGCCGTGTCTGTGGTCGTCGTGGGACGGCTGTCCTGCGGAAAGGCAAACGGCTCGTGGCCAGCATCAAAGTACTCGTGGTCCGGCGTCCAACGATCACGCGGCGCCCGGTATGGTGTCTGAGGGACCTCGAGAGGCACGTAGCCGTGGCGCGCAACGGCCGACCCGACGGCCAGCTGCCCAGCCCGGCCAAACTCCTGCTGCCGCTGCTGCCGCTGCCGCTGCAGCTGCGCCAGCCACTGCCGTCCCTGCAGCTCCGCCGTGACCTCCCCGATCCGCAGCACCAGCAGCTGCTCCTGGCGCTCGGCCGCGGCAATCTTGCTCTGGATGAAGCCGGCGCTCTTGCGCAGCTTCCGCGCCTCGGCCGTCGTCAGCGGCAAGGGGTGATCGTCGCTGGACGCGTCGCTGGACGCGGCGCTGGCCTTGGCCTTGGCCGTCTCGTGGGTCTGGAGCTGCGCCTGGACGGCCGACAGCGCGCCCAGCAGAGAGCGGATGCGCGCGTCCTGGCAGTGCAGGTTGTTGCACAGGTACTGGTGCTCGGCTTGGATGTGCTCGAGCGAGCGAGGCGATGCGGGCGACGCTGCAAACGGAGAGGCGACGTCCGAGATGCGTCTCGGTTGACGATGCGTGGGCGTGCTCTTGGGCGCCGTCATGTCCGTATCCAGCGTCGCCAGAACCGGCTTGGCCGTCACGGGCGTCACGGGCGTCGCTGAGAGGTTGGCGCCAGTCGTGGCCGTGTCGACAGCAGGATCTGCGTCTTGCTTTGTGTCCTTGTCCATTGTGGCCATGCTGTCGATCTTGTACAAATAGAAACTAGGGAAACGTAGCTAGGGACCGAGCAGAGTCACAACCAACCTGCATGTAACGCAAGATGATGCCTGTATGGCGTGAGATGCAACAGATCAAAACTCGTCCATGAAGACGCCTTTTAATCTTGCCTTCCGTCTACAGCGCCTCTACAGCAGTGCACAGACTATCTTCAGCCCGGATCTGAAGACTATACCCATGGTTGTATTCAGTTGTGCACAAAATCTGAATTCATATTGTTACAATGCGCTGTCCAGGACGCCGTAAGAGGGGAAAGGCATAGTTGAGGAGAGTTGGGGAGAGCTGAGGCAGACAAAGCAGCCGCAAAGGGAGACCAGTTGGTGGACAGGGACGAGAAAGGATAGGATGTACGACATACTGGCTGCGGTCATATGTGGTCCGACGTCTGGACGCTTTAGGACAACCAACCGTTCCGTTGTCCAAGGGGGATTAACAAAGAAACAATATGGAGGCAGGCCATGTTTGCCAAATGAAGCCTACGGCCAACACAACAACCGAGACGCCTTCGTGCCTAGAACACTCGAAAGAAATAAAACAGAAAATAAACAGGACAGAAAAAGAACAGAAAAGGAACACAGCCGATAGAGAAAAGAAGAAAAGAAAAGTGAAAAGGTGTATACTACTCGTATGGACTGCAGATTGGCCATTGTCAACTCATAAATGAACACAGCCCTCGACCCAAGCCCGTCGTCTCCCTTGCTCCAAGACGTAGAACCAACAGCACCAACAGCTTCGGCTGACCAGGAGCTGCGTGCTTCCGCCACGTGCACCACGACACTCGTTCTCCTGCATGCATTGTGGGCACATCATTTTTTGTTGTTGTATGTGCGTGTTCAATCGTCCTGTTTTCGTCTAAAAACAAATGTCCGGAAGATGTCCAACCGCCGCGTTCGTTACTTGTTGTCGGCTTGCCTTTCTGTCCTTTTTCCTGTCCCTTTTGCCATTTCCGCTCAGCGCCCCTTGAACTCGGGCCGCCGCTTCTCGCCAAAGGCCTTGAGCGCTTCGTTGCGGTCCTCCGTCGCCACCACCCGCTCGTACATCTTGTTCTCCACCGTCTCTGCCGGGAACTGCACCGCCTGCAGCGCCGCCCGGATGGCAATGGGGCCGCCCTCGCAAATCTCCTCGGCCAGCCGCACCGCCTCGCTCAGCGCCGCCCGCCGCGCCGTGTCGAGCAGGTCCAGCTGCGCCTTTTGCTTGTCCTCCTCGCTCTGCTCGCTCTGCTCCTTTTCCTCGGCCGGCGGCTCCTGAATCACCTCCACCAGGCGGTCGGCAATGCCCAGAAAGTACGCCTCGGGGGCCGACACGCGCCGGCCCGTCAGCACCAGGTCGCGCGCGCGGGCCATGCCAATCAGCATCGGCAGCCGGTAGGTGCCGCCCGCGCCGGGGATGATGCCCAGCCGCGTCTCCGGCAGCGCCACCACCGCGTTGGACGTCAGCACGCGCATGTGCGTCGCCAGCGCCAGCTCCAGCCCGCCGCCCAGCGCCAGCGACGACACGGCCGCGATGGTCGGGATCGGCAGCGCCTGCAGCGCCGTCAGCGTGCCGCGCAGGCTGCCCAGAAAGCGCGCCGTGTCCTCGGCCGTAAACGTCTTGCGCTCCTTGAGGTCCGCGCCCGCACAGAAGCAGCTGTCGACCGCGCTGGCGACGACGAGCGCGCGCGTGGGGCCCAGGCTCTTGGCGTCGGTGACGCGCGTCACCTCCCGGCCGGCGTCGTCGTACTGCTGCGCCACGTCGTCGACCTGCTCGCGCAGGGCGGCCAGCAGCGCCTTGGAGATGGCGTTGCGCGCGGCGGGGCGGTTGAGCTCGAGGATGCGGATGTGGCCGGAGCCGGGGGCGGGCAGGTCGGTGACGACGATCAGGGGGTCGGACGAGGTCGAGGAGAACCGGGGCGCCGACCAAAGCAGCGCAGGGGCGGCCAGCGACGTCCGACAAGACGTGCGCAGAGGCAAACGGGCGATCGAAGCAGCCCGCGTCAGAGACGCAGCGGCCAGGCGAATGGGGGCCATTGTGGGAGACGTGTGGGAAACGAAAGACACGAAAAGGTAAGCGTGCCAACGGCCAATCGGTGTTGCGTCGGGATGTGCTGCCTCGTGGTGCCGCAGACAAAGATGAAGCTGGGAAGAATATGTTAAAAAGCTCACGAGAAACGCTTCACACGCTTCACACGAAACGCCGAGCTTTAGCGGGCGACGGCTGTCTTCGGCTTTCCGTCCGGGGAAGTGGGCCCCTGTAAAATGGTAAAAATGGCTGGTGTGTACGAAATAGGTGTGGCAGGTTCGGCAGGCGCTAATGGCTGACGACTGGCGGGAGAGCGACTTCCTAAAACAGTATTAATGTGCTGTTGAAAGTAACACACCACGTCGACAGGATTGCTAAATGCAAGACGATAAGGCAAGTTGAAGTTGTAGACGAAGGTTGGAATTACAATTAACTTTCGTGTCTTATCATCGGGTCAGCGTATCTGCCTCGCGCATTTTCTTGCCAAAACATCGTTGTACATATGTTCTGTGTCTGACAACCGCACCTTCCCGTCCATGCGAAAAGCGTTCCTGCCCATTTGCGTCATCGCCCAGCCGCTTACTGACTCGCACCTGCCGTGTCTCGCGTGCCCTCTGCGCTTCAGTCGCGCCTTCCGTATATCAACGTCGTCGTACGACGCTATAAGGAGTCTTCTGTTTTCTTTTTTTTTCTTTTTTGTCGTCTTCTCTTTTCACATCGTCAACACACTTCTCGCCTTGTAAGCACAGACACTTGCCCACGCACCACAATGTCCGACACAAAACAGCAAACGCAGCCGGGGGAGCAGAAGCAAGAACAGCAGCAGAAGCAAGAACAGCAGCAGCAACCACAACATCCACAACATCCACAACATCCACCACCACAAGGCCTTCCAGATGAAGCCATTGCACTCGCCTCCCGCCTCTACAACGGCGCCCGTGCCGGCGACCTCGCCCTCTTCCAGCAGGCCCTGCCCGCCGGTCTGCCCGCCAACTTGGCCAACGAAAAGGGCGACAGTCTGCTCATGCTCGCCGCCTACTACGGCCACGCCAATCTCGTGCGTCTGCTTCTCCGCCACGGCGCCGACCCGAACCGCCTCAACGACAAGGGCCAGAGCCCGCTGGCCGGCGCCGTCTTCAAGGCCGAGGATGCCGTGATTGAGGCTCTGCTCGAAGGCGGTGCCGACCCCGAGTTCGGCTCGCCCACGCCGCTCGAGACCATTGTCATGTTCCGCCAGGAGGACAAGTGGCGGGCCGCCTTTGAGGCAGCGCCCGGACGCGGACAGGCAGGGAAGTGATGTCTATGCCTTGCGCCATTTGCATTTTGCACCAATCATCTCTTGTTTACCTACACTTATGTTTTTTTTTCCTAATTTATTATCGTGATGTGAGGAGTTTGGGACATGGACGTTGGTTACGTTCTGGGCAGGATGTGGTTTTGTTAAAATTTCTCAAAATCTCTTAACATATTTCCGTCCTCCCCCCTCGTGTCGTGTCATTTACCACAGTTGATGGCCTTTGATGAGATCGGCAGCCTGCAAACAGTTAGCAACAAGGGCTCCAGCAAGAACACTAGCGACTACAAAAGCAAAAACTACACCGACAAATCTCGACTTACCAACTCGGCCACAGCATACACAGTCTGGCAAGTGTTGGCGCCCGGCAGCGTTGGGATGATGCTCGCGTCGATCACTCGGAGATTCGGCACGCCGTACACTTTCAGATATTCGTCCACCACGCCACCCAGCGACTGGGGGAGCATCGCACACGTGCCCGCCGGATGGTACTCGGTCGGCGAGACCGTCTCCGACAGATACGTCGCCAGGTCTTCCTCGCTGCTGACATAGTCGCCCGGCGCAATTTCTACGGGGCGGTACTGCGCCAGCGCCGCATTCTCCATGAAAAAGCGGCGCGTGTACCGGATCATGTCCGCCATGATCGCCACGTCCAGCGGGTTCGACAGCGCCCGGTAGTCGACGACTGGCTCGCGGTTGTACGGATCGACAGGGTCAATGTTGACGGTGCCACGGCTCAGCGGGTGCAGCATCACGAGCACGCCGGACGACGGGCCGCCGGATAGCACATTGTTGTAAAACGCCGTGCGGTTGTTCTTGAGGGCCAGAGCGTACGCGTCCATCTGCTTCTTGTAGCCCTGGGCTACCGTTGCGTGCGTGTTCGGCGGCAAGTAGGCGGCGTGGTCTTGGCTCGACAGGTTGGCTGCCACGTCCGCCCAGCGCTCCGAGATGACAGGAAACGGCAGCCACGCGGCCGCGTTGCCGACGCCGAGCGACTGCGGGCCCGTGCGATTGGCTTTCCATTCGGCGTCCGACCAGGCGCGGAACGTGGCATTGAGAAACAGGTCCGCGGCGGAGGGCTGCACGGACGAGTAGTTGGACAGCGAAAACGACGCCGTCAGCATGGGGTGGTCCTGGAAGTTCTGGCCGACGCCCGGCAAGTCGACGATCGTTGTGATGTTGGCGGCATCCAGCAAGGGTTTCGGTCCAATCCCGCTCAGCTGTAGAATCTGCGGACTGTGGATGCCGCCGGCAGCCAAGATGACCTCGCGGCGCGCTTTCACAAACTGGGTCGGCCGTTCCCGTACTGGGGCGTTCCGGCCGGAAGCAGATCCCGTGGCCGTCGTCGCGTTGACGATGAATCGTACGCCTGTGGCTTTGGCGTCGTTCAGGGGCCGATCGGGGTTGGTCTCCAGCATGATGTGGTCGACCTTGGTGCGCGTCAGCAGGTGGTAGTTGCTGCGCACCACCGCCCGGTCGTGGTGGCCCGTCCGGGCATACGACCGCGCTACCTTGTGCGGATCCATAAACGACGGGAACCAGTACACGCCCGGATGGCCCGCGCCGCTGTCCGCGGGGAAATCGACGCCCGGCATGCTGCGAAACGCGTCAAACTGCACGGTCGTGCCTGGGAACTGAAACGACGGCCAACCAACATAAACGCTCGACGTGTTGCCCCAGTACGCGGTGTCGTAGGCGATGCCCGCCGCTTTGGCCACGTCGGGCAGTGGCGGCACAAAAGTCAGCGCTTTGTGAAAGTAGCTCTTGAGCAGCTCCGCGCTCCACCCGCCTCTGCCGCCGGCATTGCTTCCGTCGAAAAAGGAGCCCCATCGGTCGTAGTCCTCGGCCGCCCCGCGCACCGCCATCATCGCATTGACCGCCGAGCTGCCGCCCACCACTTTTCCGGCCATCACGCCTGTCGAGCGGTTCCTGAGGTTCACCTGCGGCACCGACTGGATGTCGTACAGGAACTGCGCATCCATTCCGCGGAAGCCGCCCTGCACGGTGCTGATCAAGGCCGAGTCGCTGAGAACGCCGTATTCGATGACCAGCACAGTGGTGTTGGCGTCCTCGGTCAGCCGGTCAGCGACGGTGAGGCCGGCCGTGCCGCCGCCGACAATAACATAGTCGTACTCGGAAGCAATGTCGCGGGCATGGTTCAGGTGGTGCCAGCGGTTCGGGCGGCCGTTGTGCGGGTAGGTCACTGCGACGGCGGACAGAAATCCGGCGCCAAAGGCGAGAACCTTGTGCAGGGAAGGCGTCTGCAACGATTGTGACATTTCGCGTTTCGTTTGTGAGGTGTAACTTGCTTGGACAGCACGAGCTGGCACGGGGGAGGGCGAAGGCGAACGGTTATTTAATCGGAAAGAAAAGAAAAAGAAAAGAAACAAAAACAAGCTTTCCGCCACTCCGATTGCGAGGCAGCATCCTCATCCTTCAAAGTGAGGAGAACATGGTATTCACGTTGAGGCTATTTGTTCATGTCACGTTCCTGCATGCTTCTCGTAAATTGGAGCGGGTTGTTCGTCGGGCTGGAAAAAGAGGCAATTAAAAGAGATCATTGGCAACGACACAAAATCATGATCTCGCCGACATAAGGCGGCGGAGGGTATATAGACTGCGGGTTAAAGGACAGGTACCCGTCCGTGTAAAGTGGTCCGCGTCCTAATCGACACTGGAAGCAATTGCACCTTACATCTCTCGGTATTTATCGGCTTGATCGTGCCAGGCACAAGACTGTGGCCCATTGGAATAGATGTACATTTAGACTGCCAACAGACTTACTCGCAAGTCTTTAACCGGAACGTCCAATGTTTTGCCGGGGCTTGTACGTCTCCAAGTACTAAAACGAGCAAAATGTCGGCCTCAACAGCGCAATATGAATGTGAAGTTGGTTGATGTCTATTTGTCTATGTCGTATTCTCATTAGTAGGCAAAAGGCCGCGTTCTCACAGTCAGGGAATCTCCTCCTCTAGGTCGTCGTCGGCTCCGCCAAATCCAAACGTAAATCCACCGCCTCCGCTGCCGCTCTCTCCTGTCTTTTGCCGCTTCTCGTCGTCGGCATCTCCATCCGCCTGCTTCTTGGTATCGTCGTCGCCGCGCACAACCGACTCCCATGTCCGCTTCTTCCGGGCGTCTCGCCGTGCCATCTCAGCCTGTGCGTCTGCGAGCAGGTCCGGGCACTGCTCTGCCAGCCGCTCCACAAACAATCCGTAGGGGTCGTCCACGCCATCCTCACAACCGCTCCCCGCTGCACCGTGGCCGCCCTGGCCCCGGGCAAATCCAGTGACCTGCTCGGGCCGGTCCCGAAGAAACAGCAGCACTTCGGCGAGGTGGGCCCGCGGCACAAAATTCTGCGTCAGCGCAATGCCCGCCTCGAGGTTGACCACGAGGTGCCACCAGCCGCTCGGCACGTGCAGGATCTCGCCCTCGCGGCAGACACCCTCGATGCAGCCCGGCGTCGCCCGTGCCTCGGCGTGGAACGTCAGCAGCCACTCGGCAATGCTGAGCGGGCTCGTGACCTCGCTCTTGTCGGCCGACACGTAGACGCCGGGCACCGCCGCGCCGGGCGGAAAGAGGATCCAGTACTTGGCGCCGCGCACGACGGCGTTCCAGGCGCTGGTGCCGTTGGGGTCCTTGTGGAACGTGGAGCCGCTGCGCGCGGGGCCCACAATGAGCCAGCGGTGGGCGGGCCGCTGGGGGCCGAGGACCTCGAACAGGTCGCGGCCAAAGCAGGCGGGCTTCCAGTAGGCAGACGCGCTCTTATCCGTGGCGGTGGTGGCGGCGGCGCCGGTGGCGGCGGCGTCGACCGTCAGGTCCATCTTCTCGGCAAACTTCTTGTCAAAGAGGTAGAGCGGGCTCTCGTCGGCGGTCCGCCGCATGTACTGGTCGTACAGCGCGTACGGCCAGTCGACCGACTCGGCCCGGAACGCGGTTGTGGCGTAGTCGCTCCGCAGTCCATCGAGCGACCAGCTCCGCAGGACCGGCCACGATTGCACGCAGCGGTCGGCCGCCAGCACAAACGGCGTGTCGCTCCACGCGGCGGCAAAGTCGTCGTAGGCGAGGTCGTGGAAGCGGCGGATCTGGTTCGCCCGCGGGATGCCGCGGGCAAACTGGGACGGGTTGGTGTAGCTGCACACAAAGGGGCGGTGCAGCACATCAGAAAAAACACGTCCGCAATCAACAGAGACAGAGGGCGGCGGAGACGATGGTGTTGTGTCCTTGGGCGCGGCCTGCTCTTGTCGAGCGTGCCTCCGTTCCGACAACAGTGACGAGCGCCAGGTGCCGTGCCATGTGGGTGGCGTCCATCCATCGATCCTGTCATAATGTGAGTCCCTGGCTGATCACTCGGTGTATTTATGCAAGGAGAACCCAACGCTCGTGCGACTTACTCCAAGGCGAGGCTTTTCCACAGCTCGTCAAATGTGCAAAAGGCATACAGGAAGCGGCATGTCGAGCCCAGCGCACGTAGCGAGCTCATGTCTAGGCCCTCAAGCATGTGCATCAGCAGCTCGTCGGGCCATGCCTGAAAGACACCTGCTGCAGTTTTGGCGTCGATGCCGCTGTCCAGGTACTTGTTGCCCAGGGGTTTGATGCCTAGCGGGTGTGGAGGCACAGGGAAATCGATGTCTCCACCTGTGTGCTCTACCAGCCCCAGATCCGGTTCAATGCCCCTTGAGGCGCCTCCGTGGCCATTGTCGTTTTCAAAGGCGTTTGTTTGCAAGCTGACAATGGTGGCTGCCGGTTCGCCCAAATGGGGCGCCAGGCCGCCAGTGAGGGGCATTGCCTTAACGAATGGGGAAGCAAAGGCGTGCTATGACTCGGAAGCAGCCAGTAATATTATGTGCAGCGCACCGAGGTTGACCTTGACGGTGATTGTCGTTGCCGAGCTCGAAGTCGCCAAAGGTCGTGATCGTCTCGAAAAGGCTGCTTTTGCCGTGTAAGGCAAGTGCCGCACACCAAACGCTGTCCACCCCACATGTGTTTTTTCTGCCGACTTAAATAAAAAGGCGGTCAAAGAGACCCGTGTATGATCACGTGCAATTACTTGTATTCGTGTACCTGCTTAGGAAAGTGCAATACGACGTCTCCAGTACTTCGTAGTAGGGATTGGCGGGATGCGCAGTGTGGTTGCAATCTGCAGAAGTGGTTGAATCTAAGCACTGCATATCGTACACTAGCATCTGTCAACACTCTGACAACTGTGACTCTTCAACTGGGGCACAGTGTGACTCGTTTGGTCAGATATCGTCTGAAAACAGTCATCGTTGAGTGGGCAGCATCCTCATCCAGCATCCTTCGGCAGCTGCTGCCTGATGAGGACGCAATTGTTCCAGATACTCTGGAGAGGATGTACGCATACAGCGTATCTCGTGGCAAACGCAAACTGTCAACGCCCCGTCCAGCCGGTCTCCCGTCACCCACGCCACACGGGCTTGTCATACTAGACTCTATAGTAAGGCGAATGTTGACTCTAGATTGCTCCTTCCTCGATGCTGCGTCGTGCCCCTTCTGTGCTATGTGCTCTTTCCCGTTCTTCCATATTGCCGCTTGGGGCTAGTCTCGCCGTAGAGCCCTGTAATTTGGCGCTCTTACAGGGAAGTTACAGGGCTCGTCCTCAGCTTGGACCATCAGTCTGCAACACATCAGGAGTGGGAGAGTGGGAGGACCACCTGCGAGATACTCAGCGGCCGCTACTGCACACTGCGCAGCACGCCTCCAGTAGGGAAGTGGACTGTTCTGGTGTCTGGTGTCCGTTTGTCCGTTTCGTCGTCGACGTGCGTCTCAAACCCCTCGCTCGGACTGTATTGTTGCTTGTAAGACTTATCTCAACAATTATAGTGGGTCCTGACAGTGAATGAGATGGAGGGGAAAGAGTTTTTTTCTTTTCGCCTTGCGCCGTGCTATCCTCCTGCGCGCTGTACCGACGCGCAGACATCCGCCCCATTCATCGCTCCTTCTCTCCCTCCCACGCCCCCTTCCCCCCCACCTAGTCCCTAGCTCCTGCCACTCTTCTGATTGTGCCCCCTCCTCCTGCCTTCACGGTCTGCGCCCCTCACTCAATCCAGCCAGTCAGGGAAGGAAGCTAGCCAATTTTTTCGCCTGGTTCGTCCCTCCCTCGCCTTCCCTCACAAAAAATTAAATGCTAAAATAAAATTCGGGGCAGGAGCGATATGCCAAAGAAAAAAATTATTTCTATGGAAGCGGTGCCCTCCTGGAAAAAATTCTCCTCCCCGAAAAAATCGTTTCAACATCAATCCAAACACAAACACAAACCACAACCAACCTTCACCACCCGCAAAGAAAAACAGGATTCGCTTCCTCTTTTTCTGAAGTCCTCTCGTCATTCTTTACGAGAGTCTTGTCTGCTTTGAACAGTACCCTTTGTAAAACCACAGCTTCCACCAGGAACCGGTTGGAATCCGCAGGACAGATTCAATCTTCCGTTGGATTCTTTCATTCTTTCACTTCGTCAACCTTCGCTTCTTTGCAACCAACCGCCCGCCTCCCATTTTCTAGATCACAAGCAGCGCTTGAGATCTAGAATTTCCCGCAACTCCTACCGCGAATATGGCTACCGACAAGGGACTCGAGGATGTTCCCGAGGGTAAGTTTTCACTCTCTGCCCCTCCTCTCTCTTCGCGTCCTTCGAACTTGGGCTTGTCTGCGCGGATCACAGTCACCTGCCATGCCCGTTCTTGCTCTCTTCTCGTCCCTGTCTTGGATTTCCGCCAGTTGGCACTCGACTCGTACGCAGGATCATCCCGCAGGGGGTTACGCTGCGGCGGCAGTGGAAAAGGGGGGACGATGGGGCCAGGGAAGGGGGGGTGGCCAGAGTTGGCGGCGAGACAGATGGTCTTTGGAAAAGAGAAGAGAGACGACATCAACTCGGTAGCATAATACCAGAACCTGAAACCCAGCCGCTAACTTTCGTTTCCCCCCGCTACAGGACAGATCGAGTCAAACTACGACGAGACCGTCGACTCGTTCGATGACATGAACCTCAAGGCCGACCTCCTGCGTGGTAAGTTGCATCTTCCACGGAGATAGCGATGGACTACCAAAAGAAAGCCAAAGAAAGGCACTAACCAACCCCCCAGGTGTCTATGCCTACGGTTTCGAGCGCCCGTCTGCTATCCAGCAGCGCGCCATCATGCCCGTCATCAAGGGCCACGATGTCATTGCCCAGGCCCAGTCGGGTACCGGCAAGACGGCCACCTTCTCCATCTCGGTTCTGCAGAAGATCGACCCCAACGTCAAGCAGTGCCAGGCCCTGATCCTCGCCCCCACCCGTGAGCTGGCCCAGCAGATCCAGAAGGTCGTCGTCGCCATTGGCGACTTTATGAGCGTCGAGTGCCACGCCTGCATCGGCGGCACCAGCGTCCGCGAGGACATGAAGGCCCTGCAGGACGGCCCCCAGGTCGTCGTCGGCACCCCCGGCCGCGTCCACGACATGATTCAGCGCCGCTTCCTCAAGACCGACGCCATGAAGATGTTCGTCCTCGACGAGGCCGACGAGATGCTGTCTCGCGGCTTCACCGAGCAGATCTACGACATCTTCCAGCTGCTGCCCCAGTCCACCCAGGTCGTGCTGCTGTCCGCCACCATGCCCCAGGACGTCCTGGAGGTCACCACCAAGTTCATGCGCGATCCCGTCCGCATCCTGGTCAAGAAGGACGAGCTGACCCTGGAGGGTATCAAGCAGTTCTACATTGCCGTCGAGAAGGAGGAGTGGAAGCTCGACACCCTCTCGGATCTGTACGAGACCGTCACCATCACCCAGGCCGTCATCTTCTGCAACACCCGCAGAAAGGTCGACTGGCTCACCGACAAGCTGACCGCCCGCGACTTCACCGTCTCGGCCATGCACGGCGACATGGACCAGGCCCAGCGCGACCTGATCATGAAGGAGTTCCGCTCGGGCTCGTCCCGTGTCCTGATTGCCACGGATCTGCTGGCCCGTGGTATCGATGTCCAGCAGGTGTCGCTGGTCATCAACTACGATCTGCCCGCCAACCGTGAGAACTACATCCACCGCATTGGCCGTGGCGGTCGTTTCGGTCGCAAGGGTGTTGCGATCAACTTCGTCACCGCGGAGGACGTCCGCATGATGCGCGAGATCGAGCAGTTCTACAGCACCCAGATTGAGGAGATGCCGATGAACGTGGCCGACCTGATCTAAGGAGACAAAAGAGAAGATCCATTTCATCCCCGGCGCGGAAGAACGAGATGATCATTCTGTCTTGAGGGGGAGACAAAAAAAACGGGACCCAGCATTTAGAAACAATTGTTTGATTTTCCTTTTTTTTACTACCTTCTTTTTTCGATTGTGTCATCGTTTGTCCTCCACCCGTCTCCTCGTCCCCTTTTCCTTGTTATCCCTAACCTCTTTCTTTGCTCCTCTGCTTCTTGCTCTGTCTCATCCTTTTATTGTCGCCAACCGCCAACAACAACCCCAAAAGTCCGTTAATTTTCCAGTACCAAGAAGAAACCAACACAGCCCGCCAACAGCCACAACAAAGAAGAACATGCAACGAACACAACATGCACAGTGCCACGACGCTCGACGACGAAGACGAACATAAAAACTCTGAACACGACGTACGACTTACGACGGCGAACGACGGTGCATGATTTGTTGTGCTTTTTATTACTCTTCTTTTTATGATTGTTGGCGTTTTGTTTTTGCGTTCTTCTCTGCCAATCCGCCTCTGTTTTATCGACACTCGTACGCCCCAAAACATTGACTTTGACCAATCTCTCTCGCGGGACGTTTGTTCTTTTTACCACTTTCTCGGTTCCTATTTCCTTTACCAATCAACTGATTTACTGTCTTGTCTTGTTATTCTATCTTTTGTGCTTCAAGAAATTACGTGTTTTTCTTTCTCCTCTACCGTGTTCTCTGTCTCTGTGCAAGAAAAAGGACCGGTTCGGCTCTTTTTTCGTTTCGTTTCCCTTAAAATTCAATTCAATGCATTCCGTTGTCTTGAGTCTCTTTTTTTTTCTCCTCCTTCATCCTCATTTCTCTCTTCTCTCCTTGTTGCAGACGACAATTCTTTTACAACAAACCCGCCCCGTTGCCGAAAATTCGAAAAGCAATGCCTTCCGTCTTCGCTTTTACTCTGCCAGCAAGAAACGACCTGTCCCACGCACAACTCTCCCAACCGCTCACGATCCGTTTTTTCTTGTTTGCTAGTATTTTCACCATCCACGGCGTCATTTGGGTCTCGGCATCGGGTTCTGTTTCATAGAAGAAGAAGAATAACAAAAAAGGAAGCTAAAAAATACAAGAAATGTCCATTATTTTGTGGCCCTACAGAGTGAACGTGAATGCGAATGTGAATATGAAACATGTGTACGAGGTGACGATATGGGCGGATGAATATAAAGAAAAAACTCCTTTGATCGAAGTAGGTCGAACGGCCAGGGATAGAACGGCGCCGGTAAAACCAACTGAAGCTACAGCAGCCAAGGTGGCCGGATCCCACTAAATAAGCCCTGCACGGGTTGCCCCAATTGCACTGCCGTTGTAGCCAATTACAGCCACAGCAGCTCTCCCTAGCTTCTCAGCCCCCATTCCGCAGTCCGCCACAGGGCCTGGCAAGCGCCCCGAAAACGTGATGCTGTCTTGCCTGGCTTCCTCTCCGCAACTTTTCTCTCTTACTTTCCCTTTTCTTGCATCATCAGCAGCCTTCCCACACCAACTCCTGCCGCCACCTCATCGACTGCAGTAATTGCACAGGTGGTCTCTATCCATTCTTATTTATTGTTCTTTCTTTCTTACCACTCTCCTCCCTCCCAGACAGCCAATTGACCCCTGCCTTGCCCTGCCCCAAGCAGACAATGACGGCCAACATGGACGTCAGCCTGGACGAGATCCTCGCGGAGCGCAAGGTGAGAGAGGACGACCGAGGGCCCTGGCAACGTTTTTGCCTCTGTTTACTGTGTACTGTCGACGTCCCTGTCTTGCTAACACCACCAGTCGGAGCGCCGTGGCAACCGCAGCCGCAACGATCGCAACGACAGAAACGGCGGTCGCAGCGGACGCCGTGACCGCGACCGGCGCGACGACTACCCGCGCGATGGAGTCCGAAAGGTAGGCAAGACGGGCGGTGGAATGGCCCAAGGGGAAACGGGCAGACGGGCAAAAGGCCAAAAGGCCATGACAGAGTGCTGGCTAACCTACCAGGTTGCTACTACTGCCCACAATGTGAACTCAACAACCCTTTCACAGAAACCGCGCCGCTGACATGGGAACCACCGACCTTTTATTGTCCCTCCCCCCCTCCTCTCCTATAGTCCTACCGCGATGACCCGAGAAAGATTGACGAGTAAGAGCCGCTCTGCACTTTGGTGGACGTATTTGATATGCGTAATGGACAGACAGCTAACCCTTGTGTCTTCGTTTTGCCCAGCGAATGGGTCCATGACCGTTACGACAACAATGGTAACATACGCCAGCCGGCTATTGCTTTGTCTTGATACCCACCCACGTTGCCGAGCGTCTCCTAACATACATACAGACTCGGAGCACCATGTCAAGGCTTCACGCAGCCGTGCATCGCCAGAGCGGTAGGCCACCTTCTTCTGATTCTTCTGTTCGGTCTCTTTCTGTTTCACGCCCTTGGTGCGCCCTGTCTAACAAGTCCAGCACCCGTGGCACGCGCGTCCGCGTCGACAACCTCCACTACGACCTGACCAAAGACGACCTCGAGGGCCTCTTTTCCCGCATCGGCCCTGTCGCCGCCGTCGACCTCGTCTACGACCGCGCCGGCCGTTCCGAGGGCACCGCCTACGTGACCTACCTCGAACACGACGACGCCCGCGCGGCCCTCCGCGAATACGACGGCGCCAACGCCAAGGGCCAGCCCATTCGACTGGCGATTGTGCCTGCCGGCGGACGGCGCGGCCACAATGGCAACGTGGCCGTTGGGAGCGGCCGGCCGCTGGCCGAGCGCATCTCGCGGCCACGAAAGCGGGGAGGGGACGACGGTGACGACCAAGACGGCCAAGACGACGAGGAGGGGGACGGCCGCACGAGCCTGTCCGTGGCAGCACGCCGCGGTATTGACCGGTACGTGCCCGGGTCAGACTCGACGGCCGGGGGCGGTGGTAGTGGCCGGCTGTCGCGGTCGCGCAGTCCGCCGCCGCGCCGCCGCGACGGCGGCCGGCGGCCGGGTGAGCGGAGAGGCGGCCGTAACGGTAACGGCCGTTCTGACAACAACAACAACAACAACAACAACAACCAGAACGGTGGCGGTGGCGGCGGCAACCGGCGGCCGCGCAAGACACAAGAGGAGCTGGACGCGGAGATGGCCGACTACTTTGTCGAGGGCAGCAACGGCGCCGCCACCGCCACCGCTGCACCGGCCGTCGAGGCCGCAGCAGCAGCACACGACGACGGCGACGACACGGATATGATTCTGTGAGGCGGGCTGCAGATCGACGGCGACCAAGGGTGTACAATATTTTTTTTGATATTATGTTTTTGCTTCTATGCTTTACAGAGACGGCGCGTCTTAGGCTCAAGATGGATAGTACGAAAAAGATAGTTTCACAAAAAGGAACATAAATGGTTGATCGTGTTGCGAGACATAGACTTGCCAAAAGAAAAATACCATGTCAATACCTTGTCCCGTGTCCGTCCATATATTATTGTATGTGTATCATGTATGCTATCATGTAAGAATCCATCGTGTCCATCCTTCGTTCCGTCGTTCCGTTTTGCATCCATTATTATTACAGGGTATACAAGTTTCAGCCCCATTCCTACAACACCGACAGCAAGAGATCTCCACACACGCGCGCCTTGAGCACCACCTCAATCTCGAGGTTGACCTTGAGCTGCACGGCCAGCTTGGCCCGTGGCGGGGCTGTGCCAGGTGGCAACGGCGGCGGAAGGAGGATCGGGCCGAGGGAGGGCAGTGGCTCCAGGTCGAGGAGCGGCTCCTGGGTCGCTTCTTGCTGCGGTCGGGTTTTTACCGGTGTGAGGGATGTCGTGGGCGTACTGACTTTTGGGAGAGCGGCGGCGCGAATTCGTCGCGTGCGTGTTGTTGACGCCGGTGCCGGCTTGGCGAGAGGGAGTGGGAGAGGAACGGATACGCTGGTCGCGTGGGAAGGCCTACCGGTCGTGTCGGGTGGCGATTTCGAGTAGGGCCGCGATGGTCTGGTTCGGACCCGTGCCCGGGTTTGGGTCTGAGGCTGTCTCTGCGACGGTATTTGTGTTTGTGCCTGTGTCTGAGACTGTCTTTGTGACGGTATTTGTGTTTTTGCTTGCGTCTGCGTCTGAGTTCCTGTTGCATACTTGGGTGGTTGGGTCCTCGATTGTCTTGGGTGTGTATCCGTCGAATGGACCGGTCGCGACGGGTTGGATGGTGTTGACAGCGTTCTTGACATCGGCAAAGTGCCCGACGGTGGTGATGAGCTGTCGCTCTGTATGCTGCCATTTACAGGGCTCTCGCCCGGCTCTGTGGTGTCGCTAGATGTGGCCTCTTCGGCCAGCGTGTTGGATGCCATGCCGGCGAGCAAAGCAGTCTTGATGGCCGGACAGTCGATAGGATCGTTGTTTGCGTTGATCAAGAGGAGACGATGCCAAGATATTAGAGAAGAACGTCTGGCGAGGTGGGTCCTCGCTTTATACGTCGACGACGAGAGTCAGGACGTAGGTCTTCTGGTCCTTTGTTGTCTTCGTTTCCCAGCGATCGGTATTGTGCGAGGCTGGCGAGAAATGGGCTGCAGGTGCGGTAGAGGTTAATTCGTTCATGCAAGAGTAAAGTATAAAGAGAGGCAAAAGCCAAAAGTATGGAGAATGCGAAGATGGACGGATGAAAAGGGAAGGGATCAGTGGGGCCTAGCCATCGTTGTCACACCTGTTCCTTCCCCGTAAGAGACGTATTGTGTTTTGCGTTGCAGTACAGCCGCGTGCCTGCCGTCCAGAAAGTGTCAAAAATACAGGTTCGGCAGCTGCTGCTGGTGGCCACCAAACAGGAAGGAACCGGTGATGTAAGGGCGCCAAGCGCCTTTGCAAATCCGGTTTTTTTGGCAAGAGGTTAAGGCTGTACGACACGGGTAGCCCGTCTGCCCGTTCCTGCCGTGTTTGTGTCGCGTAGCAAGAAATCAAGGGAAATCGACGAGATTTTTGAATTTCAGATACTATGATAATAAAATGAGATACATGCTATTTTTGGCAGTCTTTCATCTTTCGTTTGTTTATTTGTATCATTTTCTGAAGAATTGATCACGTCGTTCCACCGGCGTTTTCTCATTTTCTTTCAATTATAAACGAGAAGAAATGTGTACATTTTATCACATGTAAATATATTTACTAAATAATAAATGTCACTATTCTACCCCTTTTTTTTTTTAAAAAAAAAAAAAAAAAAAAAAAAAAAAAACTAACAAAATACAAAAGTACAACGTTTCAGATTTGTTATTTTCAATAAACCAACCGCACCTACGTCGTGTCATGGCCGTCGGCATCACGACATCTGCACAGTTGCCATACGACGAGTTAAAGAACTCCATAAACGAAACCAGTCGAACTAAGTCTGTTGTGCATCTCGTGGCAAGTCAAACTACCTCAACAGTCTCAAAGCAACCCGACTTGCTGTCATAATTGGCTCGAACTTCGGTCTGGATGCAGCTTCACCGACCGGTTCTGGGGCAAAACGACAGAGGCAAGAACAAGCAACGAACACGATATCCAAATCGGGACGACAACAGGATTGTCTACAACCCGTTGGCCACCTTATCTTCTAGCCGTTGCAAATGCCCACGTCAACGTACACCCACCACCTCTGAAACATGCAGATGATGTGCATGCCGCTTCCTGGTTTGACGGCATCGCAGCCTGTTCATCTCACCTTGGCACATCTCACGGGCGGCTCCTCTTCGGCGCGCCAGAATCGCGATGCACAGCAGGATGGGTGAGTTGACGAGACGGATCGGGACGGCTGAAACCAGAACAGCAGGTTTGCGGACGAGAAGACATATTGTTCAGAGTCGCAAATGCATGTTCGCTATAGTAAACCAAAAAGAGTGGCGAAGAAGCAGTTGCGACGCATAGAAATCAAGAAATCAAAGCTGCCTCCCGACGTAACATTATAACTTTCTCATACCCACGCCCTGGGCCGTCGGCTACTCTTCCCTCTTTTGCTTCTTCTGCCGCTTCGCGTCCAAGCCCTCGGCCATGGCGGACGCCACGTCCTCGGCCGTCCGCCCCCGCTTGCGCTGTCCAATCTTTTCTTGCCCCAGCACGGTGTCCTCTGCCACCGCTTTGAACACGCCCGCGGCGCCCCGGAACAGGTCGGGCGCAAAGCCGGCCTCTTCGGCAAACGTGTCGCTAATCTCTTCCATCTCGCGCACCCACCGGTAGGCCTTGGGCGCCATGCCCGTCAGGGCGCCCTCGGTCTGCTTGACGCGGCCGGGCACCAGCGAGCCCATGGCCCACTGCAGGTCCTCGAGCACGCCGAGCTTGTGCGCCGTGGTAAAGGCCTGGATGGCAATGGCCGAGTAGCCCTTGGACATGGCGGCAAAGCACATTTTGAGGCCGCTGGCGCTGCCAATCGTGTCGGCAATGTGCCGGCTGTTGAGAGCCGCGGCGAGCGTGGGAAAGACGTCGAGGTTGTGCGGGCCGGACGTGGGCATGAGCGGGCGGTACCACTCGAGGGGGGCCGCGGCGTCGGACGAGATGGTCCCGGGAGCGGACGAGTTGGCCTTGTCTGCCCCGCCTGCTGCCGATGCCGGCACCGCTGGCGTCACGACGGGCGGCGTGGCCGCGGCCGGCCGCAGCTGCGGAGGCCCGCCCAGGATGCATCCGTCAACCAGGTGCACGGGCGGGTGGGTCCCTGCGGCGGCAAACAGGCCGGCAATGGTCTTGCACGTCGACGGCGCCACGGCGTTCATGTCGGCAAAATACAGTGGCCGGTCCGCCGGGCGGTTGGCGGCGGGCAGGGCATCAACGATACGCTGGGCGGTGTCAACAGCGTCGCGCGGCGGCACGACGGAAAAGATAATGTCGCAGTGGGCGGCCAGGGCCGCATCCGACGGCAGCACCTGGACATTGGCGGCCTTGGCACGATCAGCGGTGTCTTGGCTGCGGCCGGCGATGTTGGTTGCAACCGAAAAGCCGTTGGCGATCAGCAGCTTGGCGATGCCCATGCCCATGTCGCCAATGGACAGGATGCCCACCTTGGCGAGCGTCGGTGCAGGAGCCATGGCGGGTAGTGAGAAGGGCGGATGGGGGGAGGATGAAGGGAGGGAAAAGGTTGAGCAAAACAAGTGAAGTAAAAGGACAAATAGGAATAGGGGTCAAAAAGATCGGAAAGAGCTATGATATTGTGAGTCCGAGATGAGTTGGTGTACAACAAAGTGGAAGGAGCGTTCGGTGTCGTCTAATGGGGCGAACTTCACAAGTTTCCAGGAAGGCGCGATTTGGAGGGGCTTCGGTTATCTCTTCTATGACTGATTCGACAGTTTTCTTACTCGGTTGTCGTTCCTTGTGTGCCAGAAGTCTAGCGGTTTGATTTTTTTGATTTTTTTGACTTCTGTCTTTGTCTATGTTTCTTGAGATGTCTTGATTGCTGTCAATATACCCGTTTGTCTGTAACGTTGGAAATGGTCGGTGGTTCAGGCTGTCTGGTGATTTGTGATTTTGCTGGCGGCAAGCTGGGTCGGCAGGCCTCTATAATAGGTACAGAACAGGAGGCCTGGGTCTGAGAGGTTCTAAAAAGCGCAAAGCTGGAAAAATGGTGTGCTCATATCGTTTTCGTCGCTCTGCCTGGCCACCATTTTAAGCCACTGCTCGTTCCTTCCCATCTTTCCCGTCCCGTTCTTTCCTCGCCGGCAATGTAGCACTACCGCGGGTGCATGCTTCCCCAGACATAGGCATTGTGGGCATCGAGTTTGGTGCGGGTCGCGTGCGCGCCACTGCCATTGTCTTTGCTTCTATTGCTGCCATTGCCTCCATTTCTCGCGCGCGCAGCAGCGGACAAAAAGATGCCGTGGTTGGAGACGGCACCGAAATGATTGTGGATCAATGCGACCTGGTCACTTTGGCTGTCTTCGTCAGACGCCAAAATGGGCAGGCTGCCGTCGTAGCCAGCTTGTGCGCCGAGCGCAATCGACCAGCCGCTGGCATCGGAGCCGGTCTCGGCATTGGCGTGATTGAGGGACTGCGCCTTTTCTGGTGCTGCAGCCAGCGGCGCCACGAAGAACTGCACATAGGCCCCTGGCATCGCCACGCCATCCACGGCCCCTCCCGCTGTGTCAGCCTCGCTCCCACTCTCGTTCTTGCTCACGACCGGCCCCATGTGCGTTTCGTTCCTGAACGAGCGGATGAAGCTGAGCATTGCTTCGTCGTCCATTTCCTCGTCACGACGCTCCTCGCCGAGGATTTTGGGCGCCTGCTGTGGCAACAACGTATCGCTACCGATGCTGCTCGCCGCAACGGAGGAGAGACTGGCTGCCGCGGGATGGCTCATCTGCGGATCGAGCGAGAGCAGGCCTTGCTTCAGGCCCCAGCCGCCTCCACCGCTCACTGGCCATTTTATATTTATATTAGCACAGCACAGAATTAGGGACGACGGGTGCAATAGCAAAGGACAACGTAGCAACTGCGAAACGAGACCGAAAAGCAAAAACACGTGCGAAGGGCACTCACAAATTCTGTGCAGACGACAGCCTGCAGCCAACAACTCTGTAAAGTGTGCCGATGCCTGCGCCGCCGCCTGCTGCTCGGCTGCCGGGGTGTGGTCTGCATCGCTGGCCAGGGCGTCCAATGGCGACTGTTGCTGTGCCTGCAGCCTCGCCCTGAGCTGCTCGTAAACAGGCACGACCGGTGCCGGGATCACGAGGCCCCAGACCGCCAGTGCCCCGTCTTGTAGCGCGGGAGCTGCCTTGCGCCGAGCGGCCAGCAGCGCCGGAATGGCTGCCTCGAGCTCGCGCGCTGCTGGAATGGGCTTGGCGCTGTCCCGGTCAAACACCTGCCGCACAATGTTGCCCAGCCCGGACGCGATCTGGAGCGGCTCGGACAGGGCAAACAGGGGCGCAGACACGCTTGTCGTGTCCTGTGTCGATGGTGATGATGATACGGGTGACGATGACGATGACGACGACGATGACGGCGGTGCAACAATCAGCTGGTGGTCACGCGCCTCGAGCGTCTGGCGTTGGAAGCCCCCCTGTTCGAGAGTCTGCCACCGGCTCGCCAGCAGCGTCGACCGCCGGCCGTTTTGGAAAATGGTGTTGCTGAGAGGAAGCGTCACCCGCAGCGACGCGTCGCCGTCCGCCCCCGCACCCGCCAACGGCGGTACTTGGACGGTCACCGCCACATCCCGGTCGAGATCGCTGCCAATGGACCCGCGGCTGCGCCGGAGCGCCGCCTTGCCGTCGTCACCGCGCCACATGCCCGGCAGAAGCGCGTCCGAGTTGCCATAAGCAATGGACAGGCCCGAAACGGGCGGCCGTTCGTCTCGTCCGCCGCGGACGCTCGCTGTGGTCTGCGGCGCCGCCAGGGCGGCCACAACGGCGCACAAGACACTCGTCTCCGTGCCGCCACTGCTCCTCGGCTGACTCAAGGGCAGCTGCTGGAGCAGAGCGGCCAAAAACGCCTCGTCGTCGAGCCAAGTCGCAAAATCGGGCGATGCCAGTATGACAGCCGCATTGTCAGGACTGCCTGGTGATGCTGCCTGGCTCTGTGCTGCCAGTGCCTCCTTTCGTGACCGGATGGTGTCAAGGACGGTTTGCTGGTGTCTGTTAGATGTTGCAGGTCTGACACCACGTCACGCAAGAGACTCACTTTGGATGAGGACGGCGAAGCCGCGACGGTGAACTGACCGCTGTGCCGCGCGCATGTTGACGAAAACCACCGCATATACCGTGGCGCGGCACACGGCGCAGCGACAGCCGCTGCCAACCGAGGACGCAAGGCCGAGAGAGTCATCACAAGGCGATTGTAAGTCTTGAGATTGGGTCACGGCATAAAAGTTGTTTTGACGAGAGGGATATGTAGGATTTCGGGAACAGAAAAATAATGACAAAATGTAGAGTCATGGCACAACACCCGTCGGGCTCCGTTGCCTCTGTCCTTGTTTTCTCCGTCTTTCACAACACGAGCGCCCTGAAGCTATTCAGAGTTTTATGACAGGCCCATTACGTCGTAATACAGCTTGCAGATTAGTATGAAGTACACAGCTTACACCACCGGCCTGGAGCTCTTTCCCCCAACGGACAATGATGCACCTGGGGCGAGCGAGGCAGGTGCCCGCACTTGCAGGCCCTGGCACTTTCCGTTTGTAGCAGCAGGGCATTGGCCAATGAGCCACTCATTCCTGCTGGCTGCCATTGGCCATCGCGCCTCACCGCCTAGCCCATAGCGCCTGCCGCAAACTGTTTTTGCTCTTCCCCGCTGCCCCTCATGCTGCACGCTGCAGTAACTGCTCCTGAACCGTCGCAAAGCACCCGCAAACGGCAGGAGCAACCCAGAGCCTACCAAATTAGCGTGACTCACAAAAAGTGTGACTGGCCCTCGAAAAAACATCCGCTCCAAAACAAACGGATATATCTAGACGAGGCTGAACGACCAAAGGCCCCTTGTTGCTCCGCGCTTTCTTATCCACCCCCCGCCCATTGCCTTTCCACGCATTGCTCCCCCCATACGAACCCGTTCCGAGGACGCCAAAACGTCGTCCTTTCGCTTCTTCCGCGCGCTCTTGCTGCGCCCGTCACCCGCAACAAACCGGACCATCTTCCGTGCACGTGCAACTATGGCGACCAGTACGTCGACGGCCCGTGCTCTCCTCCCTGCTTTGTGTGTCGTATTGCTGACAATTGTGCTCGCAGACCCCCCGGCTGAGGCTCCGCCGGCCCAGGGCGATGCTGCTGCGGCGGCCGCCCCGAAAGTGAAGTCCGACAAGGAGGCCGAGCGCGACCGCAAAAAGGCCGAGAAGCTCGCCAAGTTCCAGCAGAAGCAGGCGGCCCAGAAGGCTGCCGCTGCTGCAAGTACGGCCAGCGCCGGCCCTGCTGCCGCCGCGGCCGCCGGCGAGAAGAAGACCAAGGCCAAGGCGCCCAAGGCGGCGGCTGCCGAGGAGACCCTTGCGCCCTACACCAACGACACGCCCGCGGGCGAGAAGAAGCGTCTGCGCAGCTTCGACGACCCCTACTACAAGTCGTACAACCCCGTGGCCGTCGAGAGCGCCTGGTACGAGTACTGGGAGAAGGCGGGCTTCTTCGAGCCCCAGTTTGGCGCCGACGGCCAGGAGAGCGCCAACGGCCGCTTCGTCATCTCCCACCCGCCGCCCAACGTCACCGGCTCGCTGCACATGGGCCACGCCCTCGGCGACTCGCTGCAGGACATCATGATCCGCTACTACCGCATGAAGGGCAAGACCACCCTGTGGCTGCCCGGCTGCGACCACGCCGGCATTGCCACGCAGAGCGTCGTCGAGACCATGCTGTACCGCCGCGAGGGCAAGACCCGCCACGACCTCGGCCGCGACGCCTTCATCAAGACCGTCTGGGACTGGAAGACGCAGTACCACGCCAACATCAACAACGCCCTGCGCAAGATGGGCGGCTCCTTTGACTGGAGCCGCGAGGCCTTCACCATGGACGAGAACCTGAGCGCCGCCGTCCAGGAGACGTTTGTGCGCCTGCACGAGGAGGGCACCATCTTCCGCGCCAACCGCCTCGTCAACTGGGACTCCAAGCTCAACACCGCGCTGTCCAACCTCGAGGTCAACAACAAGGAGCTGACCGGCCGCACCCTGCTCGACGTGCCCGGCTACGCCAAGAAGGTCGAGTTCGGCGTCATTGTCTACTTCAAGTACCAGATTGCGGGCTCCGACGAGACCATTGAGGTCGCCACCACGCGTCTCGAGACCATGCTCGGCGACACCGGCATCGCCGTCCACCCCCAGGACGAGCGCTACAAGCACCTCGTCGGCAAGCGCGTCGTCCACCCCTTCATCCCGGACCGCGTCATGACCATTGTGGCCGACGACTACGTCGACCGCGAGTTCGGGTCCGGCGCCGTCAAGATCACGCCCGCGCACGACGCCAACGATTTCGCCATTGGCGAGCGCCACAAGCTCGAGTTCATCAACATCCTGACCGACGACGGCCTGATCAACGAGAACGGCGGGCCCTACGCCGGCCAGAAGCGCTTCGACGTGCGCTACGCCGTGGCCGAGGACCTCAAGAAGCTGGGCCTGTACGTCGACAAGAAGGACAACCCCATGGTCGTGCCCCTGTCGGAGCGCAGCAAGGACGTCGTGGAGCCGCGGCTCAAGCCGCAGTGGTGGATGCGCATGGGCGACATGGCCCAGATGGCCGTCCAGGCCCTCGACGACAAGCAGTTCCAGATCAAGCCCGAGTCCGCCGACCGCAGCTTCCGCCACTGGATGGCCAACATCACCGACTGGTGCATCTCGCGCCAGCTGTGGTGGGGCCACCAGTGCCCCGTCTACCTGGCCCACTTCGAGGGCGAGGACGAGAGCGACGCCGGCGACAACACGCGCTGGTTTGCGGCCAAGACCGAGGCGGAGGCCCTGGCCAAGGCCACCAAGGCCTTCCCCGGCAAGACCATCCGCCTCGTGCGCGACGAGGACGTGCTCGACACCTGGTTCTCGTCCGGCCTGTGGCCCTTCTCCACGCTGGGCTGGCCCAAGGCGACGCCCGACTTTGAGAAGCTGTTCCCCACGTCCATGCTCGAGACCGGCTGGGACATTCTCTTCTTCTGGATTGCCCGCATGGTCATGCTGAGCCTCAAGCTGACGGGCCAGGTGCCCTTTTACGAGGTGTACTGCCACCCGCTGGTGCGCGACTCCGACGGCCGCAAGATGTCCAAGAGCCTGGGCAACGTCATCAGCCCGCTCGACGTCATCTCGGGCATCAGCCTCGAGGCGCTCAACGAGTCGCTGCTCAAGGGCAACCTGGACCCGCAGGAGGTGCAAAAGGCCATCAAGTACCAAAAGACGGCCTTCCCCGCGGGCATTCCCGAGTGCGGCGCCGACGGCCTGCGCATGTGCCTGGCCAACTACGTCACGGGCTCCGGCGACATCAACTTTGACATCAAGGTCATGCATGCGTACCGCCGCTTCTGCAACAAGATCTGGAACGCCTCCAAGTTTGTGCTCGGCAACCTGGCGGCCCACAGCGCCGGCGCGGCCAGCTTCCAGCCGCGCGCGACGCGCACGCTCGGCGGCGACGAGTCGCTGGCCGAGCTGTGGATCCTCGCCAAGATGAACAAGGCCGCCAAGGAGATTGGCCACGCCGTCGAGGAGCGCGAGTTCAAGAACGCGTCCAACGCCCTCTACAACTTTTGGTACGCGGAGCTCTGCGACGTCTTCATCGAGAACTCCAAGACCATCATCGCCGAGGGCACGCCCGCCCAGCGCGAGTCGGCCCTGCAGACGCTCTACAGCGCGCTCGAGACGGCGCTGCTGCTGAGCCACCCCTTTTTGCCCTTTATCACGGAGGAGCTGTGGCAGCGCCTGCCGCGCCGCCCGCAGGACGCGACGCCGTCGATTGTCGTGGCGCCGTACCCGGAACACGACGCCCGGCTCGAGAACCCCGCCGCCGAGGCCGCCTACCAGCTCGTGCTCGACGCCTCGCGCGGCATCCGCTCGCTCGTCGCCGAGTACCCGCTGCCCAAAGACGCCGCCGTCGACGTCTTTGTCCAGACCACCAACGACGACGCCCACGCCACCGCCACCCAGGAGGTGCCCGCCATCCGCTCGCTGCTCGGCAAGGCCGGCGGCAGCGCCCGCATCACCGTGCTGGCGCCCGGGGCGCCGCGCCCGGTGGGCTGCGTCGCGGTCCAGGTGTCCGGCGCGGCCTCGGTCTTCTTGCACGTCAAGGGCCACGTGGACCTGGACGCGGAGATTAAGAAGGCGCAGACGAAGCTCAGCAAGGCGTCGGCGAACGCGGCCAAGACGCGCAGGCTGGTGGGCGATGCGACGTACAAGGAGAAGGTGGCGGCGGCGACGCAGGAGGCCGACCAGCAGAGGCTGGCGGAGCAGGAGAGCGAGGTGCAGCAGCTGGAGCAGACCGTGCAGCAGTTTGAGGCCCTGAAGTTAGAGTAAAACCTGGGGGGGATTAAGAAGTTTTTTTTACAAGAAAAAAGACCAAAAAAGAATGGCGAATGAAAATCCAATCTGTAGAACCAAAATGGAGGAGCGCATGTACGCACCACTATATAGGAATAGTTATTTTTGGTATTTTGAATGTTTAGACACGCCGGGGAGAAGAATCGTATACGAAACGAAAAGAAGGAAAAAAAGACGAGCGGCTCCAAGTGTGAATTTGTGTGAAATACCGTAATACCGTGTATGCTATGACCTGTGTAGTGTATTCATCGATCCTATCCAAACGAGCAAGCAACGCAAAGAAAGTTGAATTGGCCAGCCTAGTGACAAAAGCAAAACGCAAAGGAAAACGAGATACACGAATTGCACAAACTACCCAGTACAGAATGCGCCTCGAAAATCGTATGTACAAAGCTCGACGAACGAAAAAAAGAGGTGAACGAGAGGTGAACGAGAGGTGAACGAGAGGTGAAGAAAAGATTGACACGCCGTGAAAAGTGTCTGAAACGAGTGACGTGAAGGACAAGATGGCAGATCAAGAAGAAACAGTAGAAGAAAACCAGAAGAAAAGGAAACTCCTTTCCTGCACGCGCAGCGGAGGGGGTATCAAGGTCTGCAGGGCGAGGACGGAACCCCGTCCTATAACTATAACAAGGGCTTTTCGGTCGGGCCCTCGTCGGTGGCCGAGGCGATAAAGTCGGCAATGGCCTCAAAGTAGCCCTCCTCGAGCACGCTCGAGTTGTGGTCGCCCAGCGGCAGCGGCTTCCAGATCTTGTTGGGCGCCTGCGACAAGTCGTACAGCTGGCGCATGTGGCTGGGCGGCACGATCTCGTCCTTGAGGCCACTCAGGAACAGAATGGGCACTTTCGTAATGGTCGGAATGACGGAATCGCTCGGCCAGACTTGGTGGCACAGCAGCGTCAGGTAGCGGGCAGGCGGGAGGATCTGGGGGATCAGCTTGCGCATGCTGAGAAACGTGTTTTCGAGAATGAGCCCGACGACGTCGCCCTGCTGCTGGTTGTCGGCGACGAGGCGGATGGAGACGGCGCCGCCGAGGCTCTGGCCGTAAACAATAAACTTGTGGGTGCTGGTCTCGGCGCGGTTGCGCAGGTAGTCGAGCGCGGTCTGGGCGTCGACGCTCAGGCCGGACTCGCCCGCCTCGCCCGTGGAGCTGCCGTAGCCGCGGTACTCGAGCATGAAGATGTTGCAGCCGACGAGATGGCGCAGCATGCGGGCAATGGGCAGGCGGTGGCCAATGTTGCCCGCGTTGCCGTGGAACATGATGACGGTGGTGCGGGCATGGCGGCTGTTTCGTGCCTCGGCCGGGCCGCGGGGACCGCGAATGTAGAAGGCGGCGAGCTTCTCGCCGTCGTCGGTGGGGATGACCAGCTCCTCAAAGTCGGTGAGGCCAAACTGCTTGGGGCTCGGGATGTCGTTGCGTGCGTTGGCGGGGACGTGGGACGGGTAGATGAGGGCTCTGGAGGGCGAAGAGTGCTTGTCAGCACATCTGCAGCAACGGGGGACAATGTCCACACGCTCCCATGGGTTCAATGGTTCGATATGTTCGAGTTCAATACGTTCGAGAGGTTCGATACGTTTGGACCAGGCGCAATGTAGAACTCACTTTTGCTTAAAGTAGAGGAGGGATGTGAGAACAGCAGCGACGCCCTACGCGACAGGTCAGTTCTCCGTACTGTGAGGCAGTGTTTCAGCACATACGCCCGGCATGGCATGACAGACGTACAGTCGATGCAATGGCCGGCAGGCGCATGTAGGAAGCGGCCGACCCAAGCAGCGAGACGGTCTGCTCGAGAAAGGTGGCCGTCACAGCACCTCCACCCGAGCCGGAGGGAGGCGAGCTCATCGTCGTGGAGGACGTGGCGATGGACGAGGCCGACGAGGCGGGTTGCGTTTGGGGCACGTCGAGGCTGTTTGTAGTGCGGATGTTGAGAAGATTGCTGTTTTTGTTCTTGTTCTTGTTCTTGTTCTTGTTCTTGTTCTTGTTCTTGTTCTTGTTCTTGTTGTCGTTGTTGTCGCTGTCGGAATCGAGTCCTTTGGACGTTGATCGAAAATCGAGGCTCCTGCGAAAGGCGAGCGACGCACGCCGGTTAGCTCTTTAGTGCTCATGCAGCTGAGGTGTGGGGAGCCTAGGACACGAGGCAAGGCAAAGTTAGAGGGAAGCCGTGGGAGCTCTGCTAGTGTGGTTGGTTTTTTTGCAATGCATTCTTACTTTTTTCGTCGCATCCGACAGAGACCGATCGCGTCGGCCAGCGCATAGAATAATAAAAAAAGAAATAACAACTCCTTTCTGTCTCTGAATGGGCTAGTGGATCTCGTGTTGAAGATGCTCGCTGCGTCTTTTGGGTAGACAATTTGTCACAGCAATCCTGGCTGAGTTGTCCGAGAGGTTGCTCTCGACGAATTGATGCGAAGCTTGGCTGGCGGTGCAGTCAGCTGTGCAAGAAGTTGATACTTGGACGGCTGTGTGCTGCCGGGCAAAAGTGCAGCAATGGGCAGGGCGAGGGACAGGGAAGCAATGAGGGCGAATGAAGAAACGAGACGGAAGAAGAGAAGCAGAAAAGCAGAGAAGCAGAAGCAGACGATGCGATGCCGGGTTTGTTGTGTTTTTCTGCCTTGCGTTCGCTCTTTCCCTGTGCACCTTTTTCCCGCTCTTTTCTCTACGGCAGGAGCATACAACCACCATTTGTGGAGCAAGCGTTTGCTCCTTGGTTTCTCTTTCCCTTTTCGCTAGAGAGTCTCTACCCCTAGCTCTTGCCCAAAACATACACGAGGCTTGACCGCCAAAGTGTCAAGGAGCTTGAATGGGGTTCCTGCAGTCTGGAGCTACACTGTAGATGGAGCAAACGACGCAGACAGGTGCTCAGGGAGTTGGTTACACCTGTTGCAGCGGCGCATTTCGTATTCTGCCGGACCGCAGCGTCTCTGGGCAGAAGAGGAGCATGAAGCACAGAGAAATGAAAGGAGAATAGGAGGAGTATTTCGTAACAGGAGGGACAGAGGACGAAAGGCGGTCAGAGCGCCTCGGCAGACGGCAGAAGCGACCGAGATGTCCAGACAGACACCAGGCGCAAAGGAGACGTGCAAAGACACAGAGACGAAAAGAACAGAGACGCAAAGAGGTTGAGTATGGAAAGCGGTCGAGGAGCATCGGCAGGTTACGTGATGCTGGTTTGGTTTCTTGATGAGTTGATGTTCGACCAGTCGTTCCTTCCGCCAGTTTCTTGTCCACTCCTTCCTTTGTTCGAACAGCCAGCCACGAACGGATCCTCATCTTCTTCCAGAGCAAAGACCAGGAAGCAATCTCATACCACATCTCCAGTCGTACTCTGTTGGCGAAGGCAGTTTGCGAGCTCCCGCATTATCCAGATCTCCCCTCGATCTCACCGAACCACGGCGAGAAACGTATGCAAGGTACGAACATGGACAGTTATGCGGCGCGTCTTTCTCAGTCTCAAACAGGCATAGGGGAATTTTCGCTTCATTTAAACGGGATGCCAACAAAAACCCAATGGCGGCCCGCATGATAGGCTGTCGCTCTGTCTTCTCGTTCCCGCTTGTCCTCTGTCGGCATCGTCCACTTTACCACAGACAGGGGTCCGTGGTTTAGCGCCAACACATAGTCGCGTAGGAGCGCCGCCTCGCGACCACAAGCCCAGGACGTTAAATTAGATTCTCGGTCGCGCACGCGCCCAGGTCGTGATCGGGACGAGGAGACAGAGGGAAAAAAGGAGACTGGGGGGGATGGAGGGTCCGGATTTGGTGCTATTGGGGAGCTACTGGGGAGATCAGAGAGAGTGAGAGCTCCCGCGACGTTTAGCGACACCACACCTCGTGCTCGTTAAAATTACGATGTGACCAGATATGAGAGCTGACTGTCCGTACACGAACGACGAGTCAGGGGGAAAGAGGGGGCAGAGGGGCAGACAACAAGACAGAGTGAGGAGAGGTGGGAGAGAGAGACAGCATGAGGGGACAACGACGTCACCGGACACGGCAGAGCGAGGATGGGGCCGCGATGACGATACCTGGGATGGCGACATAAGGAGATGCGAGGGACGGTGGGTGATGGTCTTGATGGGCCTGGACGGACACAAGGACGAGTCCAAGAGACACAAGTACGTCGTACTCTGCACACAAGGACAGACACAGCGTGGATAGGCGGTCATGCGCTCCGCTGATGTCTCCTTTTCCCTCCTTGTCTCGCAGCACACCACACCATCTTCACACCTTTTGCGATGTTAGTGCGAGGTAGATTCGTACTCACCGCGGCGCTTGCGTTGGTTAGACGCGCATCACTTCAAAGGAACGGGCGCGCTTTGCCCAGGCGCATTACCCTCTTTTCGGTCGTTTGGATCGCCTTTGCATGCTGCACTTCCACGGGGATCGGTCTGTCTCGTTTTGTCTGTTTACAAAGGGTCGTCTTTTTGTTCACCACGGGGAACAAATAAGCAGGCCCGCGAAGTAAAGATAAATGGCCCCGTAAAGATGCTACGAACAAGCACATTTGCATCGCATCAGAAAAGCTGAAAAATGAGCGAAAAGCAGGAGGGCAAGCACATGAAACACTTTGCGTTCGTAACGAAAAGGGGGGGCGTGTATGGAAGAAAACTGACCTGACCTTGGGACGAGCAGGGGTCGACAACCCCTCCAGCTCCTGTTCCTGAACGAGATGACTACAAAAGTGTGTCTTTCAGCTTCTTTTCTTTAATCGATATTGCTGTTTACATTCTCCCCTTGCCTCGCCGCTCATATTTGGTTTGCGTTATTTGTTTTTCAAAGCCACCGTTTTCTAAGGGAAGAGACAAGCAAAACGAGACATGAGAAGATCATTCTTCATTAAGAAGATTAGCAGATAATACTGGAATGATAACGTTGGGGGAGGAAAGGGGAAAAGGGCATGGGATAGGCGTGGGAGAGGCATGGACATGAGGACAAAAGCATTTCAACACTTCAGTAAAATCTTATAAGGATGAGAGAAAACAAGTTTTGCGACGGGATGTCCTTAGGACAAGACGCGCCATAAGTACTTGCCGTTGGAGGATCATCAAATAAGACATTTGCGGCGGGGGGGGCGATCGGTAGCTATGAAGAGCCGTAAGACATATTAAGGAGTGGGAAAGATGAACCTCGGCCAGGATAAGATACAAAATAATCAAGTTTGCAGCTTCTTTAGAAAAAACACGAAAGAAGATGAAGCTAGTAGAGCATTGCGTATGCTTACTGCGATCATCAGACCAATATCTCGTGACACTCTCGACATCGTCTGTTTTCCCCGGCCAAGAAATGCACAAGACTCGCGTATCCCATAGAGATGCTCACTTGGCCACCCGAGACAGCAGAGCACAAGGTCGATTCGGACAGGGCACGAGACACAAGACACTGGATGCTGCGACACACAAACTCTCGAAGCAAGACATTGTGGGAGACACTACGGCATTGGGCCACACTTGACGACTGGAGAGGGGTGGTGGACACATTAAGTTGCGTTCCGTTTCCGAATTTACCCTTAATTACAAATATATCAATAAGTGACGCATATCCGTAGATACTATCTTCGTTTCCACAGGACTGGATATATTCAAAAAAGAGGGCATAAGACAGTATAGTGCTGTAAGCAACTGATCTAAAAGAAGAAGGTGCCGGGGTGAAAAGGATACATGTAAGACAAAAGACGCCCGCTTAAAGGGCCACTTCATCTAAACAGTTATATGCATTCTTGTGTTTCTCTTTCTTCCTTTCCACGTTCCTCTTTTGCCTCTTTGCTTCATATCGTCCTCGATCCGCGCGAATGGTAAAAGGATGCAACCCTTCTCTTCTGGCTGCTGCATTCACGCCCCTCCGCCTAGACGAAAGACCAGTGAAAACGGCTTTGCCTCTTCCAACCAAACGCGCCGAATCTCAAAACACAGCCATATCAAACAAACCAAATCCAGCAACAGAGACCACAGCCCACTACACCATCTTGTGCAAAGCACGTCAGAACAGTGGATGCCACAGGTCCATTGGTCGCGGAGTTGCTAGAATAAAAAGAAAAAAATAGGAAAAAGAAAGAAAACACGGGCCAAGCCACCATGTCGACATTTTTTGTACTAATAACAGCCCCCAACGACTTGCTCCCGTACCAATCGGACGGGCCACGGCGCGCCTCGAACGTTTTGTCATTCCGTCTCCGGTGTTGTTTTACTGTCTGTTCTCTCATGGGATGCTCATAGGTCGACGAACCAAAGAGCAGCGGACGGCACAAAATTACATGTTTCGTCGAAACATTCCGCAGTATATTTCGTCATGCACTTCGTCTCTCCTTGTTCACCCAGACTTTTTGCAGTATTTCCACACGCGCGGGTTGCGAGAAAATGATATCAGAGAGAGTATGTTGTACTCCGTACCTCGTACGTCGTAACACATCTTGCAGATTCACCCCAATCCCGGTATATGCATATGCAAGCTGCTTCCTCTGCCATCGATGCCAACGCTCGTTTGGTTAATGCACGCTTTTCTGCAAACGCATGTCTGCTGTCTGCTGTCTGCTGTCTGCTGTCTGCTGGCTGCAGCCGCTTACTGTTCTCGTTGCTGTTCGTATGCCCCGGCAACAGCGGTACACGACAGTGTACTCCCAGAGAACGTGAGCAGACACGTCGAAGACAGAAAGGCCGCCACCCCCGCCCGTCGTCCGTCACAATGTACGCTGCACGCTGCTGTGCAACCAGCGCTTGGGCATCGCTGCAGGCGAGCGTGCAAGAAGATGCTGTCGCGATGTATGTTATAGTCACGTGATGCTACCACCAACGCGATATCACCGTGCCGTGCTGCGACGCGTTCGTGAACACTACAGTTTCGATGCACGGATATGATGCTTTCCAGTATGTCGTACCTTTGTACTCCGTACCTTCCGCAAACCGGCCTAGTCTCTGGCGTGGCTCTGGACTGGGGCTTCTCCCGCCTGGCTGCTGCCGTCAAACGGCGTTGCCCAGTGAGACTACGAATTAAGTGGCAAGTTGTTCCGCTAAACAAGTGGGCCTGTCTACCTTTTTACCTATTAAATTTCCTATTTTTCCTATTTATTTTACTCACTATCTCCACATCGCAAGTTCAGGGCGAAAAAAAGAGGCGGAGAGAAGAAAAAAAAAAAAAAAACTTCAACGACAGGCCAAACTTTTGCTTCTCAACCACAACCCGCACGACAAACAACACCCCCCACGGCACGCGGAAATTCGTGTAGAATCGAAGGAGTCGGACGTCTTCTTCTTGACACCTCACAGGCCACCGACTGCTCCGCCTCTTCTCACTGCGTCTGGCATCATATTCTCATCGCAGCATTTCTGTTTCAGCACATCAACATCGCTCGCAGCGTTCAGCCTTCTCGTCTCATTCTCAATTTGCTGTCCTCACTCGCACCCGAACAGCCTCATCCCTTGTGTACTCTACCCCTCCTCGCCTCCTCTCCCTTTGTCGGTTACAGTCTGCTTCAGGCAGGTCATCTTAAAGATACTCGTCTTTGAAGAACGGCACAACCCCCTTGCGTCGCCGCGGCTGTTGCGTGTTGTCCTTCATTCTCGCCCATAGCACGGATCACTGATCATTGCCTCTTCTTCGCCTCCGGCCGGGTCGACTAGCTTTGCCCAAATACTTGCAAATTGCCCATCTGCTCCGTTTTGGGTCTTGGGTCTTTTGGGTCTTGGGTCTTTAATGAGCCCTGTTTGGACATTTATGCGGCATCTTTTGCTTCCCAATCCCACGACATCGCCCAAAGAAACGCCCAGAAGCTCCGACAACCCTGCACAACGCCAGGGCCATCTGCACACCAACAGAGCCTGACCTCCACTTCTTCGCATTGCCCCAGCGTCGTTTGCAGTCTCGTCAGGCTTGTCTCCAAAAATATTTGACGACATATTGCATTCTGCATATTTTCCCTGCTTCCGAGAGGCGAAAACAGCAGACTAAACACGCATCCGACGGCCAGAACGCTCTCGCTCATTGGGGCACCACCGGCCAATTGGATTCTTGCACACCTCACTTTCCGCACAAGCAATACAGCAATACGGTCATAGACGGAAAGGAAGACAGCAAACAAGAAAAATCCCAACAGCAAAGCAGAGACCGCCAACGCAGCCGTCGCCAACGCCGAGTACCGCCGGCCCAAGTTACAGCTTTTTCGGGGCGGCGACAGAAATTGGTCGTCAACACGCTTCAGAAAATCACCGTTGTAGCCGAAACCGCCCAATCCAGCAGCCACCATGGTCTCCTTCCAGTGCGAGGTACGTTCCTGCTCGTTTTGTTGTAACTGCCCTTGAATTTTTTTTTTTAATTTTTTTTTTTTTTTTTTTTTTTTTTTTTTGGTTTTCTGTCTTTCCTCATTCAGCTTCCCTCAGTGTCCCCCCTCCTCCGGTTCCTTCCTCAGGCGCTGCCCAATCCAACACGCGCAAACGCAAGCAACCCCTGCCTTCCCCCAAAATAACCCATTGCGCCAAACGCCCGTCTGAGCGCGCTCTACGCTCTCTCTCTCACTCTCTACTCTTTTCTCTCCCTCTGCACATCGTCTTAGCCACCCGCTACTGGCACACCCCTGTCCAACACCTTCCCTTTTCCCCCCTCCCCCCAAGCTTGCCTCATGACTGCCCTGTCTTCCCATACCGCGTATGCTCATAATTTCGACCTGACGTCTTTGCCACCCCCCCCCCCTCCTTCCACGTCCTTGGCCCATGGCTCCTTCCTCGAGACTCTCACAGACTTCCAGAGAGCAAGAGCACACCTCTGTCTGAAGGGTCTCTCCTTCCCTCCGACTGTGCAGTCTCTCCCCACCAACTCTGCACCACGATCGACGCTTCCAAACACACTCCCACACCACACACAACGGGCACACGCCCCTTCCCCTTCCTCGTCGCCTGTCTCGTCTTGTGTTCCACTCTAATATCTCGCTGCTGCTGCTGTCCTTCTTTCCTCATTCCTCGCTTCTCGCTCCTTCCCCTTCTCGCCTCGTTTCCATTCCATATGTCCAGACGTCCAGACTTTCCACTTTTCTGCTTCTCTTTATTCTTCATTCTTCCAAACACACAGAAAACCTCAATCCCACAACATCCAGACAATCCAGACACACCCCTCCCACTCAGTCTCCCTGGTCTTTCGCGCCCCCAGGGCCGTACCCATAATCACTTACACACTCAAACTTGCCCCCTTCCTTGACCATATCACGGCAGTACTGCACATACTATTATTGCTCTCTTCCTCCCGCGTCGTCTTTTGCTACTCGTTCTTTTCTTCCAGTCCCTCCTTTACTTTACTCTACTTCTTGCACTCTTCTTCGATTCTTCCAATTGTGTTTCTTTCTCAAATCTCCCCTCTTTACTTCTCTACTCTCGTTCGCTTCCCGTTCACCTCCATTGCAGCCCAACGCACATTACGTCCCCGTTCGAGTCATCGCATCGTCAATCCGTCAAGCAGCCAAAACCGACGAACCACAGTGCCTCTTGCTAACCCACTCTCGCCCTCCGCCTTCTCTCTGCCGTCAACAGTCCTGTGGCGACGTCTTGACCAAGAAGAAGCTCGATCCCCATAGAGGCCGCTGTCGTGGTGCCACTTTCTCCTGCATTGATTGCATGGTCCATTTCTACGGCACTGAATATCGAACCCATACGGTATGTTTGAGGAAGCGACAGAGTCGTCATTCGAGCGTCCATGCGCAAGAACAGCGTCGCAGGATCAGCGTTGTCTAACTGTACGCGCAGAGTTGCATGACCGAGGACCAAAAGTACCAGGGCGCCCTCTACAAAAATAACGACAACAACAACAAGAACAAGAACAAGAAAGCACGAATCAGCCCTCCAAACGGCGCCGAAGAAGAACACCACTTCCATCCCTCGACGCCGTCAGCTCCTGTTACGACAAACAGCAGCAAAAAGAACAACAACAACAACAACAACAACTCCACAGCTACAAAGAACAAGCAGCAAGTCGCTGCGACGCCCAGTGTGAAGAAATCCAACATGGCTGCCGTTGCCCAGTACCAACAACCCCACCATATGTCCCACGCGGCCTACGTTGAGGATGTGCCCGAGGAGCTCGAGGGCTATCTCGTGGCCGACGACGACGACCACCGCTCTGACGACGACGCCCCGCCCCACGCACCCACCCCGCCGCCCGCCGCTGAGGGCCCCGTGAACGTCTTTGATTTCCTTGTCGCTGGTGCCACGCCCAACGCCTCGAGCCTCGGCCTGTCCCATCCGACCGTCAGGTTCAACGACAACGCTGACACTGACGTTGCGCGCTATGAGTACGACGCCAACGCGTACCTGGCTGCCGCCGACGACTTCTCCATGGCCGGCCATGCCAAGTACCAGCAGCACCTTGCCCAGTACGGCAGCGGCCCTGTGCCCACAGCCGAGCCCACTTCGACTGCGCTGACGCCCTTCAAGACGCCTGCGCCTGACCGCGCCGAGCGCAAGAAGAAGGAGAGTGCGGGTGACAAGGACAAGGACGCCTCCAAGAAGGACAAGAAGCGCAAGCGGTTAACCCTGGACATCAACGACCAGGTCATGACCGATGCGCCGCCTGTACTGCACTCGGGCCTCACCGGTGGCCTGCACCGCCTCACGACCAAGCATACCGCGTTCCCTCCGTCGCCCGAATCGGCCGAGACCCCGGCAAGTCCGCTCAAGAAGTCCAAGCAATCCAAGCGCTCCAAATCACGCGCCGAACCCGTTACCAACAGCCTTTTCTCCAGACTGACGGCCGGAAGCTCCAAGATCAAGACCAAGAAGCGAAAACACCGCCGCTCGGCCTCGCCCTCGGGCAAGAAGCACAGCAGCCACAACAGCAGCAGCAGCAGCAGCAAGAGCCACCGCCGGCACCGCGATGCCAACAAGGACGGCGCGTCCACGGCTGCGCCGGCCCAGAAACTGCTCGAGTACCCCGGTGCCGAAAAGAAGGAAGACGACAACGGCGGCAGCGGTCAGCTGATTGTCTATAAGCCGCGTGCCGACCTCTTCCTCAGCTTTGTCAACAAAGGCCCTGACAGCGAGCGCGGCTGCAGCATGAACAAGGCGCTCAAGCGCTTCCACCGGGAACGCTCCTCCTCGGGCACCTCGCTGGCCAAGCCGGCCGAGGAGAAGGAGCTCTTCCGGTCCCTGCGTCTGCGCAAGAACGACCGTGGCGAGATTGTCCTGTTTTGCGTCGACGAAGAGTAGTGTTGTTGCGTTGTTCGTGGTTGTTCAGACTGTTGTACATTTGTGTTTACTCATTCTCTGTGGCGTTTTTAGGGACATTTTTGGATATATTGTTTTTTTGTGTCTTGTTTTACTGGAGTTTGCGCTGTTCTATTCGGACACGGGGTTTATTGGGAACGCCATAAACGATTTTGATACCTGTGTGTTGTTGTTTTTTGCGTTGCAAAAGAACCACACAATAAGCATTCGACTTTTGGACTAATCGACAATCCACCAACGGCAATTGGGGAAACTGTCAAATATTCCAACACTTTCAACACTTTTTTATTTTGAAATATAAACGCCAAAAGAAGCATTTTACTCATTATCCATTGTTATGCATTCACTACATCACGGCAGCACGCAGCACGCGGCACACGGCATGCATCATGCGTCACGGACTACGCATTACGGTTATGCACCACGCATATACGAATCATCTTACGATCGACGCCTTTCAACCCGCTGCAACGATTGAGCTGATCAGACGATGAAGACAGACTCGTGGTTTATTTCTTCTATTTCTTTTTCTTTTCTAAATATGTCCATCTTGGATAACGAGCAATCGTGTCCCTTCAGCTCGACGTTTGCCCTTCTTCTCATTTTCCTCTTCGTTCTACGTCAACAAACCGCCAGAAGCCTATACTTCTGCTGTTGGGAACAGCGGCGTTCGATTTCCAAGGACAGTTTTGTTGCTTTCCCTGCTCTGTCTCCTTACTTTGCCTTCTGTGCTTGCCCATCTACTTTTCGATTCTCTTTGTCGTTATAGAGTTCTGGGCCGGGTCGGGTTTGACTCCTGTAAGTCTATTGTTTGGATTAGGGTCCTCTTTCCGGGATATCAGAGAGACTAGGGAAAGAGATCCACGAGGAAAGCTGGTCTCTGTAAAACTACCTTGTGTTGTTTTCCTTTGCATTTATACTAGGTTGGGATGCGGTTCTGAACCCCCCCGCCCATTCGTCTGTCTCTGAGCCCATCCACAAACAGGTTTCTCGCGGAACCTTTGGGACTCGTTCTGAGAGGGGGCGTTATTCACGTTTTTGGGAGGAGGGGGCGCTTATGGGAAAGCTTTTGTAGGCCGAGTTGAACTTTGAAGCGATGCTTTTGCTTTTGCGTCGTTTTTTTGTTTGGCTTTTTCGAGTTTTTATTTTTCTTCTTATTTTCCATCACCATTTTCTAGTCTTCGTTTCTCCGTAGACGTTTTTTGTCTTATGCAGTCTCTGCTTGCAGGTCAAAAGACGGAAAGAAACGAGAGAACAGTTTAATCTTGTCTTTATCATTTTTGTTCTGTCTTGCACAATTTGTCGGGGGTTTATTTTGGCCATTTTCCATGTCAAGTACAAATATTATATGTTCACAACAATCACCATCATTCCATTTGATGCAAGTGCTGTACGTCTTTACCTTTGTCTTTTCGTTCTTATATATTGCTTTCAACTGGTATTTTCATTATTCTGAACGAACCGAGTCTCGTCTAAAATGTACAAAAACGTGGCTACTATTACAGTGACGATATAAACACATTGCTCCAAACGTACAACCCTACTGCCTGCCTTGTCGTATCACAACGCCTGCAGCGGCAGAATGTGCTGCGGCTGCGCGCCGCGCCGGCACAGCGGACACTCGGGCTTCTCCCGCACCCAGTCCCCAATGCACCGCCAGCAAAACACGTGTCCGCACGGTGTTGCCGCCGGGTCCTTGAGCGTCTCCAGACACAGCGTGCACTGCCGCTGCATGCGGCTGCCCAGCCAGCGCATCGTCTGCTTGGGCTCGAGGTTGAAGCGGTAGCCGGGGCCGCCCGTGTCAGGATCGCGGGGCGTGTCGGGTGTGCTGGTCATCGCGGCGAGAGCCGTGGCGGCGGACGAGGCCGGTGTGTCGTCGCTGCCGCCCAAAAGAAGCTCGTTGTTGGCAGTATAGGTGTGGTCGTGGTCGAGGCTGACCTGGACGGGGCCCGAAAACCGTGGAGATGACGACGAGGGGAAAGAGGAGGACGACGCGGACGACGACAGAGTATCCCGCACGTGGACGTAGCCCTGGACAGCCAACTGCAGTACGAGCAGCGCGCCCAGCACCTCGTAGCCCACGACATCGTCCGCCGCCGACGCGCCCTGCCCCCCGGCGCCCTGCCGCCGCCGTGTAAAGACGTACCGGAGCCCGAGCAGGCGCGTGGTCAGTGTGTAGTAGGCGCCATAAAAGTAAAACAGAGCCAGCGTCACGGCGCGCACGTGCGTGCCCGAGGTCAGCGAGTCGAGATGTGTGAGCAGGTAGCGGTAGACGGGCAGCAGGACGCGCACGCGCAGGGACACGGATGATGATGTCGACGATGTTGATGATGTTGAAAACGATGACGACGCTGTTGGCCGGCCCTTCTTTGCCTTGGCGCCTGCCTGGCGCATCGCCTGCAGGGCGGCCGCGCCCTCCAACGCGGCCACCTTGGCCTCGAGCCGCCGCCGCAGCGCGCGCCGCACGCCGGGCAGCGAGCGGCCCACCAGGTACGGCGCCAGCACGGACGTCAACACGTACGCGGACCGTCGGAGGGGCGGCGGGATCAGCAGGGGCGCGCCCACGCTTTCCCGTCCCGGCGTGTCGGGCACCACCACCTCCATCAAGTCGCAGTACTCCTCGCCCAGTGTGCGGTGGCCCAGCCACGCGGTCAGGCCAAAGTAGGCGAGCTCGGCCGCCGTGCGCGTCTCGGTGGCCCACGCATGCGCGGTCCGGCCGCCGGCAAAGCGCAAGACCAGATCGGCCAGGTCGTTGGCGAGCGTGCCGGCAAAGTAGGCATCCTTTTGGTGGGCGCGGATGATGTCCGGGGCGGAGGCGAAGGGGAACGGCGAGGTCAGCGGGAGGAGGGCGGGGAGGGGCGTGTCGGCAGAGGTAGAGGCGGCAGACGACGACGAGGACGCAGAGGAGGCGGCGGCAGCAGCGGCAATGGCGGTCCGCGATGTGCCGGCTTCGCCTGCACCGGCAGCAGCGGCGGCTTCGGACGCCTGTGAGGCCGACGACGATGACGGCCGCGACGCGACGGTCGAGAGGGCGCGGACGGCCGGCAGACGAGGGCCGGCGCCGGAGGAAGAGGACATGACTGGTTGTGACACGATGTGCAGGCGGTGTGCGATGGGATGCTGCCGTTGTTGTTGCAGTGGTGGTAGTGGCTGTCGCGATATTGAGGATGAGGTTCAGAACAGGCACGACTTCCTTTGTTTGCACCTTCCCTTCTGAATTGCCTCGGCACTATGCAGCTTGTGAAGCACGACGTAATTACTGGAGTTGGGGGGCTATGCGCTAAAAAGGTACAAAGCTAATGTATCTTTTTGGTGAGTAAGGCACGCAATGGCAGGACAGGAAGGTGCTGCTGGCACGCGCTAACGCAGCCGAGTCGAGCTACTCAGGGCATATACAGAAGGAGCGACGCGCCAGCAGACACGCTTTGGCGGGCAGTTGCGGCAGTCGTTGTCCACGAATGGCAGCCGCCAAGAGACAGCACCCAGACTGGGATTCTGACGTCGTGTTCTTTTCGCTGGCGTCTCCTATTTTGGCACACAATCGAGCTGCTATTTTTGGAATTCACACACAACCACATAAAACGCCAACGGAGCAAAAACGACGATACCGGCGGAGCTTGTCGTTCCACGGCCAGCCGCTCGTTCAATTCCACCTCCCGCCCATGGGGCTTTTGCCGCGACGGCACGACGGACTGCGAAGTGATCGATAAGGAGACGGCATCGATCCTCAACCATCACCACAACCGCACCGCTTGATCTCGTTTCTTCCCCCTTCCCCCCAGGCTCTTTCGCCCGACCGCCCCCCACAATGGACGGCGACGCAGCCGTCGAGCCCGAGCTCGATGCGTTCAGTCTGGTCCTCCCGCTTCCCTACCGCGTGGCCCTCATCACCGTCCTGGCCACCTGGGGCTGGGGCGCCAACCTCCACTATCTCTACCTCCTCAAGATCGACGTGCCGTCGCTCATCCGCTATCCAGGCCGCACGTCCGGTGCACACATACCTCACCACCACTCGGCCTACCGGCTCGCGACCGTCACGTCGTCCGTGCTCGCGGCGTCGCTGCTCCTCTTCTGGGCGCTGACCCGCCACAATGTCGATCGCGTGCTGGCCCTCGACTGGATGCCCATGACCACGCTCGCCGTGCTCGGCCTGCTGCTCATCCTCCCCTTTCCGCTCACCTTGCTGCAGCGGTACACCGGCATTGTTCGCAGCAGCGGCGGCGGCAGCAGCAGCAGCAACCCCCGACGCACGCCGGCGAGCCCACCGACGTGGGCCCTACCCCAAGACGGCCGTCGGCGGTTTGCGACGACGCTGCGGCGCGTGCTGGTGGGCGGCCTGGCCGAGGCGCAGCACGGCAAGTTTGGCGACATCTTGCTCGCCGATGTGCTCACCAGCTACTCCAAGGTCCTCGGCGACCTGTACGTGTGCCTGTGCATGTTCTTTTTCGCGGCGCCCCGGGGCGGCCGCGACGAGGCCTCGGCCACCGACCGCCCGGACCGCAACTGCGGCGGCGGCGTCCTCGTGCCCCTCATCATGGCCATGCCGTTCCTGGCGCGCTTCCGCCAGTGCATGATTGAGTATCTGCGCGTGCGGCGGTCGGGCGTCGGTGGCGGCGGCGGCGGCGGCACAGGCCTCCAGCACCTGGCCAACGCCGCCAAGTACGCCACCTCGTTCCCCGTCATTTTGTTTTCGGCCCTCCAGCGCAGCGCCAAGGCCGCCGAGGACGCCAGCGCCTCCACCCCCGCGACCGGCAGCGCGTCCACCATGTACTACCGCCTGTGGCTGGCCGCCGTCCTGGCCAACTCCCTGTACAGCTTCTACTGGGACGTCGCCAAGGACTGGGACCTGACCCTCTTTGACGGCGCGCGCGCGCGCAACGCCCCCGACCACCCCTGGGCCCTGCGCCGCCGCCGCCTCGTCGGCGGCGGCCAGCCGATTGTGTACTACGGCGCCATGGCGCTGGACCTGCTCCTGCGCTGCACCTGGTCCCTCAAGCTCAGCCCCCACCTCGACCACGTCGCCGACTTTGAGAGCTCGCTCTTCCTCATGCAGCTGCTCGAGGTCCTGCGCCGCTGGGTCTGGATCTTTTTCCGCGTCGAGACCGAGTGGATCCGCTCCACTTCCACCACCTCCACGGGCAGCGACTTGTTCGCCGGCGGCACCGGTCTGCTGCTGGGCGGCATGTCGCCGGGCAGCAGTGGCGGCAGCGCGAGCAGCACCATCTCGAGCAGCGACATTCTGCTGGGCGACTACCAGCCCAAGTACGGCGACGAGGACGAGGACGACGTCTAGGCGCGTGTCGGTCTACTGCCGGGGCGTAGATACAGCGCGGAGCATCATGGCCGGCGACCACAGTAGCACAGTCGCGCCTACAGCGTTTGAATGATGGCATTATCATACACGTCGTATATGGAGTACGTCGAACATTTAGTTTTTATTTTTGGTTCTCAATGGGGTACGGGGCGTTTAGCTTGGTTTTTGGGAGATCAAAACGAGGTATTGTCCTCGGTATATTTTATTATATTTTCTTTTCTCGTCAAAAAGACGCTCTATCCAAATTTATTGTCCTTGTTTACTGAACCTCTACTGTTTGCATTTCGCTGTTTCTCACTACGACTCCATGAAGTAAGCCAAGACGTCTGTGCGGACGAATCAGAAATGGCCGTGTGCATGTTGCGGCTGTTGCAAATTACGCCAATTACACGAAAAATCAACTTATGCACTTCATCTCCGACGTTTTCTTCTGCATCCTACCCTTCGACTTCGAGAAGCATCCTTTGTTCTTTTTCATTTCTGGAAATTGGTACGAAATACTCAGACATGGTATCCCGTGGCCATTGTCTGTGTGGTTGCATATGTTTTGTGTCTGATTGCGTGTTTCCCATGGCCATCATCTCCTGTACTTCGTTCCATTCGCACCCGACTCATCGCCCAGCTGCACTACGTGTGTCTGCCAATATCAGCGATATTAAGACCAAGCTTTGACCTCATCTCACGGTTCATCGTCATTTCCATCTGAGTGTGCATTTCTCGTGTCCATCGGCAGCCGCACTTTGTGATGTGTCTTGCCCGTCTCTACGTCGTACGCATCGACCTCTTTTGTTCATTTCACGTGCGTCGGACACGATGCACGTACATCGTGGAAAGAGACACAAGTCAAGACAGTTTCCCCGTACGACACTGCTCGTCATAAAGCACCCCGGCTCTTGGTTGATCGCATCTCACTTCAGGACGGCGATCCAGACAAGGGGCGTCATTTGTCTCTGCTTGCAGAAGCCGTTGCAAGACTGAGTGCAACATACATCGTACGGAGTACAAAGTAGAAACGACTGCAGATTCCATAAATACCCCAAAATAATCTCTGCTCCGCACGCACGATGCTAAAACTCCCCTTCGAACAAGCAACCAAGGAAACCAAGAAAAGGAAATGAGCGACCTCTGGATCCTTTTTTTTTTCTCGTCATGGAGTGGAGCCGCGATGCTGGTAGCTGGAGGCACTTGCCCAAAACTGCCATCCAGCGCGCCCGTTGCTGGTCGCGCTTGCCCTTTGCCGCGCCTGCCCCATCATCTGCTCCCTGGTTTTTTTTTTTTCTTTTTCTTTTCCCTTTTCTTTTTTTCTCTTCACAGACAGACCTTCGCCCCTTGATGCAAGGCTGTGTTGTTTCAACGCCTGGCGAGGTGAAGCCGGGTGAGGCGGCCGAGGGTCCAGAACGCCGAGCTCAAGCTGGCCACCAAGTGCCATGCCGTCGACGTTTCATATTTGACCCCGATGCTGCTCTTCTTGGGTTGTTCTTTCCCTTGTCTTTGCGAGGCTTTGCCGTCGCTCTTTCTCTTTCTCTTTCTTTTTTCTTTCCGACTCTCTTTCTCATTCTCTCTTTCCCGAGTCGGTATGCCCGCTCCTTCCTCGACAATCTCCCCCAGCAAGGTTCCTTCCACGACATATTACCTGGTCCATGCACCCACTTTCCTGTCAATCCCACCCTTCGAACTAACGACTGTTAACAACTGCTTTCTTCGACAGCGTCGCAGAACTATCCTTGTCTTCGTCCTGGGACCCTTGTCTCCTCAAACTCCACCGAAAAGGCACTTGTTTCTGACAATGTCCCTTATCCCGTATCTTGCGTTGTCGTATTACTCCGTCGACATGGATCCAACGATGCAAGGATTGTCTTTTAACTGGGCCCGCTGGGGGCCTTTGTTTTTATTTACTTTGTGTTTTCTTTCGTTCTTGCCCCTTTTCTCGCTAGTGTGTAGTGATGTGTTCGGCTGATTTGCACTGACGTGACTTTCTCTTTCCTTCTTGCTCTTGCCATATTTCGTATTTGCTGGTTGTTCTTTCCTTTGCCTCTTTGGGGAGCAATTGCCGGCGCGAATAACAGTTTATTTTGCACTCATGTCCATCATCTACCAGTTACGGAGTACGGAGTACTTCGTACTGTCGCGCTGTGGGATCATCTTCAACGGCTGCTGCCCCTTGGTCGTCGTCTTTCCTGCTAGATGCAAATCTGCCTGCCGCAACCTACCGAGCAAAAACTATCTCGTCATCTAGAATACCCGTTGCTCGCGCCTTCCCTTGTCACGCGTTCTCGCTCTTGTCTCTTTCCCACATGGCACATGCTTGATGCGTACATCGTACTCCTTCCCTGTGTGTAAAACAGCAATCGTCTATGGCTGCTTCGTGCCTTCCTCTACGAGCGCCTTGTCAATCATCCACTTTGTTATTTTGAGTAAAAGGGCATATGGAGTCAAGCAGTAGCTGAAGCTTCCTCTCTGCCAATGCCCAAGCACGGCCTAGCCCTGCGCATTTGCACAGCTCCTTACGCGAGCAGCGCAGCGACCAGTCTCGCACTCGCACAAGACTGTCTTGAGCGCAGCATTCTGGGATCCGCCCATACTTGCATCTCTTATTCTCCGGAGCTTCTTTCGCTTGTGATTTTCTTTGGGTCCTTCCTTCTTCTGGGTGGAAACTTCATCGGCTCCGTTCGTTCCTGCCCTTTTCTTCTTCTTCTTCTTGCTAGATCTCCTATACTTCCTGCCTCATATAGGGTGGCAAGCAAGCGTGCAACGGAAGGAGCTACCGTCTCTTGTCGTTGCTTTTTCTCACGAGTTTTGGATTTTCATTTTGTGTCTCCTTTTTTATTTTGTTCTTCTCTCATTTCCTCTCCTTTTCACGTTCGGGTTTCTTCGTTTCGTTCGCTGTCGCTGTCACGCCTTGTCCTTCTTTTCATGATTTTCGGCTCACGACACTCGTCTATTGTTTCGGTTTTGTCTTTCATCGTCGTTCTTTCGCCTTTTCTGCTCTCCATCTGTTTTGTTTCAATCTCGGCTTGTCTCCTCTTTTCGTTCCATCGTGCACGTCCCAACACAGCTCTGTTCTCTTGTTTTTCCTACTGTCGCGCTATTGTCGCATTTTGTCTTCTTTTTTCCGGTTCGATTCCCTGGTTGCCGTCTCCTTTGCATTGTCCGTCCAGAAAAAAAAACAGAACGAGGGCCTGAAAAAACATAAAAATAAACAAAAGGTTGCAAAAAGCTTTATCACCACAGATCTACGCCACAAGACGCAGAAAACAGCAATGATAGGCACAGCAGCTTGAAGCGGAGACCGATTCCCTCCATCCAGCCTCCCTTCGTAACGACAAAAATCGCAAATCACGAAAAAAGCAAAAGCTGCTGCTTTGTCTTTTGTCTACCGTACTACGAAGTACACACGATCAGCTTCGACGCGACAGATGAGGGTGTGAGAGAGCAGCCTCCGCGCCTCTTCTCTGCCGTCGCTCTCCGTGTCTCTCTTTTGCTGCTTCTCTGCCTCCGACAAACAATGTCGTCGACTTGCCGGACCCAGTACGCGTTTTCTTTCTGTTCTGCTTCTCGTCTGGCACTGTTCGTGTCCTTGTTCGTCGCTACTGCTGTTGCTGTCGACGCTACCGACGGTGTAGCCATCGCTGTCTTATAATCGCCCAATCCTTGTGCTTGACTCAGTTTCGACTTCGACCCCAGCCTCAACCGCAATATCCCGTCTTAACGGTCTCTTCTACGCCCGCCCGCCCCCAGACTCGATTCCCGTTCTTACGACTGACGTCTCCTTCTCGGCCGTTGCACGCTACCCTCCGTTACTCATCTTAAAATAAACACAAACGAGAGTGAAAACCCGGTTGCACAGTGGCACATACATATGCAACACGACTACAAGCGATCGAACCCGGCGCAGCATACACGACTCAAACAGCGCCCGTCGTCTGTTGTGCTCGGTTTCGTGTCGCCTCGCCACGGTCCACAGACTGTTGCCCACTGTCTTCTGCTGCCTGTCACCTGTCGCCATGGCTGGAACAGACACCCCATGGGCTCGTCTGGACCAGACATTTGCGTTCCACGGGTCGGACGACGACAACGATGGCAATGAAACGGCCAACGAGTATGATGGGTACGATGAGTATGGCGAGGGTGGCAGAGGGAGTAGGAAAGGCTCAGTTGCGACGATCATGATCGGCCACGAACCGCGACCTCAACCGCAACCCTCACAACATCGAAAACAACACCGACAACATGGCAACGTCGACAACAACACACACCACCGCACCGCCACAGTACTAACAACATCCACAACCTCAACTACGTCCACCATTACACCAGCCAGTGCCAGCAAGCCTGGGCATCAACGCCAACTATCTCAATTATCTACACGGCAGCAGCATCAACAACTACAACAGCAACACCGGCCTCGGCTATCTCTCGACGAGCAGTACGCAGCCAAGCCCCTGCCGCCTGTCCCGCAAAAAGGCAAACTACAAAAGTCAGCAAGCAGTCGATCGAGCAGCCGACCAAGTGACAAGCCATTTCACCGGTCGCAGCCGTCTGCCTCGTCAGTGGCTTCCTCCGTCTCGTCCTTCAACATCCAACCAGGAGGCTTTGCCGATGCTGACGGGTTTACCTCGTCATCACTTAAGCGCGGCGCCTCTCTGTCTTCCCACACGACATTGCTGCGACCGGCTCAAAGCTCGGCAGGCTGGTTCTCTTCCGTAGCACAGCAACGAACGCAAGACAAGAACGCAAGCTCGGCCAGTTCTGCCTCCGACCGTCGTAGTATTGAACCACTGACTCTCACACCGCTGGATCTCCCGCCATTGGCATCACCTCCCACACATGCTCTGTCTGCAACCGCAGGCAACCTGAACACTCGTCCCATCACACCCCTCGCCCAGCCACCGCTCATGGCGCCGCTTGCTCTTCCACCACTCAAGCCCCGGTCGCGGGGAGGGGGTTCACCATCCTTTGCTTCCGGACATCTGCCGGCGGCGTCATTGCGATCAGTCGCCCACGGTGATGCTGTATCGCTCTTTTCTGTTCACAGCATGGGCAGTGCTGGCACATCGACCGCCGCCTCTGCACATAACAGCGCCACCCGCGATGACTCCTCGTCCACGCATAGCGAGCGTCGTGTGCCTGCCGCTACAACAAAGCAAACGCCTTCTCTTCCGCTGCTGTCCTCATTTTCATCGTCCTCCCGCCTGAAGCCATCTGCGGCTGCACCGGGCAAGGCGGTCCGCAAATTCATGCGTATGGCCGGCAAGGCTGCCAGCTCGGCCAAGGATGCCATGAAAGGGCCCCTCCATACAAACAGCAATGGCAGCACACCCTCGATCGGGTCTCATTCGGCCAGCGGAGCACCGTCAATCACGGTCACAACACCAGTTGAGTCACCGGTAATATCTTCCATACCATCACCGAGGCCGCCACAGTCTCCACCCTACGGGGAAACTGTTACGGCTGCTCAACCGGCTATGGTGCCCCGGCGCCGGTCCATGAGCAAAATCTCCCAGTTGACGGGCATGGATGTGGGAGACGTTGGCAGTGGAAGTACTGCGACTCGCAGCAGCAAATTGAGCGGTCTCCGCCGGAGTCAGTCGGATACACCTGTGACGAAACATCACCCACAGCCTTCTTCATCTCCAGTCTCAAACTTGCCAGGTTCGGCGGTTACGTCACCTACTTCCACAACTGCAACGACACCCAGCGTCTGGAACACGGCCATGTTCAATAGCGATGACGAAAACGATGACGAGATTGAAGATGAGCACGAGGCAAATGACGGCGCGCGCAGGCGTGACAGCAGCATCACGAGCAAGAGCCCTGTCCCCACGGCACCCGACGAGGCCTCCGTTCTTGCCGACACACCGGACCCTGCCACGGCATCACTTCTCCGGTCTCTCTCACAGACGTCGTCTCAGCCACCACCATCAGTGTACCAGCCCGTGTCCCGACAACAACCGAGCCAACAGACCACTCCACTCATGGTGGCAGAACAGCAGCGCTCGCTCTTGCCTCCGAATCGGCTTCTGAAAATCAAGCGTTACAGCGATCCCGCGATGGCCCCGATCATCGAGCATCCCGACGATGCGACAAACCCATCGGGTAGCAGCAGCAGCCGTGCCAGTAGCCACTACAGTGTCCACGAAGGCAACAGCGTCCCGGATGCGGTCGACGAAGATGCGTCTGCTTTCATTCCCAGTCGCCCTGCACCCGTTCCGGTCCGGTCACCTTCTCCGTCGCCTGCAGCATCACTCATAACATCGCCCACGCCGCAACCTATGCTGTCACTCAACGTGTTCTCTACCGGTTCAGCCGTATCAGCTGGCGCCATAGCCAAGCACATCCCTACGATTCGACTCTTCCCCAGCTCTTCTGATAACCAAAGGTCGACTACGAGCCCAACATCACCAATTGCTACGGCCAGTTCACCGACGGCGCCCTCCCCATCTGCCGCCACTGCGCCGCGCAAGATTCCCTTGCCGACTTCTTCGGACATCAGCAATCCTTGGCCCACGAGCCCTCCGCCGCGCCCGGCACCACCACCACCGCTTCACCCGATTGAGAATGAAGCGAGTGAGGTTGCCACAGACGTAGCCGAGAAACGCCTTAGCGGGGCCGGCTCCACGGCCATGTTCCGAACGGTGCAATGGGTCCCGACGACGGACAATTCTCGGTCGTCCTCGGCGACACCTACCGGCAATCGCCTGTCCCTCCATGCTCGTACAAAGAGCAACGGCTCGGCCAGTGAAAGCATCGCCACCAGCATCGCCACCAGCGTAACCAACAGCAGCACCAGTGGGTCCAGCGCCCTCAGTAGCACTGTGACCAGTACGATCGGCAGCAGCAACCGTAGCGCGGGCTATGGAAGCTTCAGTTCCACCAGCACGTCGTCAAACCGGCACTCGTACCTTGCCTCACCGCCACTTCCTCTGCCGCCGCCTCCCAACTACCCTCTACCACCTCTGCCGACACCTATTCAGCCTACGCCGGCCTCCCAGCCCTCGCAAAGCTCCTTTGACTATGACGATGACGAAGGTGGTGCCCGCATGATGGCAGCACGCATGATGAAGAAGGCGGCTTCCCGTGATAGTGTACGCTGGCGGCCGACAGCGCTGGGCAAGTCTCTCTTCCGCCGAGAGTCAACTTCCGGGCCAGGGACAGGGTCATTGTCTGCTGCGGCGGTGACTAGCAACCCCGCGTCCCAGGCACCTACCAGCCAGCCGTTGACGGGCGGAGGGTTGCGGAGCAGCCTTTCGACGCGGAACAGTCTGTCTACCACAACGCTGCTGGCGGCGCAGCGGGTGGCACACACCACGCGGAAGGCGGTCGAGGCGGTTAGCGAGAGCAGCGGTGGTGGCAATAGCTCGGCCGCCCGGCAGCACGAGCTCGAGAGAGAGAAGTGGCGCGAAGACTTGCGCAGTCGGATCCGGCTGGTTCCCGAGGGCGGCGAGGTGGCAGCTCAGGCACTGAACGCGGAAACCATCGTCTCTCCGGTCTCATCACCAGCTACGGCATCGATATCGGTCCCGGCACCAACAATAGCAGCACAGCAGCCAAAAGCAGAGGTGAGGACCGTCGTCTACGAAATGCGCAGCCCGCCGATCCACGACAACGACAACGACCACGGCGGTATGATTTGAGATGAGATGTATGCCCATGGCGTTGACTCTCTTCAAAGTTTCTGCCTTTGTTTTACCTTTTAACAATGCTTTCCTTTTTGCGTTTTCAACACCTGTTCTGCCTCACGGCGCTGTCTTTATACGTTTCATCTTTTCGTTTTTGATCTCCATTTCTCTCTTTGATTTGAGTTTTGTACTCACACCCTCTTTTACTCTCGCATATTCCCCTACACGCATAGCAAGACAGCGGGTTTTTATGTGTTTTATTCTATGTCGCGCGGTGTTTTGTGTTCTCTATCTGGCCCATCTCCTCTGATTTAGAGGGACCAACTAGTGGTGTTGCTGTCGGCGTTTTCTCGTTTTCTTTTTTTTGGCATCCTCACGTCTTCTTATGACAATAATATCTGTTGTTTTTATTTGTCTTGTATGCACTGCTTTCTTCAAACGCATTCGATGGGACGGGTTCATGAGAGAACGAACGTTAAAAGTACAGGGACCCAAGGGGCTTTATCAGACATCCAAAAGCAAACATTCCCAACAACATTGGAAAGGATACCCGGGCGCCAGGAGCAAAGAAAAGGCCGAGGAAAATAAGGCGAAATGAAACACGAGAGAATCATACACTTTAATACTTTAATCGACGAGCAATAGTAATGGAGAAATAGAGTCATACATTGACCTTTTGACGAGATTGTGTTGTTATATTTCAGGGATCCTATGGAAAGGGAGAGTTGGCATTGAGTCGCTGAAAATGGCCAGACGTCAAATCGTGTTGATATTGGAGAAAATGCTTATTTTAATCAAACACTTCCGCTTCCAAAGAGTGAGCTGAATGACACCAAATGTGTTCCTGCAAGGAAGCCACAGTGGCATGGGTCGCACCTGCTTCAAAAAGTTCACGCTAGCGGACGACAGGAGCTCCAAAGTGCCGGTGCGGACGGACTCGCTCACTCCAACGGGCACTAACTTGCCGTTTGGCGAGCCACTAATTAGGGCCTAGGCGAAAACATACGACATCTGAGAATAGCGACCAACGCGACATCAAACTCATTACACGTCTACACCTCATAGCCCCAAACACACCCAATTGGAGCCCGATTGGCACCCGCACGACCTTTCCTCCCTTGATACAATCATGGTCCTGCTTCTCGAGCAGTGATTCAGCAAGCAAAGCACGCACACACACACGATGGGACCGCGGAGCCAGGTCTGTTCGGCGGCGGCGACCAGGTCGGCGCTTGTGCGGCAACGGCTCCTGTTGCTCGCTGCAGGGCGGCCCGGCTATGGACGAGCACACTGCTGTGCAGCAGCAGCTGCTGCCACCATGTCGCAGCGCCGGCACGCGTCTTTCTCGCCGTCGCCCCGGCTCCCCGTACCCAAGAGAGTGGCCGTCATTGGCGGCGGGCTGACGGGCCTGACCACGGCATACTACCTGGCCATGCTCTTGCCAGCGACGAGCCACATTACAGTCTACGAGGGTAGCGGACGGCTGGGCGGGTGGATTGACAGCGAGTCGTCGTCATCGGATACGGCGAACAACGAAAAGAAAAACGACGCGGGCGAGCACGAACGGACAGACGTCCTCGAGGCCGGCGCGCGCATGGTGGCGCCGCAAAAGGGCGCCCGCTATGACGATTTCTTGCTGCTGGAACTCATCGACCAACTGGGCCTGCACGACGAGCTGCGCGTCAGCGAGTGGAAGGCCGCGCAGTACATCTACTACCCGGACCACCTCGTGAACGTGTCGCTGGGCAACTTGAGGCCGCAACGGCCGCAAGCCGGGGACAGCCGAGAGGGCAGGTCCGTGACCCTGGCCGAGCAGCTGGCGTACTGGAAAGCCTTCGGCCGGTGGGTCGTCTGGTGCGCCACGCGGGTGCTGAAGGAGCCGCTGTTCCGGAGCCTCCTGCCGGGCGCCTTTTCGTACCTGCTGCCCTCGACAGCCAAGGCGGAAAAGACGCAGGCGCGCATGGTGGCGGCGAGCAAGGCGCCCGGGCGCTACCCGCCGGCCAGCGACGACGAGTCGGCGGGCGCGTTTATGACCCGCATGTCGGGCGGCAACACGGCCCTTGCGGAGAACATGCTGTCGGCGGTGATGCACGGCGTCTACGGCGGCGACGTGTGGAAGCTGAGCGTGGCCAGCAGCATCCTGCGGCCGCAGTGGCTCAAGGAAGCGGCAGGGCCCTTGTTCCGGCTGTACGACCGGCAGGCCAAGATTGCGGAGCTGCGGCGGCAGCAGGCGGCGCGCATGGGGCGGGCCCAGCCCGAGGACCACGACGACTTCCCGGGCCAGAACGCGGGCCTGGGCGGCGGCATTGCCGGGTTCCCGCCGCTGACGGCAGAGACGCTGCGCTTCGCAGAGGAGTACAGCGCGGCCAAGGGCAAGGTGGAGCTGATTATGGAGAGCGACCTGCAGCTGCTGCACGACATCATGCTGCGTCTGGGCGACCGCTACCAGCCGTGGCTGGCGGCGGCCAAAAAGAAGAGGGGCACGCCGGGCTACGAAGGCGACGCAGACGACGGCCTGCCGCGCGAGGCCAGCCCCTTTGACCGGCTGCCCATGCTGATGATGCGCAGCACCGGGTGGACGCAGTTTGGGTTCGCGCAGGGCTTCGGGACGCTGACGGACGCGCTGGCGCGCAGCCTGCGCAGCCGGTCCAATGTGACGATCCGGTCGGGCGAGCCGGTGACGGGGCTGCGGTACGAGGCGCAGCGGGTGCGCGTGGCGACGCCCAAGACGAGCGCCGACGGCGACGCCTACGACCGCGTGGTGTCGACGGTCGCCAGCCCCACGCTGTTCCGGATGGCCGGCGGGTCCGACACGAGCGACGACGGCGGGCAGCTGCCGTCGCTGCGCGACGCCCACGCCGTGACCATTATGGTGGTCAATCTGCACTACGCGGAGCCGAACCTGCACCGGCCGTACGGGGGCTTTGGCTACCTCATCCCGCAGAGCGTGCCGCTCGAGGAGAACCCCGAGGGCGCGCTGGGCGTCATCTTCGACTCGGACCGCGAGATGAGCATGCGCGAGCTCTTTGATTTCGAGCGCACCCTGGTCATGGACGACGCCCACGTGACGGACGTCTACAACAAATCCCAGCAGGGGCTGGACGCGGCCCGGACGGCCCGCGCGGCGGCCGACCGCACGCGCGGCTCCAAGTACACGGTCATGCTGGGCGGCCACGTCTGGGACGGCTACCAGTACCCCGACGACTTCCCGTCGGCGGACGAGGCGGTGCGCATGGCCGAGGCCGTCCTGCGGCGGCACCTGCGCGACACGCCCGGCTTTGGCGGCGGCGGCGGCGCGCCCATGCCGACGCCCATTGCGACGCGCACCAAGCTCTGCCGCGAGTGCATCCCGCAGCACTACGTCGGCCACGCCAGCCGCATGGCGGCGCTCGACGCCGACCTCAAAGCGGCGTTTGGCGGCCGCCTGGCTGTGGCTGGCGGCAGCTTCACGGCCACGGGCCCGGGCGTGCTGCCGTCGGTGCGGTCGGCGTACGACGTGGCGCTGCGCGTCGCCGGCCGCGGCTACCAGATGGTCCTGGAGGACAAGAGCCGGCGCGAGACGACCATGGCGCACGTCGGCGACACGGGCCTGGGCCGGTTCGCGGATCCGGCGACGGACAGCGTCGGGATACGGGCGCGCGAGCTGCTGCCGCTGCGGTTCAACAACAAGCACGTATACGCGCGGGGCTACTTTGGCCGCAACGTACACGGGGACGAGTACGTTCGCTACCCCGTTCGCCAGTGACGGACATGGCGGGGGAAACCGTTGCGTCCTCTGACCTGTGTCCTCGGTACTCCGTCTTCTGACCGTGCGCTTGTATTTGACCAGCAATGAAATACAAACCGTTCCATGCGAGGAGACACGAGAAGTGCGAGACGCAAGAAAGAGACGCGAAAGGAGTGCTCCAGGAAGGGCATCCTCATGGAGCCCGTTGGAGGAATGGCCGTCAGCAATGCTCCACGGCGTATCACAGGTCGTGGACGGCCGCTGTCATCCGCTGTATCTCACCAACCGACCCTGCGCTTCCAGCGGTTCCGCCCCTGTTTTGGATTCTGGGCTAGCCTTCGCCGGCGCAGCCTGGGCTCTGTTCAGGGGACTTTACTAGCACGCAGCGGTCTTCGTTAGGGCTCTCACCCGCTGAAGGATAGGCGAAAGTACGGCGCTCGCCCACTAATGTGGCATTGACGAAAGTACGTCTTAATTTGTACGCTTTGCCTGACCCGACCCCGACTTCTCGGTTGTCAACAACAGTCGCATTTATTGGTTAGTTGGTTAAAAATAGAAGCAGAACAGGGCGGCCTGAAGACTCCGAAATAGTGGGCAATAGTGGGCTTTGTCCGCTAAGCCATTCCTCTCCTACAGTGATGCATCAATCTGCTCAATGTATTTCATAAACGGAAAGAGCAACCAACAGCCGTGGTAGACAGCGATTGGCGACCTTTGGTTTTCTTTCGACGTAGTTTTGTGCACGGTTTCTTTCATACGCCTATTGTTTCCATCCCCGGCCGTATCTGGACGCAGGGAGTCCTGCGCCGTGCGTTGCATCAACAACAAACAGCCATCACCGGAATCCTTTCAACAAGACGCTGTCTGCCCATTTCAGGCCACCGTCGCACACCCTCTCTGTTTGCTCCTGTTTGCTCCTGTTTGCTCCTGCCTGTTCCTTGCCTCTCTGTGTCTGCCCTTGCCTCCTTCCGTTTGTCAACTCGACCGCTTGCCCCTTTCCTCTTCTGGTCCTCGTTTCTCCCTCCTCACAAATCCAGTACGCGCGTCCTTGACGACGACAACGACGACGCCGCCACTTATTCGTCGCAGTCTTTCTCGTCTGCCCTTCTGTCCTTTATTTTGCCGTGGTAGTAGTCTTACTATGGCACTACCTGCAGCCCAAACCGTAGAGTAAGAATACATGGGCGCACTGGCGGCTCCGCCCCTCTCCAAGTGGTTCGCTCCTGCCGTATTCACGTATGTTACGAATTACGTGCGGACTTCCTGCTCCTGCCAAAGCATTCAGATGGCAGATGGCAGATGAGCCAGCCTTTAGCGCCATCTGACAGTTCCTGCCAAAACGCACACTGCCCGAAAAGCCAACACTGCCCTGCATCATACTCTGTAATTACAATATGATATTTTCCTGTCCTCTCTGTCTCTTATTTGCCCCAGTTCATGCGTGCACGCTCTTCCAAGCCTACCGCACGTTTCTTGCCCAAATACAGAATACGGCGCATGTCGGACCTCTTTGTCCCTTTGGCCGTTGCTTTGCCTGTTCCCAATCCTCTCCACACCCCCAACGCGCACTCTAGACACATTTCAGAATCAGAACGACCGTGAGACACAGCACACTGAGGAATGACTTTCCAACTCCTGCTTCTCGCTACTGTAAAACCTGACTGGAACCGACGTCGTTTGCATTCCATCGTCTCGTACGCGTGTTATGATGCTTATTGCAAATCCACCTTTCAGCGTCGTCGCTCCTTCCTTCTAAGACGCAGCAGGTTTTTGGCTCCTGCCGCAATCGTGCCTTCTCCGTTAAGTGTAAGAAATAAGAAACAGGGACCGTTTGCTAGCCCGAAACGGCAAGCGCCACCGCGGCCTCCAGCACTCCAGCTCGTCAGGGCATCCACTAACACACACTAACGGCGCTGGCATTGCACTTTCCCTACAACATAAGTTGTGCAACGTCGTCGTACGCAGCCACGCTCTTTCCCCTGTGAACGGGCCCGCTTCTCCTTGTCGTTTTATCCCAGACGGGCAACCGCGTTCTCAGCTGGCAGTCGCCGCTGGCTTGGCTTCTTGCCTCTTTGGCACTTTGTGGCTTGGCTTTGTTGACACCTCTTTTCTGATCTCTCGATCTTCCTTTTGCAATCGTCATCTTTGAACCTCCCCCAACTCTCCCAACCATGCCGCTCGACCACGACGTCTGACCACCATCGACCTTCTCCTCGCCGCCCCGTCCCGTCATGGCCGCCGGCGACGAAGCCCCCGACGCGCCGCCGCTCCAGCCGCGGTCCTCGACGGAGAAGCCGCCGATCTTTCTCGACGGCAGCGACGGCGGCATCGACGACAAAGACAGCAACGCCGGCTACGATACATCACCAGGGACGCCGGTCGCGTCCGCCGGCCGCAGCAGCATCGACAAGGCCCCGCGGAGCAGAATGGCTGCCCTTCCGCCCTTTGAGCGTCTCCCCGACGAGATCATCCAACAGTATGTCTCTCGTGCTTTTCTCCTTTTTTCCCTCCTTTTTTTGGCCCTGTCCCTCCGTGCCGTCCTAACCTCTCAGAATCCTCCTCGCAACCGACTCAAACGCCTTCGCCTCTCTCGTCCTCCTCAACTCCAAATGGCGCACCGTCTCCCAGCAAGCCCACCTCTACGCCCACCACCTCGCACGAACACCCACCTTTGTCGCCAGCAACTACAAGTCCCTCTTCAACCGCCTCAAGTCGCTCCAGCAGTCCGCCCAGGATGGCTCTACCACTGCCGCCGACCAGCAGGACCGCCACGACTGCCTGCTCGCCGACCTGCGCCGCGCCTTCGCCCGCCAAGTCAAGCGCTGCCGCTTCGACGCCTATCTGCGGCCCAGTCGCACCCTCGTCCGCCTCGTCAGCAACTCCATCTCCTCTTCGTCGGCGCCCGGCGGCGAGGGCATGCAGTTCCAGGCCTCGCCCCGCGGCCACCACTTGCTGGCATACAACTCGTCCCGCATCTACGTGCTCGACGTGCGCTGCGCCGCGGCGCCCCACGGCGTCGAGGTCGTCCGCGAGCTCAAGGTCCTGCGGCGGCCCGCGGCCACCTGCATCCGGGACGACGCCTCGGTGCTCGCCGTGCTGCTCACCGAGATGCAGGTCGACCTGTACGACCTGCAAAAGAGCCCGCCGCGCCGCATCCAGTCCATCATCCTCGACCACAGCCCGCGCGCCATTGCCCTGAGCCCCTGCGGCTCCGTCTTGGCCGCCGCCTACGAGGGCGGCATCGAGGTCTCGTCCCTCCGTCCGGGCGCCCTCGCGACCGACCGCCGCGCCGTCAAGTGCGACCACGTCGACGCCCTCGCCTTTTCCTTTGACGGCACCCAGATCCTGGGCACCTCGGTCCACGCCGCCCAGCCCAACACCGTCATCCTGACCGCGCCCTACTACGACCCGGGCAGCCAAATGTCCAGCGACGATCTGAGCGCCCTCTGGACCACATCGATCCTCTTCCCCAACACCAGCCGCGACTGCAGCCACGCTGTCCTCCTGCAAGACTCGAGCCGCGAGGAGGCCTTTTGGACGTTTGCCTACGACCGGAGCTTCGAGACCTTCCGCGCCGTCCGCATCGACGACCTCCGCAACGGCACCACCTACTTTACCGGGCCCATCCCTACCGCAGCATCCCCGGCCCGCCTGCTCCCTTGTACGCTGCCGTCCGCCTCGTATCACGGCGACCTTGTCTCGGCCGGGTTCCAAGGCAAGGACATTTGGCTGTATGGCGTGCCCGAGGACCTGGACGCCGTTCCTACCGGCCCTGGCAACAACATCCATAGCAGCAGCGACGAGAGCAGCAACGGCAGAAGCATGGATCCAGGCGCGCCGGGTGGCTTTGAAGGCATGAGCGGCAGCGGCGCGTCCGCGATGAGCACTGCTCTCGGTGGCGGCAGCAACAGCAGCGCCACGAATGGCGGCGGCAGCGCCAGCGGGGGTGCAAGCAGTGGCGGCAACGGCGGCAGCATGTCCCGCGCCAACAGCGGCAGCCCGTCCATGCGTGCGGCCTCTGCCCGCCTGCAAGAATCGGGCAGCGACTCCTCCGTGCGCGTGCCCCAGTGGCAGCTGCTCTGCGACCGCCAGCGGAACACGTTCATTGCAGGGTCCCGCGTCGCCGAGCTGCCCGGTGTCAGCATGGTGAACTGGGTCGAGGGCTTTGGCGACTCGTCCCTGCGCGAGCGCTTGGTCGTCGGCGCCCGCGGTGTGCACCCGCCCCAACCCATCAGCTCCGACGACGACGGGATTGACTTTATTGACGGCGGCCGCTTGTTGCTCGTGGACTTTGACTATGGCACCACCGATGGCGAGACAACCGACATCACCATCGAGGTCGGCTCCAAAGAACCCGAGGTTCTCGAAGAGGAGCACCGCGACATTGACACTGAGGTGGCTATTGTGCGGCGCCGGACCGTGGCCCAGAAGCGCGGCAAGCCCGGCGCGCCCGGCGCGCTCATGCGGAATGCCACCACGGCCGGCGTCGGCGCCGCACAGAGCAATCCCGTCGTGTCCCTGCCGGCCATGCCAGCCCTGCCCTCGTCCTTCTCACAGGGCGCACGGCCCGCGCACGCGTCCACCTCGCGGCCTCTTGCATCGTCCTCGCTCCGCAATGCCACAAACAGCAGCACCAACCATGAAGACGACGACGATCCGCTTGTTCCACGACGGATGGCGGCCCCTCCAACGACTCGCCAGCAGGGCTCAGCCCTCGGCGCAGCAGCACGGACACCGGCCGTGCCACTTTTGCCGGGATCGGCTGCTGCTGCTGCTGCGGCCGCTGCCGAATCGGGCATGACAACGGATTCAGCTACCACCGGCACGACCGGCACGACTGCGGAGGTTAACCACAGTGACCGCGCTGAAACAGAGTCCGTGCTCGGTGAGGAGGAGCAAGAGTCTATTGAGGCCTTTGACGCGCCTTACTCGCAGGGCAGTCCACGGTCGGGCGTCACCCTGCGCCGCGCCGCCACCGCTGCCGCCATCAACCGCCGTCGCAACCCACCGCCCGCCACCACGTCAAGCGGCGTCCCGATTGTCTACCGCCGCGCCGACGGGCGCCGCGAACACCCTCACGAGAGCGATGCCGACAACTGGGTCCCGCCACCGCCGCCGTATCAAAAAGACATTGACCCGCACGATTTGCCAGCATTCTTGCGCCACAACGTTCCGCCCGTCGTTGCGCCGCCACAACCCGTGGCTCGTCCCGCCCCCTCGGCCACCGCCGCACCGACCATGTCGGCCGCGGCACCACCCCCGGCAACTCTTGCAACATCTACCTCTATGCCGCCCTCTATACCTGGTGTGGGTGCCACGTTGGGCCTGCCAAATCCAGACCTTGCTGCAGAAAGTACAGCAGCAGCAGCAACAGTGACAACACAGGATCCAAGTCGTCATGAGGAGAGCGAGTTTAATGACGACCGGCCGGTGTCGCGTGAATCAGACACTGTGCCGTCGGGCGATCTGTACGAGGCATCGCCGCCTGGATCACCACATGTTGAGCAGCGGCCACCTACGGACCTGTCGACGACGAATGAGTCGGCCGGCGCAGCTTCTCAACTGCCGCCGCAAACGCAGCAGCAGCAGCAGCAGCAGGCGTCGACTGGTTCCGTGTCGACGATGGGCCCACCAGTTCTCGATCTCCAGATTCCCGTACAGACAGGTGGCTCTCTCACCTGGGACCCGTCTGTACCACAACCTCTGCCTTTCCAGCAACCATTTCAACCACAACCACGTCAACAACAGCCACCACAGCAGGTGCAAGACAGCTACGGCAACTTTGTGCCCAAGCCCGTGGCCTATGTGCAAACGTGGCCAATGCAGCGACCGTCCGTTTCAAACGCACCTGGTGTGGGCTTCGGCGTGGCCACTGGGCCGACGGGCGGCATGGGCCTAGGTGTCGGAAACACGAGCTACCCAGTCAGCTACCCAGCCAGCTACCCAGTCAGCTACCCCTACTCGGCACCGCCTGTGGCACAACCTGCAGCCCAATATCCTGCCACTGCCACGACGACTGCCAATACCAGCGCGCAGGCACCGGCCAGTTCGGAAGACTTTTCGTCGCCGCCCGGACAAGGCATTGCCAGTCAACAAGAGGCCGTGTCGCCGCTTTCCCCGAACCGCTTCTCCATGAACTCCTTCCTTGTCCCGCGCGTGCCTGTCGGCAGCAACCGGCAAAGCAGGCGGTCTTCTATGCAACGGCCGAGCACTGGGATTCCGCCCGGGCCCGGACCGGCCTCAGCTCTCGGCTCCAGCAGCGCTGCTGCCGCGTCGGTGGACAACCTGGGATTGAACAAACCCCTCCCGCATCTGCAGCCACAGCAGGATGCGAACCAGGCGTTCCAGCAGCTACAACTTCAGCAACAACAGCAGCAGCAGCAGCAGCCACAGCAGCAGCCGCAGTACTACTTCCAGCCGCCGCTGATGCAGCCACAGCGCGCCTTTTCCAACCCCGTCGTCTCCAGCTCGTCGCCGTCGTTTGGTCCAGTGGAAGACCAGCCGCTCATCATCAGCACACCGCGCGGCGTGACCGGCGCCTTTGACCCGCCGAAAAGCAAGTCCAAGTCGGGTCTCGGCCGCTTCCAAGATGGTCCTGGGGGTAGTGGCAACCACCATGACGGCGGTGCTGACGACGACGATGACGGTCCGGCCCCTGTCATCTTTGCGCCGGTCCCACGCCACCCGCAGGCGCAAGAGCGCAACGCCGAGCTACGCGAGCGTCTCGAGACGTTGTCGGGTGGCGGCACACCTGTTAAGCCTGCCCAAAAGCCGCTGATTCTACCGTACACTTTGGGGTTCTATGCTCAGAACGGCACAGCGGCCGCACCCACGTCTGCCGCCTTGCGCCAGCCCAGCCTCAACCGCAAGCAGAGCCGTGCCGAGCGCAGCGCGGCCAAGAACATGGCCGATGCCAAGAAGCGCGGCTGGCGGCGCAGCAACAGCAAGAAGAAGAAGAAGGGCAAGGAGGCCGCGTCCACCGCGCTGGTGGACACGTCCGTTCCCGTCCCGCCCCTTCCGCCGCCGGCATCGATCGGCTCATCCACAGTCACGGCCGTGCCGGGAAAGAGCCGGCGCGGTAAGAAGGCAGCGGCAGCCTCGGTTGCCCCGTCCGTTGCCCCGTCCGTTGCCCCGTCCGATGCCATGTCGGGATTGTCGGCCCTGCCGACCACGACAGGCACAACATCACGGCGCCGCGGCAAGAGAAAAAAGGAGCGCGACTTTGACGCAGCCAGCAGCGCGTGGACGGACATTACGACGACGACGGCCATGATGAACATGCCGCCCAACATGCCGCCCAACATGCCGCCCAACATGCACGGTCCGGCGCCCGGGTCGTCGGGCAGCTACTACCAGCCTCCTATGCTGCAGCAGCAGCAGCAGCAGTACCTACCGCCGATGCCCTCCATTCCCGGCGGCGGCCCTGGTTCGTCGTCGGCATATGCCATGCAGCAGCTCCAGCAGCACATCCAGCAGCAACAGATGCAGCAGCAGATGCAGCAGCAGATGCAGCAAGAATCCGAAAAGAAGGGCGGAAAGTGCATCGTCATGTGATGAAGCACGCGTATCTTCTTGTCCGGTGCTGTGCGACCTCTTCTCTCCATTACCAGTCTTTTCTTTTCAAAAGATACCCTTCTTCGTCTGTACCGCACTCTTCACATCCTGCCATTTATTTCGCTTTACATCCTCCGTCGAACTGTCCGCCTTGACGGTAGCCAGCAAGCCATGTTTGTTTGTATTTACGCTTTCTGTTTTGGGCATATCATATGTTGGAATATTAGCGAGCCTTTTGTCTTACAGCCCCTTTGCCACTCTTGCCATTTGTGCCATTTTGCCATTTTGCCATTTTGCCATTTTTTATTACATGTCTATAAATGATAATAACTTTCTTGTACGGCGTATTCGTCTCTTTTTATTTGTCCAGTGACCACATACACATACGCCGTGCTACGTAACTGGGAACCGTTACACGATTTCATTTTATTTGCTATGATCGCTTTCTATTTCTGATCCAATGGCAGCTCCTGATCCTATGACAAGTCGGTGATGTCATGTAAATTCCATTTGTCATGTTGTCTTGGAAAAGATGCAGTTCGTAATGTTACATGCGCTGTGTGACAGGAACGTATCGAACGTATCAACAGCACATCACAGGCAAAAGTCCAGTCCCACTGCCAGCAGGCCACCTCGTTGCCCGTTCCCAAAAGCGTCATGGGAACAACTGCCCCGACGTCGCTCCCTCGCTGAATATGCTCGTCCAAGCCAGTCCAGCCACCGGCCACTCCTTTTCCTTGCCCCAATTGGGTTGTCTCTCGCCCGACCTTGGTCAGTGTCATCGTCCGCCCCGTCGGCTCTCCCTTTTCACCTTCTGTCGCGCACATCCACATCCCCATCCGCAACACCCGCCATGCTCTCCTCCTCCCAGTCTAACCAAGGACCAGCTCATACACTATGAGCAGCGTGTTGATGACAATCAAAGGTACTGGAGTGTTGTTAGGAAAGGGCATCAAAGGGCATCGTCTGCAAAAGAACGCAGGGGCCGAGGGAGGGAAGAGGGGGAACATGACAACATACTCCGCATCAGCGTGCGCACGCTGGCAATCAAGTTGATGATCTTGGCCTTGATGCTGGCATCGCCGCCGCCGACACCGCCGCCGCCGGGCTGGCCAAACGCCGGATCATAGGTCGCGGGCGACAGACCGATGCGCGCGAGGAAGCGGTCTTCGGACAGGATGGCAATGGCATTGATGAGGAGGACGGACACTGTCGGTCGATTCTGTTAGCCGAGGGCGCAGCCCAAGATGCAAGATGCAGGATCCAAAGCAAGACTGCGCAAGCAGGCCAGGCGTACCGTAAAGAAACCCGCCCAAGAGATACATGGTGGATAACAAGGGAGAGATGTGCGCCTCGCAAGGAGGGCCAGACGGTGCAGAAGGCTGTGGCTGTTTTTTTGGATGGAGGTGGGACGTCGGGAATTCGCCTATTCGCCTATTCGCCTATTTCATCATCAGCCCCAGCATCAGCAGGGTGCGATGGAGTCGCCTTTGTGGGTTGTGGTGGACGGTCGTGTCTCGTCGTCTTTTGTCGTCCTCGTCGTCACCGATGTGGAAAGGAGAAGAAAGAGAGGAGGACACGACAAAACGCGGGTCGAGCTTTACTTGGCTAACTCACAGCTCCACAGCACGCAGCATTGTTTCTGGCTGCCTGCTGTCAGCTGGCAAGAGGACACACAGCAGCTGGAAAGAGCCTAGGCCGTGCGAATGGCCACTATTCGTGTACTGTATTACTGTACTTGCCTACCCCGCTGTGATTGGCCAGGTGCTCCCCTATGCTCCCCTAACGCCTGCTGGAGCACCTTCCCGTGTAAGACAAGTTTGGTGACGGTCTGGGCAGGCAAGGGGACGGTGAACCTGCGGGTCTCGCCTTCCCTGCGCTGCATTTCTGGCAATCGACCTCCACTTGTGCCTTCCTTTTGTATTCTCTGCTCCCTTCCCCTTCTGGTTGTCTTGTTGTTTCTGTTCTTTCCCTTTCCCCGCCTTCGTCCCTATACAGCATTCGCGGGGAAGCATCGCGAAACGGCAGCCATCATGAAAAACATAGGTGAGAACACAGGACACGAGACTCAACGCTCCGTCCGCAAGCGCGAGCTCCCACCCGGCCGCCCACGCGCACTCGTCTGTCCTTGTCGCTAACAGCCACGTTCCGCGCCAGACACCCTCCTCACGCTCCTCATCCCGGTGCTCGTCGTCGTCCACCTCGTCGTCGCCCCCTACACCAAGGTCGAAGAGTCCTTCAACATCCAGGCCGCCCATGACGTCCTCGTCTACGGCACGCCCGTTGGCCGCGGCGCCGGTCTGCGCCTCGAGCAGCGCTACGACCACTTTGCCTTTCCCGGCGCCGTCCCGCGCACCTTTGTCGGCGCCGTGCTGCTCGCCGGCATTGGCCAGCCCGTGATCCAATTGGCCAACTCCGTCGGCGCGCTCATGGGCGGTCCCGCCGCCCAGACGGCCGTCCGCGGCGTGCTGGGCCTGGCCAATGCGGCGGCCATGGTGGCGCTGTCGCGGTCGCTGGGTGCCGCCTGCGGCCGGTCCGCGGCGCGCTGGTACGTGCTGCTGCAGGCCAGCCAGTTCCACGTCCTCTTCTACGCGTCGCGCACGCTGCCCAACACGTTTGCCTTTTTCCTGACGACCTATGCCTTTTCGTTCCTGCTGTCGCCCCAGGGCGCCCGCGCCACCCGCCGCGCCGACATACGCGCCGGCGGCCGCATCCGCGTCGCGCTCTGCCTGCTGTCGTACGCCGGCGTCGTGTTCCGTGCCGAGGTGGCCATCTTGCTGGCGGCCGTGGCCGCGTACCTCGTCGTGGCCCCGCTGGCCACGGCCGAGCGCATCGTGCGCACCGTCGCCGTCGCCGTCGCCGTCGCCCTGGCGCTGTCCGTCCCCATCGACTCGTACTTCTGGCAGACGTTCCCGCCCGTGCCCTACTGGCCCGAGCTGCACGGCTTCCTGTTCAACGTCGTCCACGGCCAGGCCAGCGCGTGGGGCACCAGCCCCTGGCACTACTACTTTACGTCGGCCCTGCCACGCCTGCTGCTCAACCCGCTCGTCTACGTTGTCTTGATCCCCGTGGCGCTGCGGCGCCCCGCCACGGCGGGCCCGGCGTCTCTGCTCGTCTGGCCCAGCCTGCTTTTTGTCGCCGTGTACTCGCTGCAGCCGCACAAGGAGGCGCGTTTTGTCCTGTACGTCGTGCCGCCATTGACGGCGGCCGCCGCCCTGGGCGCCGACCAGCTCACCAAGAGTGTGAGTGTCCTCCGCCACCAAGAACAAGAACGCGATGCCAGCACCGCGGCCCAGAACGCCAGCGACCGCAAGCCGGCTGCTGGTGGACCGGCCGTCCTGTCCAAGCTCACCTGGTACGCACTGGTGCTGTCCGTCCCCGTCGCCTTTGCCGCCAGCACGGCCATGCTGCTCGTCTCGGCGCTCAACTACCCTGGCGGTGAGGCTCTGGCGGCCCTGCGCGACCTAGCCACGGCTGATGCGGCTGCGGCTGCTGCTGCTGCTGCTGCTGCGGCTCCGGCAAGCCCTGCCGACACGCCCTTTGTCGTGTCGGCACACGCTGATGTGCTGGCCTGCATGACTGGCGTCACGCTGTTCGGCTCCGCCATGGGCGCCACACTCCTCAGCCACCGCTTCGCGGAAGAGCAGCGACACGCTGCTCTGGCCCGTGCCGCTCTGGCGGCCAACCTCGATCCCTTTGACCCCAACGCCGACCGCCTCCTGCCCGCTGCCGGCAAGAAGCCGACGGCCGTTGCTGGCCCAGGACAACCGCCCCAGCTGCTTGTCGACAAGACCGAGGATCCCGCCGTGCTCCGCGACCCGGCCTTTTGGACGCAGTTTGACTACGTCCTCGTGGAAGACCCCAAGGCCGTCGTGACAACCGCGGCCGGCAGCGCCAGCGGCCAGCCGCAGTCCCAATGGGACACCGTCGCTGTCGTCGAGGGCTATGCCGGCATCGAGGTGCAGCGTCCCGGCCACATGAGCTCGCGCGCCGACGAGGATGAAGGCGCGCGGCCGACCGTTGTCGGGCACGGCGCCACAGTGGCACGCCTGCGCCAGGCGGTGCGGTCTCTGACGGGCGGGTGGTGGGCCGGTCCGCGCATGGCGCCGCGGATCTATATTCTGCGGCGCGTCAAAGGGGACGGCGCCGCGGTGGCCGGCAGCGGTAAGGCGAAGGCGGCAGCATAAGACGGCGATCCTTTGAGAGCGAAAACATCTCGGTACAAAATACTATGGAGCAGAATTGTACGATAGTCACGCAGTTGAAAACAAAAGAAAACTGTAAGAATATATGAACGTTGGCCGGGCTTGCATCTCGGTTCAAAAACAAACAGTGAAAAATAATAAATCAGCAAAAGAAACACAGCTAGGAAAATCGTGAGGTTGGGCTGGCCCTATCCTGTTGAATCTTTCGTCCTAGACAAGATCTTCTGTACGCGCGTGCGTGTCCCACGCAAAAGTGACAAACGGAGATGTACTTAAATAAAGGCGTGTATATAAATGGCCAAGTAGTAATAGATAAAACAAGGTGTAAAGTAGCAAAATGTAACAGATTACCAACAATGATAAAGAAACTAAAGAAAACATGGATACTTCGTGGTGCTTGAAGAAGACAAGAAAAGTTGCCCGGTTAAGAAATTAATTCAAAATAGGCACGCATGGAAATGCAACGGAACGAAAAGGTGGACACAGATATGATAAAACAAAGGCGCAAAGAGACGCAAGCCTTCCACCGCGGCGAAAAGCAGATAGCAGAGGAAACAAAAAAACTTGGGAAAGTACATCAAACAACTTTTTACACTATTTCATGACTTCTGGGGAGTAAAAGGTACAGATGCAAAACAGGAAAGAAAAGAAGCACATGCAAAGGGGGGCTCGCATATAAACGAGAAAAAAACAAGGGAATCGTCAGCTGCGGGCCATTGGGAGAAACCGTGTAAGCAAACAAAGGTCGTATGTGAAGGTGACTGGAAAGCAGTGCTCTCTTTCGTCCGTTCGTCTGTTCGTCCGTCTGCGCCCCTGCCTCACTCCGCCTGCACAACAATGTCCTGTGCACCTGCGCCTGTGTCTTCGTCTTCATTCTCACTCTCACCTTCACCTTCACTGGGGGTGGCGATGTCGTCCTATCGAATTGCCGACCCACACACCGGGCACTCTGCCGGCTCCAACCACTCCTTCTCGCCGCCCACCACCTTTCGGCGCAGGTCACGGATCTCAATCATCGTCGGTGCCGTCGAGTCCAGCGGCGTCAGCAACAGGCTCGCCTCAAACAGCTTGTCGTAAGGCTTCTTCTTGTGGCCAAACGACTGCAGGGTCGGGAATGTGCGGCCAGCCGCTTTCTTGCCACCACCGGAAGCCACGGCCACGCCAGCTCCGGCGGGTGACTTCCGCGCCCTGGACGCCGACGCTGCAGGCGTGGGTGTGGCCAGCCCGTTGGTCGCACCCCTCTTCGCCGATTGCAGGCCGCCTGCTTCCGACTCAGACGGCGTCACTTCCCGCTTCAGCGGCGGTGTGCCGCTCGAACCCGCCACTGCATCATCCTTGGCCTTGCTGCGTACAGCCACGTCCTTCGCCTCTGTGCCGTCGCCGCTGTGCCCATTCGGCCGTGCACCAGCGCTGGCGACTTTGTCTGTCTCGTCTTCGCTAGCGCCCTGGACCTCGACCGTGTCCGCCTTCACATCGATGGAATGTTGGGCAGACGCTGCGCCCCCGGATTCCCGCGGGCTCAGCGGCTCCTTGACATCATCTGTACCCGTTTCGGACTTCACGACGTCCGCCAGCGCGGGTTTCACCGCGATATGTGGCTTGTCGTGCCCTAACCGTTCGTAAACGCGCATGAGCGCGTAGTGTTTCAAGCATTCTTCGTGGATCCATTTCGCACAGTTATCGTCGCCACAGCCGACAAGCATCTTATCCGGATTCGCGGGTTGGTTGCAATCGCAAACGGTTTCGATAGACTGGAGGAGCGGAGACGTCTGTCAGTATGGTATTGTTGACAAAGGTAGCCTCTACCATGAGTAACGGGCATTGGAGAGGGGGAAACCTCACTGAAAGCTCCATGCTGCGCACATCCAGAGCCTGACGCCAGTACAGCGCACTCTGCACATCGTCGTCCTTGTCTTCGTTGAGGTGGTTCACTTGCGCCATGGAGGTAACGCTGACGACGTTGATGATGTCCACTGTGGTTGTTGTTAGTTTCCAAGCCTCGGCGATCATTGGTCACCAAAGCGATTGCAGAAAGCAAAAGAGGGAAGAGGAGGAACGCACTGTGGTTAGATGCAATCAGCTCCGAAGAGCCGTGGTATGGCTGCCGTGCCTGAACCTGGCGCTTTCCATAGTGTGTGCCATGTGGTAACTCGTCTGGCCAGTACATCCAAAACACTCGCGCATACACATGATGCTCGTCGCTAGCACGGATCTCGAGGATGCGCGCAACCCAGTCGTCTTCTGAGCGCCTGCGCGGGCTGATGTTTTGTGCACCAGCATCACCAGCGCCGGCCGCACCAGCGGCACCGGTGGCTCCGGCGACAGCGGCACCAATGGCGGCGCCGGATCTCTGGCGCTCGAGGGATGATTCGTTTGCGACGTAGATGAAGCCCTCACAGTAGTACTTAACGCCATTGAGGACGAAGCTATTATACCGAGTCATGTCGGCCCATTGCTTCGCCGGCTCCACGACGTAGTGAACATCCATATTGCTGTGGGTGGTGAACTCGCCCTTCGGCTCGAACGGTGCGCACTGTTGTAGTATCCTTCGGTTGCCATCGTCGTCATCCGGGTGGTTGCCGCCGGAGCTGTTGTGTCCCCGCTTCCGCCGCTTCTTGCTCTTGGTCTTCAGCTCTTTTTCGCGTGGATCGAGGACGCGTACTGTAAATGGGCACTCGGCGCGGATATCGTCGGCCGTGGTTTCCGTGCGCGGCCGCTTGGTGGAAGAAGATGTTTGTGTCATCTTGACTCCGGCAGAAGAGCTCTTTGGATGTAGACAGAAAGTTTTGCGTTCCAGAGGACGCAGTGTCGCGTCACGATGGGGGGGAAAGAGAAGCGCAGTCTCGTCGAACGTTAGACCACGGCGTCTGCGATTAGCGCCAAGCAAAACCGCGATCGAAACGGAATGCAACTCCTCCGGAGGAAAGGCCGTGTGGAAGTGGGCGCGATGTGGTCGCGTCACTGAGGAGGAGGCGCCGTGATCGTTGCCGGGAGAGTTGAGTCTGACTTCGAAAGGGAGGTGAGGCGAGGCGAGGCGAGGCGAGGCGATAAATGTGTCGAGTCGATGCCCGAGTTCGACGCAAAGGAGGCAACACAACCGGGTCGCTGCAGGCTGGGTGCAGTCGGTTCCACGTGAGGGGGGGGCAAACAGAATGGTGTGAGAAGCACTCGTAGCTTGCTGTTCACTATTTTCTCCCGGAAGAATGGGGAAGTGGTTTAATTCGCGCGCGCGATTGGCGTTGGGCTAACTCGTCGTTGGCGGTCGTAGGCGTTTCGTCGTGGTTGCGTTGTCGTTGCAGAGTAACATACAGGCACGAAAGTGGACAAAAGGACAAGTGACGGACCAGCGCAAAACTAGAAGAAAAAAATAAAGGAAAAAGGAAGGACACAAAATAGAAGGATAAGCGTGCTAGTAAGGCTGATAGCTCTTCTGATCCGATCAAAATTGAAGCGCGATAGTGATCGCTCGGGAACAGACGGGGGTTTGGTTGAAGGGTGAAGAGGAGAAGGTGCTGAAGTGTCCCAGACAAAAATTTAGGACAAAATCAATGAGCAAGGGCAGGCAACAGAGCGGGTTGGTGTCGCCGGGATGCGCGAATGGGCGGGCTGAATGGCAGGTCTGGGATGGGAAATGGGAGTTTCCTTACGACCTTTTCTGCGTTGCTGCGTCCGATGCGTTCTAGCGTTTTGGTTCCTTAGGACCCCTTGCGTTCTCTGCACGGTACTGTTGCGCCTGTGTTGTTTCGGCCGCCACGGTCAGTTGGTCTTGTCTCGCTTCGTTTCCTGAAGGGGGTGGGGAGACGGGGGGTGGTTTTCTATTTTCTGTAGGGGTGACGGGATAGGCCAGCGCTTCTTTCAGTCGGGTGTGTGTTGTTTGGCCACGGTTTCTCCAAACAAAGCCAATAAAATAAGCACAGGGTAAAAGGAGGTCCAAGCTTCTTTTCGGCCCCCTCTTTTCTATCTTGAGCGATGGCTGTTGAATGACTCCCAACCTTTTTCTACTCGAGGCGGTATGTGTGGGCAAAAGTAATCTCAGCCAGGACTGGTAGTCAACAACGAGGGCAGGCACCGCGTGGTGTATGATAAGCGACGAGAGTCAAGTAAATAAAGATGACGCTAATCTTGTTAGAAGACAGAGACACGCCAGAAAACATAGCGAAGAACAGTGGAATGTTTTCGAAGAGTGGCGGCCGAATGACCGCGCGCAAAAGACAGAAAGAGGGAGATGAACGCTTCTAGCGTCAAGTTTATCGTGCTTTTCTCCGCGGCGCGCTGGACGCGGGACTAGTTTGTGTGGCGACGTGGAGTTGTGTGTGTCGGGGACAAGATGAACAAGGTTGGGAAAATAAAAAGAAGGAAGAAAAATGAAGCGGACAACGCGAGAAGACGAGGTGTGAAATCGCCACTTTCGCAAAAGGCAATCACCCATGTTTTGATGCCAAAGAGGGAAGGAGCAACACAATATGTAATCAGACACAAAAAAGGAAGTAGGCGGGGTTTTACATAGGAGTTCGATGTGGAAGGAGCGATTGACGCAGACGAAGCATTGCATCCGTTGCGCTTTCCTCCTCTGGCGGAGCGTATAGACTAGGAAAGAGCGATGGAAATTGTGGGAACTATTGGCAACCAAGCCACGAGAAGGGAGGAACATGGGGGAGGTAAAGGAAGTTTCCTGGCGGAGCCGTATCTTACCTGTGGCTGGGCTGGGCGAAAAAAATAAATCGCAAAGTCACGATCATGAGTGCTTCTGATGTACGATTGAGATCTTTGGTGTAAAAGGTGAGCGCACGAAAGCTGACCAAGGTGGTCAACTAAAATGAAATACGGCGGAAAAGGGGGAGGGGGGGGGGGTCAAAGGCAAAATCCAGAGACGAAAGGCAGAAGGAACGCGAGTGGGCAATGCGCAATATACCAGGGAAAGCGCGAACGAGAGGGAGCGGGCGTGTAGAAAAATACGTGTATCTACGGGGTATGCTCAAAAGGCGGAAAACGAGAAGAAAGGATATAATTACAAAATTACAAAATCGGTGTGGCCAACCTTGGGCCACCCGGTGGCCCAAGAAATAATAGACTCTTCGAGAAGAAATAATTTGACGAATCGCAGCTGATCGCCCTTCTGTCAGATTCGGTCACAACTGCGAATGAAATGACCGCATCATAAAATGAGGAGGTTGGGAGCTCGATGGACGAAGTTGGGCTGGGCCAAGACGGATCAAGCGGCTTGCTAACTCTTGCCTTGGAGAAGACGGAAGAGAAGGGATATGCAGACAACCGGGAACGAAACCGCTGTCAATTATTATATTCTATCCTGGGCAAGAGAACGGCAACACAAAGCAAAGATCGAGGTCCATCGTTACTGTCTACTTTACGGACGTTGACGACGTCTCTGACGACATTATAGCAAGAAGCGGCGACGGACAATGAGAGTGTAGAGCAAGGAGGCCGCGGCAAGCGGCAGAGTCAGGCTCGAACGCCCTAGCTCTGTTTCCTGAGTTTCGCGTGCTTTGGAAATGATTTGTTGATTTGTCAAGCTTATCGCGTGTTTCTGCGCGCACCGTTATTCCGAGTTGAACAGATTGTAAAAGACGACAATCGCGCTTAGATTCACCGCGAGAGTTATTTGGCGTAATTTCAACGCATGAAAATATGTGAAAAGAAACGGGAGATCAGATCAAGGTTGACTTTGAAACGGATTATAATTTGATGGCCTCGGCCAGTTGAACAACGGCCGGGAGATCATGATAGTTCTCGAGCGTTTTAGAAGAGCCAAGGAAAGACAAGACTGTGAAGGCGAACAAGGAGAGGCCCAATGGAAATCAATAGAGCGAAGCCTACTCCGAGCTTTTCTATTTCGTGTTTCGCCCATCAAGGCTTCTCTTGCCATTTAATTGCCACATACTCACGTGATGAGCGACGAGACGGATAGCCAGCGAGGAAAAGTATAGAAAGCAAAGGTATGGACAATCGAGTGACAGACTTCCGGGAGCATGCCATATATGTTAAGTCGCACGTACCATGGAAAGGCATAAACTCATACGACATGCTTCTTACTCTAATAGTGGAAGAGGAGTCACCCTTTAAAGAATTCTGTACGTCATAAACAACAGGTCGAACCTGTTCCCTTCTATGGCACCCGACACTTTGCTAAACGATGGCTATGCGAGGCAATAAACGGTTCTCATGGATATATCTTGACGGACTCAGCGCAGAAGAGCATACCAGGTGAGACCGTAGAAACTATATTGTTGTACGTGGTATGGACACTCACGTTCCAGCAGAAGATTATATTGAGTTCCATAGTATGTTGCAATGTAGGTGGAACTATTATTGCTCGCATTTTCACCTCGCCCATGCTTTCAACCACTTCCAATGTAGCAGCACATACAGTGAGAGCACATTAGAAACAGTTTCATCCACAAACAAAAATCTCGTCGAAAGTTATACCTTGTAACGGGCCTTTCGGCCCCCAAAAGTATAGAACACGCTGTGTCACGTGACCGTTTTCGGAGCCTCGCGGACGAAGAGACGAGGCCGGTGATTGAGACGACGGTATTCTCCCCAGAAAATAAACATAATCACGATGCAACAAGTAAACACAAAGTGCACACTGCTACTGTGTTTGTGGGGGAAAATACATTATTTGTATGATATTTGTATGGTGCATATCCAAATATCCGAGGCCACGCTCGGTTTATAGTCAATTTTTGCGCTCTCAACGCCTAGCCTCGACATCGTCTTCGTCCTCGTAGTCGCCCAGAATCGCCCGCGGCGTGTGGTTGTCGTCGGTGTCCTGCTCATCGTGGTTGCCATTGTCGTCGTCGTCACCGCTGCCAGTGCTATTGTATCCCTCTATGATGGCCGCCAGACGCTCGCCCTCGCGCTTGCCGCGCTCGACATTGACGCAATACAAAAGGGGCGCCGGCAGACCGACGAGGCAGGCCAGGAACCAAAAGGCAGGGCGAATTTCGCCCGAGGCATCAATGATGGCACCGACAATGGCCGGTCCGAACACGCTGGAGCCCTTGTCGGTGATGGCGTAGAGAGCGTAAAACGCGGCTTCGGACCCGGGCGGGATCAGCTCGCCGTAGAGCGAGCGGCAGTAGCTGCTGAGGCCGCCCAGGACCAAGCCATAGATGGCGGCGAGCGGGTACATTTCCCAAGGCTGCTGCAGCCCACCGACGCCCCAGCTGCGCACAAAGGGCAGGTAGCCGGCCAGCCCATAGATGGGAATGAGCTCAAAGAGCGCAAGGCAGGCGAGGATGGTGTGCAGGGGCTTCAGGCCCAGGCGGCGGGAGACAAAGGCCCAGGAGAAGGCGCCGATGACACCCGTGATGGTGCTGATGACATTGATGAGGCCGAGAGCCCAGACCTCCATATGCAGCTGGGTCTTGGCGAAAAGCACAGCCGTCGACGAGGTCGTGGCGATGGCGTCCGAGAGGAGGAACCAACCCGCCAAGAACAGGACAATGTCGATGAGGCGGCGGGCCAAGCGGATGGTGCGGAACAGCGAGGCCCATGCGTAGCCCAGATACGCAAGCCAGGACCGCACCCAGGCCCAGGCACGACTGTCCGTGTTGCGGATGCTGCTCAGGGCAGCGTCCGGCAGTGGGGGGCCGGGCCGGGGTCGCAGCCACATGGCGGCCGGGATGGTGAAGAAGGCCCACCAGAAACCAATAAAGAAGAGAACAATACGTTGAGACCAGAGCGTGTTGTGCATTTTAAAGACAATGAGGATGGCGATGCATTGGACAAAGAGCGCGGCGCAGTAGCCAATACCAATGCCCTTGGACGAAATTTGCGTCGAAAGTGACAACTCGAGCGATGTCAGCTCCTCGTGCGTTCGTTTGTTCTCAGTGTTTTCAGGCCCGCCGGAAGAAGACGACGACCGCAGCGGGGATGGACCACTGGATGTGCCGTTGCCCAACAGAGCGGCCGACGCATCATCTCCACCGACTATGGAGTCGTCGTGGTCATCGTGGTCGTCGTGGCCGTCGTGTTCGTCATGGGGATCATTGTGCGCATTGGCGGCATGGTCCTCCAGCTCTTCATCGACTAGCAGGATCTGGCGCGGCCGGTCATCGTCGTGGGCAGGCTCAAATAGAAGTGACGGGTGGTGTCGCACCAGCAGAGGCAAGAACGAGTTGAGCAGCACAAAAGAGGCACCAAAGGAGGTGTTGGAGATGATGGCCAGCAAGGCACCAAAGATGTAGACCTTGGCGGACACGGCAAGGTAGAGCATGACAGAGACGCTGCCCGTCCAGGCGAATGCAAGGAGCAGAGTCTTGCGGTAGTTGCCGTGATCGGCAGCGCAGCTAATGCTGACAACAATGAGGGCCTGAAGCAGGACGCTGACACTAAACGTGTACATGGCAAAGCTGGCCGTATTGATTTCAATCCCCAGGACATAGACAACGCACTGCGAGTCGGCTGCGTCGCTGCCACGAGCCAGAAGCGCGGACATTAGCGACGACGCAGGTGAGGAGGCGGGGTGTGCATTGCTCGCTTGGCAAGGGGTTGTGCGGTCGGAGAGAAGGACGCCATTTTCGCGGGCGAGACTCTCGAGGAGGATGGGAATAAAAGAGGCGATTGCTGGGGTAAAGTGTTAGAGGTAACGGCAAAAAGAAGCATGAGGAAGCATGGTAGAGGCTCTCTAACTTGGGACATACCACATATAACGTAGGTCTCCGAGGCAAAGGCATACATGTACCAGCCCAAGATCTCCTTGTTGCTCGTCGGCCGGTTGTCTTCGCTGGCGTAGGCCGCAGCGACGTCAGATCCGGCATGTCTGTGACCACGACGGCGCGAAGGCCGCGAAGGCCGCCGCGGCCGTCGGGAATTCTCGCTACCATCACCACCGGCACCACCGGCACCGCCACCTGCTCCAGTCGCCATTCGAAACGGCTCACCAGGATGGTAGTCACTGCTGTTGTCGCTGTCGCGGTGTCTGTAGAGGCGTTGCGCTGCGGCGCCTTCGTGGATGCTGTTTGTGGCCGTGGATGGAAAAGAGCGTCGGCCGCCAGTGGCGGATCGCTCGTCGTCGGCCTCAAACGAGGAGGAGTGCGAGTGTGGAACGCGCGGCGTGTTGGCCTTGCTGCTCGTGTCGATGTCGTCGAGTATTGATTGAGTTGTTGTTGAGACTGCAGCAGCAGCAGCAGCTGTTGACGAAGACGGCTCAGCCGACCCAAAATAGCTCCGATGTGGAGGAGACGACGGCGGCTGATTGGCGGCGGCGGATTCGGGCCTTGAGCTTGTATTACTGGAGCTGACAGCAGTGGCTGCTGTTGCAGGGGGCTGTTGTGCCATGCTGACAGGGGCTGTGTGTGGATGCTAGAAAAAGAGAGGAGAGGGGGGGAATGCGTTCGTGCGCTAATGCATTGCGGAATGTATTGTGTTAGTGGCGCCCCTACTGTACTCGAATAGCTCAAGTACGACGTAATTATGAGCTTGTCTCGGTGGCGTACAGCGAATGGCCAGGCGGCCCCTGTTGCACTTTGGAAGCGTAGCAATGCAGCAGGGCAAACCCAACAAAACCGTATGACCAGGGATGCAGCTGAGGAAACACAATGACAACTCTTGGGGAGAAGGGTAGCTCGCCAAAGGGAACGAACAGCCGTGTTCCCCGTGGGATTCCCGTTTTCCCCGTCCAGTCACTGTGCACAAGCTGACAGCAACCACCGTCGTAAAAGCTCCGTCTGCAAACCCCCTGGTCGACCAGCCTGCGACGCGAGGTATTTTCCGCGTGACGTTGGACCTGACGACTGAAGAGTGGGTGTTGTGTTGCTCGCTTGGTTGGTTTCTTTTTCGTGCACTTTCTTATTCGCGGAACCCGTTGGTTCTCGGTCTTTGGACGACGTTCGATTTAAACTTTTGTCGTGCAAGGCGATCCGACCGTCCACGGGTCTGCTGGAGACAACCGGGTATGGTCAAGACGACAACACAAAGAGGCCCTTGTGTTGGGATAACAAAAGAAACGTGTCGAAGATGTGTGCGGCCTGCCGTTTCGAAGTCGAAAACTGTGAGGAGAGAGGGATTCGTGTCAAAGACAAATTGGTTGGAAGACCGTGTTTGCCTCGGGCAAGATGCCGCTGAACAAGAAACACTCCGTTGGGGAAGCAGTCGGTCAAAACTGAGGCAAAATGAGAGAAAGGGAGAGGGACAGAAAGGAGACAGGGAAAACGACGAAAAAAAAAAGAGGGACGAGGGCATGATGTGGTAAAAGAGGGAAACGAGGGAAGAACGAAGAGGAGATGGGAGGAGGGGGTCGTGGGACGTGCCTTCCGTTCCTCCAAGAACAATGCATCTCAACACTCAATCAACGGTTGAGTACGTTGTACATAAATGAGCAGCAAAAAGGGAAGCAACGACCAGTTGGCCGCCTGAGACATGGCCGTCTGTGTATGGGAGAATAGGAAAGAGCGCCCCTCTCTGCCCAAAGGGGAAAGAAAGACGAGGAGACTTGCGCTGCGGTTTCCTCTTTCTGCCGCTGGTGTTCGTGGAGCTGAGTCGCAAGTCGCGCAATAGTTTGCATATCTCGTTAAAATGGAGCTTCGAGTACAAAGTATTGTGTACAGAACTCGGTGCCTGGCGCAAGGCGAGAGGCAGCGTGGTTCCCTTTTCGTCCAAAACCTTTGTCCCGTCGCAGCTATGTGCAGGAAAACTGCAAACTGCATTCCCGGCGCGCCGTTTTTACTTTATTTTCGTATGATTACTTTCCAGCATCGCAACATGTTGATGCCGACCTTATTTCATCACGGGGCACACGTCGAGACCGTCCACGGCCACTGTTGTTTTGCTCGTCCGTCGTATCTGCCAGTCTTTTCAGCTTCCTCAGCCATCCTCGCCTGTTTTCTCAGCCCGCTGCCTCGGCGCCCTCCGTTGCCTATTTTAGTACGCCGCTGCCGCAGTAGTCTGTCTAGCCGCTGATCGCTCTTGCCGTGCATGAACTGCATATGACAGACCCGGCTGCAGATGGTGCAGGTGCTGGGAGCTGCAGACGGTGCAGAAGGTGCGAAGGGCAAACCGGACCACCTTGCATTGCGATCTCTCGGTTGCAGTGCCTTGGTCGCCCTCCCTCCGCCCTTTCCCTTTTGCTGTCGGTGTTGCTTATGCACGGTCGATCTTGCCGAAGTAGGTCACTTGACTTTTCGCACATGTCTCTGAGTGCTACATTGGACGTTCCCTGGCCTCACATTGCAACAGTGGGGGATACAGAGGACAGAGTACAGAGAGCAGCCTCTTCGTTATGAGTCGCTTTCTTTGCGCACTTTTTCGCTCACTGCGTGCTCATCTCAAAGATCGCTACGGGGCACGGCAAGGGACAGCCCGCGCGTGTAGCGTGCTAGCTAGGCCTCTTAGGCGTACACAGAGTGCAAATGAGCACAAACAGTTCAGAGTTCGATGCCAGGGTTCACACTTTTCGCAAAACGCAGCGCAGCGGTTGCACGAAACATGTTGCATTGAGTCGATGCAAAGCCTTACATAAAGCCAGTATTATCAAAGCATTAATGCTGCGCTCCCCGCGGTGTTTGAAAAAGACCAGAGTATATTGGAGCACGGAGTATGGGTGTGGGTAAGACCGGGGGTCGGAGTACGGGGGCGGACAAGGGATGGCGGGATGGCGTGCGCGTGTGTGTGGGAGGCAATATATTCAATGCTATCTTGCACATCTTTTTCCCGGCTTTGGCGACCCTTGCATATATGTGTGCAGAGCTGGATGCAGGAGGCGGCTAAAACAGATTTGTTTTCTTTACGGGCGATTACAGAACCTAACCGGGTCCGGCTTGTCTGCAGTGACATATAGACTGAGGTGGCAATAAATCTTCGTGCTCGGAAAGGAGGCTGGGAGGGCACAGCCAACAGCCGCGCATACATACAGTACTGGTTCTGATTCAGTGATTTGGACTGTTTTGTATCCAATGGGTCAGTGCATGGGCACAGCACAGCGTCAGATATGCGTGTCAGTCGTATTTACTTGAGTTTAAATGGCAGCAGGAAACGCGTTTTGATATGATGTCAAGAAGTGGAGGCTGTAGCAAGTAGAAACAATTCTCCTCCTGCTTCAGGGAGCGCAACGCAACTTGGGGGAGATCTATGTAGACAATAAAATTGGTGAGCGTATTTTTGTAAGAAAGAATGTAAAAAAGTATAATAGAATAAATAAAAACATCGAAAAAGAGGTATCATCGGTCCGCCCGTCAGTCTCGTCCAGCATCCAACACAGGAGAGGGCCGTCTACTTCTTGAACACGCCCGTGAGCTTGTGCTTGAGCTTGTCGGCCAGGCCCACCATCGGCGGGGGGCCGCCGCCCTCGTGCGCCGCCTTCTCTGCCTTCTTTTTCTCCGACTCGGGGCCCAGGTGCACGTTCGCAGCACCGCCGCGGCCGGTGTGGTAGTCGCTCAGGTCGGCTGAAGGGCGCACGGCAGCATCGGGGATCAGCGTGCGGTCGGCGCGCTCGAGTGACCGGCGCTTGTCGGAATCACCAATGTTGGCGGCGCCTGGGTTGCTACGGTTAGCGGGATATTTCACGGGCTTGGGAAGAGAATGTCGATGAAAAGGATTCAAAGGTCTCACCTCCTCTGCCAGTCGAGTACGGGCCGTCATCGTGGCTGCCAACGATGCCGGCACGGACAATCTCGCCGTCGACGTACTTGGTGTCGTCCTTGACAATGTTGCCGGCACCACCACGGCCGTGGGACACCTCAGGGGTAGAGACCTCGGCCATTTTGTTATTTGTGGTAATAGAATGTGAGACTCGTGGGTTAGTGGGATTCATGCGAGTCGAAGTAGGTCTTGTCGAGGTAGTGGTCAGCTCACGTCTCTTCGTCGGGATATGGCAAACAGCAGAAAACGAGAGTAAAGAGAACGAAGAACGAAGAAAAAACACACAAAGAAGGGGACAAAAAGAACAGCGAGGTATTAAAAAACGAGCATTGCGCAGTGTTCGACAGAAAACGGGTTAGACTGCGATAACAGGCAGGCCAGGTTCCAAGAAGGCTGGGCGAGGCGCCTTTCAAGCACACGACGAACCGAACAGGACAACGGCAACAAGGAGGGCGTGTACGGAATACCAAAAACAATACCCAATGTAACATAAATAAATCACCCACGAGAGACTGTGACGAAAGAGGGCCGCAATGTGGGAAACGGGGCCAACACACCTCGGAAACGCCGACAGGAGGACGAAGTAGGCGAGCGCGGAATCAGAAATCGTCGAGTTCGTTTGACAACGGAACAGCCTAAGCTGGGAAGGGGATGAAGAAGGGACGAAATAACTATGAAAAAGAGAAAGAGGGAGACACTGGAAAGAGAGAGAAAAAGAAAGATCAGAAAAATGAGAAAACAGACGGAGGGGAGGATGGGGAACTGGGGGGAGCTTATATGACTGATAAACAGATAAGAGGCCAAAAAGTAGACAACGAATCCCAAAAGGCCAATCCCAAGTGTGCATATGCGAGTATTCAATCTTATTAGTCGTGCAGCTGCGGCAAGCGAACAGGGACGTCCCTTGCGATCCCGAGGCGGGAGAACGATGTCGGCGAGGAAGCACAACGAGGCCGCAGCGTGGTGGGGCGTTTTTACAAGAGACAAGAACTTGCTCTGGTTTCTTTTTTCTTTCTTTTTTCTTTCTCTTTCGATTCTTTTCTCTTCGCTGAGAACGATCCCTTCGTCTAACTTGCTTCCTACTCGTCCTTCCTACTCGTCCTACCACTCTGTATACGTTCCTCCCGCGGTACGACTCAGCTACCACAAAGGCAGCTACCACAAGGAAAATCCCGGGGGTAAACCAAAACAAAAAATCGTAGACAGGCTGGCCGAGTCTCTTGCGTCTCTTGCTTGGGATGTGGTTGGACGTCGTCGCGGTGTTTGCGCGTGGTGGAGACAGCCTTATCTATTGCCCTTGCGCTATCTCTAGCTTCGTCGAACGTCTTGGAAGGGGCCTTTCCATTTTGAGCGCCCTTGTCTTTATCATCCCGCAATCTCAAAAGCAGCTGCAGTGGGTTCCTTCCTCGTTTCCCACTTGGAAGTGAAGCCTAGTGGAATAGCAAGTCTTGGCAAAATACACAAGACGGCAACTACGGCGGTGCCCAGCTGCTGTCTTGGGCGACACAGCAGGCGTATTCCTGGCAGACGAGGAAGGCGCGCAGGCGAGGTCAGCGAGCCAACGATTAGTGCCTTCCCGGCCAATCCCAGTCCGCCAATCTTCCCATTACGTACGGCTGAAGATGGCTTTGCGTAATACCCAGCAGCCACGCCACAGCAAAACGCCAGCCTTTCCTACCGACGACACTGCACAGGATATGATAACGATAACACCCAGCACTTTATCAATCACGTTTCTTGGGCTGCACACAGCGCAAACGCAGCACGCAACCCAAGCGCAAGAAGTGGCCCCAGAAAGGGAAATAGCGACAGGAGTTTATTTCTGGGGCGTGGGAACAGCAGGAAAGAGCGACCTTGCCAGACCACAAGCGAGGCTGCCACTCGTGCCTTCCGTCGTTTCTCTCCCGCCGGTCTGGCCCTGGCTCTTGGCCAATCGGGATGCAAATGCCATTACGTGACGGCATGACAACGTGACAGTGTGTGAAGACAGGCAGGTACGACGGACGGCAAGTGCAGACGACAGGGATCGGTAGATCGCGTTGTTGGCCGAGCATGTGGGGGGGGATGACAAAGTGAAGCAGCAACTGCACCAACAGCGTCAACAGCCAAATTGGCTCACAGTAACAATACCTTCAAAGATCCCCTGCTACAAGTGATCGACACGATGGAAGAGAATTCAAAAGAAAATAAAGAAAGTTAAGTAAATAAATGTCGTGTCATAATCGGGGCCACCAAATAAATGGAAGAAAATGGAGAAGCAACTAATACACACCGAGAAAGGCAAACTACAGTCCAAAATGAATCCTAAAAAGCCAACAAAACGAAAGATATACTCCAAAGACAGGAGTACATATGCCCCGAAATATGACGCCCCAATGCCTACAGAGACAGAGCAAGAAATAATAAACCAAAAAAAGACGTCAGACCCGTACCCTGTTGTCGCACGCCAGCCCAGAAAAGACACCTACTCCTGCTCGGTGTCGCTGCCTTCATCGTCGTCGTTTTCGTCGTTTTCGTCCATTTCTTCGTCCTCCATTTCGTCTTCAATGTGGCCGCCCTGCAGCGGGCCATATTTGGCCTTGTACGCCTGAAGCTCCACCATTTGGTGCCGGAACGCCGCAAACACGTCCGCCATCGACGCCCGCAGATCGTCCAGGTGGCGGATCGGCCCACCGCCCATGGCCATGTGCCGCACCGTCAGCGTGTTGATGCACGTCTCGATGCGGCTGATCTGGTGCGCCAAAAAGTTCAGGAGGAACCGCTCCGTCACGTTGGCGCCGCGCTGCTTCATGCGCTCCAGCAGCTCCGTCTCCGGTGGCTGCAGCCCGCTTCCGTCCACCTGCTCGAGCGAGCTGCACAGCATCTCCAGGCGCAGACTGACGCGCCACAGGCCCCAAATCACCTCGGGAATCATTCGCAGGTCATCCGTGTCCGGGTCGCCCAGGATAATGGCCGACGTCGGCGCCGGCAGCTTGGAGCCAGGGAGCGCCCGCCCGCCGGCCGGGATCGTGTTGGCATCGCTGCTGCTGGCACTACCGGCGGCGGCCACGGCTGCGGCGGCGGCGGCTGCCGTTGCCCCAGCTGTGCTATTGTTATGGTAGCTGCCACTGCCAGAGCCATTGACGGCGGCACCTTCGACACCGCTCGCCGCGGCAGCAACCGCGGCGGCCAAGCGCTCGTGGTGCGAATGTGCCTCCATGCGGCCGGCCAGCGCGTGCGGGTACAGCGAGTAGACGACTTCCGGGTTTTCGAGGCCCTTGAGCTTGATCTCGCCGAGCTCCTTGACGGCGAACCCCTGCGACGACAGGGCCTTGAGCTCCTTGCGGATGGTCTGCGCAAACGTGTCGTCGTCGAAACCCGTGCCGGCCGTGGAGCTGCCGCCCACGGAACCGCCAGCGGCGCTGACGCTACCATTGCCGCTCACACTGCCGCGGCCCACGCCGTCTTCGCCCGATCCACCTGCGCCGCCGGACCCTGTCGGCGATTCTTGGTACGTCTCGAGGCACCGTTGGATCTCCGAGATGAAGTCGGACGACACCGTGATCTGGCCGCCATCGGCGATGCTGTTGATGCGCGCCGCCTTGTTGACCATGGGGCCGTAGTAGTCCATGCGTCGTGTAATCGGGTCGGGCTCGCACAGTGGTTCGCCCCAGTGAATGCCCATGCGCACCGACAAACCGCGGAAGATGATGTTGCTGTCCTTGTCGAGGATCGGCTGGCACGTCACGGAGTTGAGCATTTCCGTCGGCCAGGGCGCGTCCAGCAGCTGCAGCTGCACGGCGAACGCCCACAGCAGCGCCGACGTGGCCGTCGGGAAGGACACCATGAATGCGTCACCTTCCGTTTTGACTTCGAACCCGCCAATGTAGCGCAGCTGCCGCCGCATGACGTCGTTGTGCAGCTTAATCGCCGAGCGCATGGCCGCCGGGTAGATTTCCCAGAGCGTTGTCGAGCTCTTGATGTCGGTAAACACAATCGCAATCAGACCCGTAGGGGCTGGTACCTCGGCGTCCAGGCGTTGCAGGGTCGAGTCCAGAACGTCGCCCTTGGTGCGCTTGCCGCGCCGCGTCGGCAAGAACTGCTGCGCCGCCTCCTCGGGCACGCCCGACGGATACAGCGACATGCTCTGGCCGCGGTGCAGGCGCGACCGCTCCGTCTTGCGCTTGAGGTCAGACAGGCTCAGCATCATGACCATGATCTTGCCGCTCGCGCCGTACGCCATGGCCAGATCGCGCAGTTTCTGCGAGGCACGCATCAGGTCGCCCCGCTCCTGCCGCGCAATATCGACCACAAGGCCGGGGCTCAGATACTCCCAGAGCTCCTTGGTGGCCAACACCACCGTTTCATCCTGTTCGCGCACCGTGTGGTTCACCACGTGGGGTGCCGCCATGACGGACGGCATCAGCTCGCTGTAGCCAAACGCGCGCGACACGTCCAGCACGTCGTTGAGCCGGCCGTTGCGCGACACCCAGCCGCCCGCGTCCCGGATGCGCGACCGCTCGTTGGGCTCGGCGGGGTCGTGCTTGCGCGTCAGCACCTTGTGCGAGCCGTCGCTTTGAATGAGCATGGCTTGTGCGTCACCGACATTGGCCACGTACAGCTCCTGGCCCAGCAGGTAGACGACCGTCGCGACGCCACCAGAGTTGAGGTCCTCCTTGGTGAGCACCATAGGGGCAATGGAGCCACGGTGAGCGACAGCCGGCGAGGACGACGACAGCGGCAGGCGGTCCTCGGCCTGGATCGAGCTCGTGACCAGGTCCTTGTTGAGCGTCAGGAACGCGCGGCGCAGGCAGTCCTCGATGGTCACGCCCTGGTCCGCCTTGAGCGCTTTGAGCTCGGCGGCAAAGATGCGGCTAAAGTTCTCGTGCAAGAACTTGGCAATCTTGGAGCCACCCGACGACAAGGCCTGGCCGTCAAACAGACACAGCAGCGTGTCCTGCTCGTTGCCCTCGTTGGCGTTGGAGGAGAACCGAGGCACGACCAGGTCAATGGTCGACAAATGCTCGTTCTTGCCCAGCGTGTCCGCCATGCCGTACGGCAGGAACCCTGCCATGGACCCGGACGTCCGGACACGGCTGTCCTCGCTCTGGTCGGGCACGCTAGGCTGCGTGAGCGTGACAT